TTACACGGGTGGTCTGTGGGTTAACTATACGCAGAAGGTACTCGGCGCCATGCGCGCTCAATATAATAATGGTTTCAGGATGCTATTGGGACTACCGCGACACTGTAGTGCATCGTCGATATTTGCTCAAGAGGGAGTAGATGACTTTTTTACTGTGATGCGAAAAAAGACAGCATCACTACTCTCTTGACGGCGTTCTAGTCCTAACGGCATCCAGAAAACATTTTGTGGCTAAGCTCGATGCGCCGATGCTTCGTCATTTCATCCAGGTTCTGGTGAGGCGATGGGGTACTCAGCGCCTCGAGCGTAATAATGAGTTTTTATTAACAGTTTTTATTGAGGTTGTCAATCTGACTATATTTTTTTTATTTGTATGTGTGTTACGCGATAACTCGCTTTGTAAACCGATTTTGAGGATACTTTTGTTGTTGGAAAGAGGGTACCTCAGTAGTAATCCTATTTAAATTTGAAGAAAATATTCCACCTCTAAGGGTGGCAAAGTAGGGGATGTATCCAGTTTCGCACACTTTCCGGTAACCGATTTCAATAAAACTTGGCAAATAGATGTAATTCCACGAGCTTTTGAGGTCGGTTTTTTAATACTCTGTCCTTATGTTTTTGTGGTTTTTCTCTTTTTTTAGTTAAAGTTACGTCTATATTTACTAACAAGTGGGCCTTGGATGCGAAAAAAATTATTTATTTATTATTATGGCAAATCGTTATTTTGGTGGCCGGTAAGGACTCTTTCCACTTTGCCATGCGAATATATGTTATCCCGTTTAACTGTTTTCTACGAATATGTCGAGTTTTCCATATTTCCACGGTTTTCTATACCTACTATTATTACACAAAAAGTACAATGACGTTGCTATATATATATATATATTGTACGTATAATTATTGTACTTATTCTAAAAGAAATAAAAAGCTAGTCAACATACGCACCCTCATGGAAGAATGGCATAAGTGAAGTTACGTCATAAATGTTTGTACATATTTAGACAATATTAGTCGACAGAGTTACAAGAGTTGGAGAGGACGTGGGTTATATTTTTCTGTATCTAATGTAGCAATAAACATTTTTGACCTAACTTCACTTATGCCATTCTTCCATGAGGGGTACGTATATTGAAGGTAGGTAGAATAACCAATTACATATGTTCGAGGATAAGAACAACGTTCGTCGTAAATTCTTTTCTTCTCTGATCTTCGTATATTAGATTTCAACGACAGCAACTTCGTTAAAAAAAATATTCAGTTAATATTAATATTTTTCGCACTTATTATAACGTAAGTATGAAAAATAATTAATTAGTTAGGTAATTATAGAGACAATAATTATCGTGTAGATCTTGGGTACAAATATAATCACGCGAAACGATGACGTGGGTTGAACTTGTACTACTACAACTCTAACGCGTAGTACCTACGTACTAAGCGTTAGAAAGACAAAGTAAAGAGATGTAATTGTTAGCATCGTCTTCCTTGACATCAGATTGCAGCTTTGTTGCAATCGCAGCTCGCCTGCCCTAACATAAGAATTTGGCAATTCGTCCTTTTTGGAAAAGAATTAGATATAAGAAAGTTAATAATCAGTTAATGAATACTAATTATAATATACATATTGTAATTAATACTGAATGCATTAACACAACGTTATGCAATACCTATGCAAGTAAAGGTGTCATTTACACGATCGAAACCCGGTAGCCAGATTGAGGACACTCCCATGCGCTCAATTGTGTTTCAATTAATCAATACCAAAGACCTTCAATGCATAGTTTTTTGTCCTATCAATTTATGGTGATAATAGCTTTTTGGCGTGGGATGTCGGGAAATCATTCGAATGTTTAGCAAGCTGTGGGTAGCGCCTATAAGGTCAGCCTTGCACCCACACGCGCCTTTTATGTAGCAGCATAGTACTAATCAGAAAACTGTAGGGAACAAAATCGAACATAACGGCCAAGATCGTCGAAATTCGAGTTATACCCTAGTGGAACCGATATATGGTTGTAAATACCGTGGCAAATAAAACCGATTCTGCATTATTCACTCAGTCGAAGCACTGTTTGCAACATTCACCTTTGCCTAATCTGGCAAGCGGATTTTAGAACGGCACTAGTGGGCGACAAACGACAGTTGCGGAAAAATTTTTTCGAAATTATTCTGTAATATTAATGTCCCTGATATGATCATCCACGTAGGTCGACGCACGAGGTTAAGGCACGAATCAAAGACAATAGGATATTGCACACTTTACACATTTTTCTCGTTTTTAAAGATAATAGCAAAAAAGTTGCACGTTTTTATTTGGCAGGAGCTTTGTGAGTGATAGATAGACATAGATAGAGACAGATAGTGAGCGTTTTTCAGTTTTTCAAAATGTAGTGAGAATACCTTTAGTGACATAGACCAAATTTTAAATTTCGATCTGAGACCTGAGGTTATTAAGGTCAAAGGTCACCGTGCCGAATGTATGTGCAAAATAGACAACACAACAGAAATGTAATATTTTGCGCGCGCAAACTAACAGCTGTGAAAAAGAAAAAATAATGAAAGACTGCTGCTTATACTAAAATTTATATATATATATATATATATATATATATATATATATATATCTATATCTATATTACATAAATTAAGTGTTTTTTTACATTGACTGCAGTATATTTTTTTCCATTAAAAACTAAAGGATTTACGGAACCGATGTCAACTGCTTACTTAACTATTCTTGTTAATCTCTTCATTAAACGGCTTTATGAATTATCATATTAGAAACAGTGCATTGAAGGTGAATTGCGCAGCAATAAGTTGTTGATTACCAACGCTGTTATACAGAACAAGTAACTATTAATAATAATGTATTTTGTGGTGACAGTGAAATATTCCAATACAATTCTAGGGTCGGCGGATTATTGCACATAACTTCGGGAGTACTACGTGTGTGCAAAGCCGATTACCCGAATGACGATAGTGCGAAGAGGGTTGCACGAAAGCTTAAATGCGCGACAGTTCATTTGCGCGAATGACGATAGCACGAAGACAGATTAGGAAAGCTGGAAGGCAAGTTAATTGTTGCAAGTACGCCCATGACTGCAGGTTGTTGCAATTATTTGCAATGCAAAGCTTTCATAATAAATAATACGTTTGTTTTTGTAAAATTTTTATATAAATTAACCAAACAAAGTAATCTTTAATTACGATCAATCAAAAAAACATTATCGAAAATTATAAAAAATCATAACGGTTTTTTGTCCGAATTGCAACAACTGCAGACATGGAAGTACTTGCAACAAATAATTTGCCTTCCAGCTTTCGCAAATCTGTCTTCGTGCTATCGTCATTCGCGCAAATGTACCATCGCGCATTAAAACTTTCGCGCATCTGACCATTCGCGCAAATGCACTATCGCATCGCTACCGTCTTCGTACTATCATCATTCGCGTAATCGGCATTCGAACTCACGTAGTACACCCCATAACTTCACTTATGTCAAAAAAGTGCTTAATTTTTTAATATACAATCATAAGTCAATGTATACAATTATATATTTTTGCGTTGCTTATAATGTTTGAAAGATGTGAAGAGAATGATAAATTTGAAAAAGACGCAACAAATGAATTTGAATTTATTTACTCTGTATACAGATGCATTAATGTAGTTACATAGATGCTATATAGATGTATTATTTACACTAACGGCCTTCGCTCGTGGCCGAATGGTTACCATGCTGAATTGCCAAGCAGAGGTCCCGGATTCGACTCCCGGGACGGAAGAAATATTTGTATAGCCTACATTTATTTCTCTCGTGACTTTGGCTGTAATGTAATTTGTGGTTGTCTATGTGTATATCTATGGCACCCGCGATACAGAGTTTCCCTAGTGCGGGGTTATGAGTGTGTATTATTAAAATTTAAATGAATGATGTTGGTTTTTAACTTATTTGTATGTGCTTTAGTCCGCTGACCCTAGAATTAAGTAGTGCTCTCTAATCCTGATTGGCGAGAATTGAAATTGACCGTGTTATATTGCATTTTAGTAGCAGTAATTCTCCTTGTGAAAGAGTTCGCCCAGGGTAATACTGCCACGTCGTGGTGAATGTTCACTGATCCCACGGCGCCGACTCAACCGGCGAGAGGGAAACCCGGGGGGGTTTTAGTGGGGTAGGCCCTCCAGTCTGGAGGGAGAGTCCCCACATAACCCCTGAGTCTCCCTGGGCTCAGGGGTATCCATAAAGATTTCCCCCCCGACAAAAAAAAAAAAAAGGGTAATACTGCCACCTTACCTATTTCTGCCGCCAAACAGTAATGTCAGCATTACTGTGTTCCGGTTTTGTCTTGTCATTAGGCTTCAGGTTGACAGGCGCAGTGGTAGTGCCCCTCAGATCATTGCGATTTAAAGCTTTGAGTGGCACTGTAACTGTTATGGACAGGCGTGTAGGTTACCAACAGGCGCACGACTTGTTCGTCCCGTCACTTGACGTTACAAAAAAACTTACCGAATCCTCGGCCGTTTATCCTTAAAGTTCTATATGAAAATGAGTGAGAAATTGAGATTTAAATTTAACTCTATACCCTATACCGTTTGTGATAAGAGGAAACGGTCAAAAATTCAATGTGCGTGCGACTGTACGTCAAAAGTACCAAAACTAATAATAATATTGAAATTTCGACATTGTATGTTGTACATACATAAAACAAATTATAATCGAAAGCTAAAAAATGAGAAGAAAAATTACTCATAGCTTCAAAATGAACATTGCCAAATATTAAAAATGGCGAATAAAAGTAATTGTAATAAAATCTGTCGGTTTGTTGGATTTGCTGGCTACTGTACTTTACTCTTATCCATAGACAATGTACCGATGTTATTTATCGATAAATTAAGTATATAAGAGATCCATTGCCGTTTGCCGATAAATAAAAATTGATGCAAGAAGCAACAGTGGGCATCACTCGCCAGTTCCTCTAGCTAATGATATTTTGTCTATTGTTAAGATGGCGGCTGATGAAAGTGACAGGTTTGTAAATAATACAGTTTCTGATTTTATCCATTTTTTTTCGCTCTAAACTTTAAAAATTAGTACAATACCAGTGATAAAAATAATAAAAACTATGAATAAGTCTGGCTTCAGTAGCCTCTTGATATATTTGAATAATAAAAAAAAGTTGGACTTTGTTTTCCAGCGATCTTAAGCCATCGAGTGTTGCGATCATCAGAGAAGTATACGACAGTGAAAATGCCCACATCAAATTTGAAATGGAATTGGAAAGAGCACTTGAGGCCGGCGTGAGCGTGATCGTAATAGAACCAGAGCCACTAGGCGAAGAGACAGCTCGATGGATTTATGTAGGAAACCTATTGCATGAAGTCGCAGTATACAGTGGATTATGCAGCATCGCCTCAGGTACTATTGTTTTCTACCTTTGACACTCTTTCACTCTATACTAATAGACATCACTCGCAGGACTAGTACAACCAAATCATATGTTACTACTCTATCCTTTGTTGTTTGCAAACCAATGTTCAACAAAACAAAGTAACTGACCTCTGTAACCCTTAACCTAACTGTTTGTTCTTATCTAATTCACCAAAAGATCTATAGATATTATTTCCTCTCGCAGGGGAAATATAAAGTAATTGTAAGTTATTGTAAATGCATGTTAAAAACAGTATAAATAATGTTTGATTAGTAAATAATGTATTTTATAATTTCAGGTTTAGCTTGGAGTTCACTGGCGTGTGCTCCGTTCGGCGTAGTCTCAGTTCTCTGTTCAGGTTGTTACACACTGTCATGGCAATGGGATCCCTGTTGTAAATACCAAGAAGAAAAAGACCGTAGACATTTAGCCACTCTGCCAGTTATGAGTGATCTCACATCAGCCTCGCCAGTCGTACTTGTCCGCAAAGACAATAGAAGAAAGATACTAATACATAACTCAGTGTCCGTTGCAGCAGCTGCCATTTGCCTGTGGAGATTATATCAAACCTTCAAATAGGTGTGTAATCCCTTACAAGCAAGGACTTATGCAATAATGCCTTCTTAGAATCCAGTAGATTCTCAGTTGTGAAAAGAGTTAAAAGTAGAACTAATTTTTTAGTGCTTACTAATGCATTCTTTCTGAAGTCCAATACTGTAATTAAATAATTTGTAGGAAGCAGCCACTGTATAAATTGTTATAATTAAATATGTTATTGATAGTTTAATTAGATAGACAAGCCTGTACAAAAGATATTTTCTTTACATTGTAAGAAAGCTTTTAGTTAATCAAGTGTGATAGTAATTTGTTGAAAGATTCTGTTACACAACTGGTGACAGGGAACATTAAAGTATAAAAAACACTTGTCTCTGTTATCACGCAATAAATGAAATATAACATGAATTAAGTTTGATTTATTATATCCCCTTAACACACCATCTAGAAACAAATTGCCAATATTTATAGCACTGGCAATTCATTTATATTTTTGTTACTTTACGAAAATATAAAGAAACAACAAATGAACAAAAAGTAACATATTCATAAAATAAGCTGTATGAAAAATAAACTACAGATGCTTTATGTTTTGTTGGCCCTCCTGGCCATTACCCAAAAATACATCGAGGGTAGCGAATGTCTGAGCAAAATCGTTACTTTCGGTATAAATTGGCTCAAGACCAATTCTTTATCTTTCCTGACAATGGATTCCAACATTTTACGCGCTGTATACTCTGGACTGAACCCAGCAGCAGTATTTGGGTCCATAACTGCAAAGAAAAACATTTACTTTTTACATTATTTTAAACTGCTACAACAAGAAAACAAATTAACTTTACTGTCATATACCTGTACACTTTTATAGTACATATCAGAAAGAAATTAAGGTCATTGATAAAAGTTGTTACATAAAATTTACCACTTGATATTATAAAAAATTATAACTAACACACATTGCGATTTAGGCTCGAAATGAATTAAAATGATTGAGCTCTGCAATTTTGCCTTACAAAACTACAGTGTCCTACAAAGAACATTCACTCGCGAAACAACCGCCCAAAAACACTTCAGCAATTTCAGTAAAAACTACAATACTTAACGCGCACTATAAGTTTCCGGAACTTACATAAACAATATTTAAAAAGTAATTACAACATTTGAAAATGGAACTCTTTGGCTGTAAAATACAGTTTGTTTACGACTGTCACTTGTTTTTACATTGTGGCGTCATTTTGGAAATTGGTTGTCTACATCACCATGGATTTAAATCGTGAAAATTTTCGTAGTATGATTTTCTACGGCTTTAAGTGTAAGTGAACAGCTCAGCGGAGCTTCGCTCGGCTTCTAACTGCTTTTGGCGATGAAGCACCATGCAAGACGATTATTTATAGCTGGTGTGCAGAATTCAAACGCGGTCGTGTGAATCTCAGTGACGAATTTCGTGATGATCGCCCGTCCACTGCCGTAAACAACAAAAACATCGATTCTTTGCGCCGTATGATCAAAACAGACAGGCATATGCCATACCATGAGATTCGAGCATCTTTAGGCATAGGCATGAGTCAAATACAATCATTACTACACAAACATTTGGGTGTGAAAAAGCTGTGCTCTCGGTGGATCCCACACAATTTGACTAAGGCTCAAAAAACGGAACGCGTCACTTAGTGCAATGCCATGCTTACCAGATTCAACGAAGGGGCGTCAAATTTGGTGTGGGACATAGCAACAGGTGACGAAACATGGATTTATAGTTACGATCCCAAAACAAAGCAGCAATCGAGCGTATGGGTCGTCGAGATGAGCTGAAACCAACTAAAGTGGAGCACAACCAAAGTGCATCTAAGCGGATGATTGCTTCTTTTTTTAAAAAAATTGGACATGTGGCTACTGTCGCTTTGGAGAATCATTGTACCGTGAATAGTGATTGGTAATCAACCATTTGTTTGCCGGAAGGTATTGACAAACTCCGTAAAAATAACCATAAATGCCGTATCATCTGCACCACGACAATGCCAGTTCTCACATGGCCAGACAGACAAATGAATTTTTGAAGGTGAACAACGTTGACCTTATGAGCCAGCCCGCGTACAGTCCCGACCTGGCACCTTGTGACTTTTATTTATTTCCAAAAATTAAGAACCAAATCACCTGAAAGGGCTGTTGAAGAGTATGAAAAATATGTTTCAGAGATTGTCACATTGTTGGATGAGTGGCATAAATATTTTCAAAATTGGTTCATTCGTATGAAAAAGTGCATTAATCCTAACGGAGAATATTTTGAGGAACAATAAATTCATTTCTGACCATTTATAGTATTTTTTCTTATTCATTCCGGAAAGTTATAGTGCGCCCCGCATATTGTACTAAAATTTCCAGAATATTCTTCACAGGATCTTGAAAATTTCCTACAATTCAACTACAATTGAACTACAATTCAATTTTTTTATGTGTTCGAATTTTGTTATATTTGCCACAGTGATTGGCTATTTCTATCACAAAAGTTCCTGGCATGAACTGTGATTCAAATACAGAAAAGCATTACCTGCATGAGGCTCCCCACTGCCAGATAAAGCGTGAAGCGACACGGCAGTCCTGACATATCCAGGGCTCATAACAGTCACATCAATATTGTGCTGTTTCATCTCAGCTCTTAGGGAATCCCCAAAAGCCTGCATTGCGTGTTTTGATGCTGCATATGCTGAACGATCAGGAATTGCTATGAGACCTTGTACTGAGCTTACAAAGACTATGTGACCACTTCTTCTTTCCACCATCTTAGGTAGAGCAGCTGAAATTTTTTGTTATATAGTGTTTAATTAGGTAGGTAACAAACTAAATATTTACACTTGTACAAAACATGCAAAGACTGAAATAAAACTTATGTATAGTAAAAAAAACTATACAATTTAATGTAAATATGTTTCTCTTTAGATGGGAAGACGATCTTAAATATGTTGCTAGAGGAGCATAGAAGCAAATAGCAAAAGATAGGGAGAAATGGAAATCTCTGGAAGAAGTCTATGTCTTAGGACAAGCTGAAGGTACCGAGTCAATAAAATTGAGTAATAATAAGTAATATATAATAAGTACACATGTCATTCAATGTTTCTGTGCTAGATAAGTTAGTAAGTTATCAGCAATAATAGTTATAAAAAAAAAAAAAAAATAATGTTTCTCTTTGAATTCCTAGTCAATAGTCATAAAGAATTTTGATCTTTGTTTCTATAAAACTGACTTAAACCTATGTATGTTGTGAAGTTTTAAATAATTAATTTATTTTAATTATATTAAGCACATTCAATAATAAAGTATGATACTTCATGATATGATATGATATCATGAGATATGATAATCTAAAATGTTTTATTACAATTCTAGTATTGTTGCCTATTCTATTTCAAATTCTAGAAGATATCATTAGACCATTTCAGAGTTATATAAGCAACTTATGAGTCTGTAAAATTACATTATATTATAAATAAAATATACAAAGGGCACAACATTTAGCGGGTGATACCTTTAGTCAACACAACAGCTCCAAAGTAGTTAACAGACATAATTTTCTTGTCCACTTCAAATTTAGTATGCAGTATGGCGCCTCTGTGAGATATGCCTCCATTGTTGATTAGTATGTCAATACGGCCACACATATCATAAACTTTTTGAATAAAACCTTCTAGGGTCTCAAGATCGCTAAGATCCAGTAGTATTACCACTGGCTCTTCTGTTGGCAGGGTCTGTAATAAAACAAATTGTATAATATAGATGTGTTTCAGCATGCATAAATATAGTTTATGAAACCAAATGAGTATGGAAATATGAAGTATGATTGAATTGAAACTCGAAAAAATCTTTATTTCACCAGTTAACAAATTATTTAAACTAATTAAATCCTACTACTCATTTGTAAGGCACATTTCCCTGAAAAAATGAGTAAAAATTCTAGTGGTTGCTCTTTGTATATTGACTTTATTCACATTTATCAAACACAATACTTATTTCTAACACTAATATCATATGAATCTGAAAGAGCTAAACAGATCATTACTATGGATTTTTGTCATATAAATAAGCAGAAGCAATAAAACAAAAATTTTGTACAAAGTTTATGAGGTTTAGAAGTATAGCTAAACAATAGCTATACTTTTAAACCTCGTAAACTGACATTTTTAATAGTAACTGGAATCTTACGATGCACTGCCACTTAAATTAGTGTATGATTTTGTGAATACTATAGTCATGAACTGCCAGTTTATTTTTTTCCTCACTTCACACTGTCTATAACTATTTTACATCAAAAAAATTATTAATCTTCTAAACATAAATTGTAACAAAGTTATTTCTTTAGATTTATCTCTTAGAGACAAACTGGGGCTCAGTTTGTCTGAGCCTGTAAAATTGACCTAACAGCATGTCACAGGCCAAAGATTCTGTTAATATTGGCGGTATTATCAAAAGCAAAATGTTGATTATATAGATAGGTCTAAGAATAGTCAAACATATAAAGCACAATCTGCTTACCTAACAATTCAATACAATACACTTGCAAAAAAGAGCAATATAAAAGGCATGGATTAACAAGGGACCTTGTAACCAGGTAGATATTTTATTAAGAAAACTGTGCTATGTAAGTGTTATTTTCTGACTTTAATAAATTATATAAATAAATAACAATTATTGTGAAATCAAATTCATCTCATTATTGTGCAATAGATGCGCGCTTAATGTAGGTTGAGGATGTCACTCATTTTTATGAGGAGTTTTTTAAACCTTCTTCAATATGAAAGTTTCATCATAATGCTTTCCTGCACTGTTACACATAATTTAATTAGTAATGTTATGAAAAATTTATAAATAACTTAGTTAACAATTTTTTTACTCTATACTCACTAAGTTTTTGGAGATGAGATCATTTTTGACCCGATTGAGTTCAGTCTCCCTGCGAGCAGCCAAAACTACCTTGCTTCCCTGTTCATAGAAAGCATGAGCTAGTGCCTCTCCAATGCCTGAACTTGCACCAGTTATAACTACCACCTGAAAATTTTAATTACTTTTTCTACTAGTTTGTGACATTTTTTATCTGATGAAACAATGTATAGACAGAGTAGGTACCACATTATTAAATCACATAATACTGTTAGTCAATGAAAAATGTAACAAGATAGTATTGTACCATATGTATAACAAATGCTTACTATGACCTTTTGTAACAGATAGTGTAATGTAAGGTTATAACATAACTGTACATCAGTGAGATGTGATACTTTGAGAATCAAAGTGAATATCACACTAAGTATCCAAAGCTACTTTTATATTTGAGTATAAATCAAAACTTACCTTTCCTTCTAAAGCGGCTCTAAGCCGTCTTTGGGTACTTCTACATAAATTAAACATTATATTTATCACACCAACAGTTAACGGTATCCCCAAGTATTTGAAGTACCAAGAAGCGGAAACAAGACTAGAACGCGGAGTCATATTTAAATTAGAATACCGGTTTCCAACAAATTTAATACTTGTAATTACGACTCACTGGATTTGGGTTATTACTGATTACAAACAGTTATCGAATATTTGTATTTTGCAAATTTTGAAGGGCCCTGCAGGTAGACTTTCGTCTTGCAGATTTCTTTATTTACACAAGTGTACACAAGTTTCCTACTGTAACGTTACATTATACATAACTGTCCTTAAATCTAGGTGGGTATTAAAAATCGACGGGGCTACGACTTGGCCACCGACAAATAAATTCGAAATATGCAATTTACTAAATAAACTTTTCTTATATTTTTTCAAAAAAATATGAGTGTCAAAAATACTGTCACCGAAAAAGTTCATCGCATAGACTAATATATAATACTGGAGATAGACTGGCAACTGTCATTTCTTGACGCTGAGCGGCATCTATACGCTAAGCGGAGTACTAAATGACGTATATATAGCTACGTATCTATAGATAGGATATCATTCAATCATTTGATAATAATAAATACTTAAAACTTGCATGTTTTCATTGTTCTCGAAATATCAAAGGTATTCACGACTGCAATAAGAGATTAACTACTTTACTACAGAAAATGAAGTAAATGATTCTATACAAGTCGGTCAAACAAGTATAATATTTCGAGAACCATAAAAACACCCAAGTTTTAAGTATTTATTAGTACCAAATAATAAAAAAGTGTATGTAGTTAGGAACAGAGATAAATAAAACATATTAAGGTATTGATTTTTTTTAAACATTTATTTGTACACCGGTTTGCCGTTCTCGTTTTCTACCCTTTTTTTTATTATAATGTTCTCGAGCCCGTACGATAATGCGGTCCATTTCACTATCTGTTTTGGAAAAATTATAAAAGCTCTTGCCAGTAAGGACATTGCTGACTTCTCTGCACCAATTGTTTACGAAGAACACAACACTTTTATTCCATAAATACTTAGATAGTGTATTTTTCACATCTACAAAGTGCCGTCGACAAATTCTTCGGGTTTTGTAGATAGTGTTGTTGTCCAGGCTCGCAATACCACCTCCAATGATCTTGACCCAATTTTCAAACCTTACTGCATCTTTCTCAGGATTTGGAAAGTAATGTAGAGGTACACCTGAAAAAAAAATTAAAATTACTTGTACCGATACGCAATTTATTGACTATGAGTAGGTAATAATTCTTTACGTAAAAATATCAATGCTTGAAAGGCAAAATGGGATAAGCGACACGACACAAAATTTGCAAGAGAGCCATAAAATCGGCGAAACTATAAAAAAAATAATCACCATAACTTTTCTTGAATACTAATTTTTGAAACAAAGCTTTATATTATTTTAAAAAATTAGTCTCTAAGAAAAATTATGTGAATTTCATTCAATATTTCCGAGGTAGAAGGCTCTCTTAAGTTTCTTTCTTGTCGCTTATTCCATTTTGCCTTTCGAGCATCGATATAGTTGTAGTTATTTGTTATATCTGTGTATATTTCTTAAACCTTTAAACTCATTAAAAATGTCCGATAAATAAGATACCCTTTAGAAATTCATCGTTTTTTATTGATATAAAGATATCTTCTGACAGATTTATGTACATATCGATATGTTTAAGTTACCAGAGTAGGTACAGAATAATTGAAGATACAGATATGACATGAGGTTTAATTTTTAAATAACATAATTACACTTACCACCCTTTGCTACGACCAGACACCCAGGAACACAACAGACGTCTCGAGGCATTGTGTAAAACGTTCAACTATTACTACACTGAGATATATGGTCCAAACTCCGTAGGGAGGGCCTATCTTATGTATGTAACAAACACTTACACAATAGACACAGTCAATACTGAAATGATGGTATTTCGGAATATTATACGGAGGAACTGAAGCTCAACTCAACGTAAATATCAATAAAACACCAAAATTACGAGAAAATTGCGCACGAGTATACAAACACAACGGCAGAAAATTTTCTTGTGACGTTTAGTATGTGTTGCCATAATTTGCTAACAGATAATAACCCTATCATTCCAAAATTATCAAACATAAAAATAAAATAAATTATTTATAAATGAATTATTGCCGTTTTAAGCATAACTTCTGGTTCCTACAGATCAACCAGAAGTTATGTTAAGTTATATTATTAAATTATCTAAGAAAAATAGCATAATTGACAATTTATGTAATGTACTAAAATGTATAACGCGAGAAAGTGGTATCACTGATAAAAATAGTTCCCCGCGTACGGGATAGATGGCGTGCATCTTGAAAAAAAATTTTTGTTCTTAAGTTACCAGGGCATGGTTCATCGTACTCTAGGCTCTAGGGCTGTACCTTAGATAATGAAGGGTTGTACATATAAAAAACGTAGTACCTCATATTAGTTTGTGATATAAAATTATTTTTAGGCCAGATTTTTTTTAATATAGACATTATGTTTCTGCCTAGCGTTGACTCAGAAATACCATGGAAAATTATCTACAAAGAATCCAGAATAAAATGGAACTTTGAAACTAAATAATTATAAAAAAAGAACGTATCTAGTGTTGGGTCATGGACACCATTTTGAAAAAATCATGTTTTTCATCATAGAGTTGAAGACTAAACTTTATTACGAGAGATTGTAAACTAAACCTCAGGTTCGTATTCTAGAACGGGAGTTCTCAATGCTCAAGTCAGGACTTGAGTATGATTCAAGGCACTAGAAATCATACTCAAGTCCATGCCATTAGGGTCGTATTTCCAATGCTTGAAATCATACTCAAGTCTGCTCAAATCCTGACTTGAGCATTGAGTAGAAAACGATCCTTTAGTCTAGTAGTCGTATTTCAAAATACCTTCTGACATTTCTTGAAGCTTAATTCCTTTTTTTCTTCACCTTGAGCTTAGTACGTGATGTGTTTTAATATTCCTAATGCAGGATTTTGTCCTGCAGGAAAAACTCTCGTGTGCCAATTTTGTATTGTTTTGGAGAAAACTTACCTCAAAGTTCTTAAATTTTTGTACTTAGAAATTATAAAAAAAATTAAATCTCAAAAAATAATAATAATACTAAATATTTATGAACTTCAATTTAACAGGAACTTAAAACAATATTCGTTCAGCTTTGTCGCTTTCCTAAAATGCAAGCATAGTTCCAAAAAAAAAATCCATAAAATGGTTACAATTTCTTTTCTGTTATTTCACGTTAGTAACACCCAAAAATCATTTAAAAAAAACAGTTACCCATACAAACTGTTCTCACGAAAAAAAAAACACGGTACAGGGTCAAGAACGCATCAAGCTTGACACTTAAGATTTAAATCCAACTCTATGCCGCTTTCGATAAGAACGGTCCAAAGTGTCAATCTTGACGTGCTCTTGACGTACAGGGTCAAGAGCACATCAAGCTTGACACTTAAGCCTTAAATCCAACTCTATGCCGCTTATGTTAAAAACAGTCCAAAGTACATACAAAGTGTCAAGATTGATGTGCTCTTGACTGTACTTCGGCAATATGCGTATCTATATTTTTGCTGCAATAATTTTTCAAATATTTTTCTTAAACAACTGTTTGAATTTTTTTGGATAATTATGTGAAAATGTGAATGGCATATATTTTACGAGGGAAGCATCTGGCCATAGACAAGTAAGCATTTTCAGCATATTGCATAGTAAAACTAACTGGCAACACCAATACTAAAATCCACAAATTTCTTGATTACGATGTGGGATTATGTTTGATTTGCCCTGAATAATTTAGTAAAATAGTTTCATAATGTTTCAGTGAGTATTTAACGACAATTCTATGTGGACAACAACTGCAGTGCTCTAAAATACATTTCCTTCACTTGGCTGGGAGTGTCGCTCTGATGCGCTGACCTTCGTTTTGATGCACAACGCACAACAAAGCATCAAATTGACGGCTGCCCCATTTTCACAACAATCTTTCGATTTGTTATTACTTATATATTTGTGCAATGTGCATCTTATGATACATCGTCGGGAGATTAACACTGGAATTTATGTGCTGTGGTACATATGTGAGAAGCTAAACGATAATGGAATCGGCGGCTACGCAAACATCCATTGCAGTGTGTCACAGTCACAGTACAACAGTGAAGACTTTCTTTTTAACTTCTAGCGGACCTGGAAAAAAGTAATACCGTATTGATAGAACAACAATCAAAATGAACGAAAGGGACATTCCTAGTGTCCCTATCACCACTTTAGCAGGAGTAGCCAGTTTGACTGACTGTAAGTGTTACTACCATAGCATACTAATTTGTATAACCCAAATGATATGATCAGTAAGCACTGCTTAGAAGGTGCTTTGTATTCAAAATTCTACTGCACAATGCTTTCTTCACATATTAAACCTTTTATTTGCAATTACATTGCAATACAATAATTATGTATAAGTAGTTTAATTGTAAAATGTAAATGTTTCCAATTTATATAGCATTATAAGGAAGTAATCAGTGTTAATAGAGCAATTTTATTTTAAATTGATGCTGACTTATAACATTTGATAATTCACTAGATTATGGTTTTAATATAGTGCATTGTTATCCCATTAAATGCGTAAAGTAAGTAGAACACTTAAAGTTGCATTGCATGTAATATAACACTATAGACATTCAAATGTAATAGCTTGATTATTTGAAAATAAGTGTATAAAGTATTGCCTGTTTTTATACATGAAACTGATAAATTAAATGATATAAGATTACTCCATAATCATAATTTATGGTCAAACATAATTAATTACTGGCATTTTAATATTATTGTTCTATATATCTGATATGAAACTTATAAAAACTGAAAATTTTGTTAGAATTTGAGGTTATGTTTTTAAAACCTTTATTGAAAGGTACTTACACACTTATTGCACACCACAATACAGTACCTTAAAAAACTATGACTTTCTCTTGAGGTTGTTTATATTACCACCTATTTACATTATATAGCCACCTATAACTGTTACAAATTTGACTTGGCATGCAAGTGGTCATTAGAAATCAAGGATATTCGTTTTGAAGTTAAGAAACTACTGGTTCCTTGAATTACCCATAATTTTTCGTAACTAATGTATAGATTCATTTTTTATCTTTCATCCATAATATGTAGATGAAATCAACTAATCACTTTGACTGCGCAGTAGTTCTGTACCTCAAAAAAGAATGTGAGTCCTTGGTTAACCCATTGCCACACTGTTTCCTTCACAATTTTGATTCTGTAATGTCCTAAAGCCACACGGTGTGTCTAATATGCAGCTGTGTTTTCATTCTGCATTAAAAAAAATATATAAAACATTTTATAAAAATAAAAAAAATTCTCAACAATATTGTTATTGATACATTATGTCATACTGACATAATAATCAACATCCCACTAACTTATTTTGAACATAATGTTTTCATGCACAAAACCTTATTGTTTCAGTATTACCAGTGTTACCACTTCCAACACCTCTACCATCTACCCTTAACAATAAATCACAACTCTTCCACCCACGAGTCGCTGAAGAGGCCGCCATCTTACTTGCTACTCAAGATGACAACTTGGTTTCATTATTGCTGCAGTCTCTTATGCAAACATCTGTCCAACATATGTAAGAATCTGTTTAATATTACATATATGTTTATTATTTATTTTTAGAGAACATACATGATTTATAATTGGAGAAAAAGGTTGTTTGGTTGTTTTCTTCTTTTTACATTAAATGTCAATTTTTACAATATTTTTGATCACATGTGTGGCCACTTCACTATTTGGAATATTTCTATGGGGGATCTCTGCATGTGTTTCATCAATATTATCCTGGCCGTACTTCCCATGGGTTGGCAAGGGTACTAGTAAATAAGAAATGATTTTTTGACACATTGAGTAATTAATTTAAATAAAGTTAAATAACGCACACACTCATAGCCCTGCCCTAGGAAGACCCTGTATTGCGGGTGCCTTGAACACACACATAGAGAACCACAAATTACACCCAAACTCACAAGAGAAATAAATATAGGCTATGCAAATGTTTCTCCTGGCCTGTGAATTGAACCCAGGACCTTTGCGTGACAGCCCAGCATGGTATCCGTTCAGGCACAGGGCAGTCAATTAACACAATTAATTTCAACAAAATGATACTCGAAAGTTCAAGAATTTTTTAAATTCTATAGAAATAATTTAACACTTTTTGGGCAATGATTGTGAATGGTATTATACTTAAAGACATCTTTTTATACTCTTGTTAATTTCAGAGACCTCAAGGATGAAAGCATACCAAATGCAATCAGTCCTGCCCCTGAACAACAAACTCCAGAATTATTAAAAGCTATCTTACGTGTCAACCCAACTGTGTTTGAAAATCAAAGCCAGAGAAATCACTGGGGTAACCATGTGAATACCTCAAAGTTTAATGGATTGTCACCTTCTGCTTCTTACAACTATGCATCACACAGTAATGTCCACTCCAATCCTTCTTCACATGGTACAGCAGTGCACTCCGCCATTTTGAATCAACAGCTCCTGGCGCCGCCTTGCCAGTCCTCTCCTCACGTGAATATGGCTTCTCCCCCTTCGCAAGCCAGGCCAGGCAGCCAAGTAAACATTACTGCTCAGAACAATGTATCACCAGTCTGGAACCGTGGTAACTCTTCCAATGTGTACACCAGTCCAATATCAAACACGTCTACCCCACAAAATGGTGGTTTCTACAATAGCCTAATTCAGGACAGGAGTTTTGATACAAATATTGCTGAGGAGAAAGATCCATTGTCAATGTCGCCAAGAAACGTGACTGACCAGCAAAGGCTAATGATGCAATCTCAGGATAAAAGTTTTCAAGGTATGTTTGTCATCAGAAAAATACAACTTTATGCAAATTTGGATTGTAATATTATATGTACATTTAACATTACAGATGGCAATGTGATGACTGGCCAATCGCCTGCGCAAGCTAGTGTGGCGCCGTCGCCGCTGCGCCAAGAGCCACAAGTGCCTCAACCGTCAATGGGCGCACCGTATGCGCCAACGCAACCCCAAAATACCACTGACAAGGATCCTGCGAAAGGCGCAAATTCCGTTAATAGCAGATTTCCTGTTGTCAAAATTGGACGCCTTTCTGTAAGGGTACAATAAACTTTATACATATATTTTTTTATTCAATGTGTTGTTTTTCCATAACAATCTAATGAGTTTATTCTATCTATTGCAGGAAGGGATACTCAAGAAACATGAGTTTTCTTCTGGTGATGAGAGATCAAGGAAAAATAGTACAGTAGAATCAGACTCTGATGATAACATACCTCTGAAACCCAAGTCGAGTGTCTTAGTGCCACCTGTCGATAAGGAGAGAGAAGCTATAGACATCGCTAGAGAAAAGAACTGGGAAGCGGTTAAACGAAAACACGAGGAAGCCAGTAAAAAGGAAGAAGCCGAAGCTGCTATAGGTATTCATTTGCTACTGTTTTTTTGCCATCTAATTTTTAATAGCGAAAGAAGTAAATTCGATCTTCTTGGTAATCTATGCCTTTTCTTTTTAATTTTTGTAAATTTTTTACATTTCGAAAACATTACAGTTGTGCTATTCTTTTTTTAAAAAATGCTATTTATGAAAGAGTGTTTTGTAATTTTGATTTTCATTTGTTTTAATTTAATCTTGTGCAATTTTGCATTACATTACTGTGTAAGTTAGTTTCGATGTATTCAAATGTTAATATTTTAATTTAATATTAAAATAACAGTCATTTATCTTACAAGTTAAGACTGATAAATATATATTTAAAAATAAGTTCTTTTTTTCGCGCCTTTTTTTCATGTGATTAATTATTAATTTACACTGAATCTGAACATATCTTTAACAATTGGGCATTCATTTCAGTACGACCGAAACTCAGGAAGGTCGAACGAAGATTAGTACCTGTTCTAGAAATGTTGTCGGTAGATGAACTTATGGAGACCAACACTTATCAGAAATTTAACAAGTTGATTGAATCCGTCTTTGAAACTATTGAGGATGATGTCATTATTACTGATGAAATGGGTAAGCAAACAATACTATTAAAAATTAAACACATTATTTTGTTCACTTTTGAAGGCAGGTACCACCAAAGTCTATCTCCTCTTCTATTGTTTCTTAACCTCTTAACGCAAAAACACGAGATATAAGATTGAAGCCATCTTTGTGCGTCTATGGCATCGCAGTTCGCAAACAGATAGACTGATCTCAGTAGTTTTTTTTTATTGAAGGCTGATTGATTCGCGATTATTCTTAGCTGATTATTGTCACTTAGTATAAGAATCAGGGATTTTTTTTTAAATTTTATTTAAGTGTGGCTATGTTTGATTTTATACAACTTACACACACTTGCGTACGCACTTACACACGAACACACATTGTTTTCTTGTTATATGCTACGCTTTATTTTGTAATATGATCATATTTTTTAAAATAATATTAAGTTCTTTATACACTTAAAGGGAGTGAGCCTGGTGATCTGTAACACAGGTCCCCAACCTAGTACAGACTTCAGCTCTCAGTAAGGAACTTGTTATTATACATGAAATGTAACTACTTATACCTTTCAGAGAGAAATAAAGCATTTTGTATAGTATTGTATACAGTTAGCAACTAAAGTAGTATTTTAGTTGTATTCTAGACAATGACTGCATTTATCATAGAACAGTCACTGCCTTACACAAGGGTGCAGTTAAGCTCACAGAGTACTTAACGCATTTAAGCGATAGATTTAAAAACATCTGCTCCACTAGCTATCTAAGAGCTCCTGATGTGATTTTTTAAATGTATTGTTCATTTAAAGTTACTACAATGTTACATGCTATAAATTAATTTGGTGAAGATCTTATCTAATTGCACAACTAATTATATTTGCAAAAACAATGTAAAGATGAATGTAAACTTAAAATACAATAACTAATAAACAATACAAAAAAGAGCAATAAATACAAGAGAATTACTGTCTCGGGCAGTATCAAAGTGAATGGGAAAAAATTTATTTATTTAAAGTTTAATAGTCTTGTTTCACGAAATTTGTGTAGCCGAAATAGGTTTGTCTATGTAATTGTGTGTGAAGCCGGCAAATAATGACCCTTAATAATGATTACATTTAATGATTTAGTCATCAAAATGGAATGTCATAGATCTGTGTTTCTTCGTTATTTTTTACATTTCCATGGCGCTTAGTGGAAATAACAAATTGATATTAGTTTACACGCCAGCTAACAAATGAAAACAAATATCTTTATTTTGTATGTACTCAAATTACACTTGAAATCGTTATTTATATCAATTCAAAAACCACTACTCCTTAACAGGTCAATTTCAACTGAGAATATTTTTTTTTGTGTCATTCACAAATATTTCATAGGTGGAAGTATACCGTGCATTCGTATCATCCCTGTAATAATTGATTTTATAATAAGCTTTTCTTATAACTTTTTTCTGATAAATTTTGTACATTTTAAAATGTATATTAAGTCTAAGCATAGAGTCGCAAGTTTATTTTTGTTTCTAAGATTAAGGTTATGCCTGTCACTGTTTTTCGGAAATGATGCTACATTTTTACGAACATACGATATATTTTCAAATATAAAACAACTGAGTCAAAACGTTTGAATCTTTAAACCATTCCCTTAAAGTGTCATGGCATCCTAATTTATAAATTGCATGTACATCTCTTTTTTGTAGCACAAATATTGTTTGAATGTCTGCAGCTCTCCCCCCAACAATATGCTTAAACATGAATTGCGGATGCGTTGGGTAACATGGTCAACATCACTTGCATGTGGTCCTTCTCATCCGATCCAGATGACAAACACTTTTCGTCTGATTGTAGCCTCATGGTGTTACAGCTTATACATCTATTTAATCTTTTAGAGGGCACAGATATACCAGAAGAATTACTCCTACCACGTTATCAGCTTCAAGAACTATGTTCCGAAGCGGCAAAGCTGAAGAACCTGGGTGCTATGGGATCTATCCCTTCCGACAGATTAGTTCGGCTATTAAACTTGCTGGAGAAAAACATAAGGGCTGCGGAAAAGATGTCTTTGGTTGGAGACCCTGTGAGTACACTTTTGTAGAGACTACTTGTCTTTTTCTATGTATAAGCTAGCATTTTCTTACCTTCTCGAGCTACCCTATCCCTTTATCACTTCATCTTTTCACGATTGGCACATATTGTAAATGACATTGTTTTTTCGGATCTAACCGCGTGTATTTGTAATTTCAAACAAATCAACGTTACAAGCTCTTTACAGGTTAATCAGCTGTGATAGTAAAGAGCCCAAAACATTTGTTTGTTTAAAAAAAAAAGGCAGTTTACATCATAAATTTGTCCATTTCTAATTAATTTACAATGGTTTAAGTATCTACAATAACAATTTTCACGTCTATAATACTTAATCTGATTTAGTTCTTTTAATTATAGCATAAACATTTTATAAAAGTTAATTTATTAACATAAATTGGTCCTATTGGGAATCAAACCCGGGACCTCCTCATCGAGCGCCCACAGTGTAAACCGTAGAATCACCGAGATCGTCGAAATCTAATAAACTTTTACATGGTTCTACTTAGAATTTTGTGTTCATATGTTGTGGCTTAAATAATGCAATTTACTTAACATTGTACTTGTAATGCAATTTTCTTGCCCTTTGTATTGTAAAAAATGAAACGTAATTATATAACACAACTAATTTTACAGGAGGACAGTGAAGAAATGCGACAAATATGGATCGAATCAGCGCTCGAGCGAGTTATGTGTGCGTCTGATGCTTGCTTAACGGCCCTGTACATAATGACGTCACCGAGCATGCCCAAACGGGTGTTCCTAGAGGACGTGATAGATAGGATCGTTATGTTCATAAAATTCCAACTCAATAACACTATTTACTGTGTCTACGATCCCGTATATAGCATTCAGACCACTTCTAAAAAGAAAGGCAAAGGTAAGTAGTCAGTTCTCTTTGAAGTTTAATTTCTATTGTATGATTAGTGTTTATAGCAAACTTATTATTTACCTCTCTTATTGGAATATTAGGTTAATTATATCTTTATACAAGTATCATCATCAACTTACACGCCTCCACTGCTGGACATAAGCCTCCTCTAGAGCACGTCAACTGTCCCGGTCTTGTGCCGCCCGCATCCAGTCACTGCCGGCCACCTTGCTCAGGTCGTCCGTCCATGTTGCCGCAGGGCGTCCCACACTACGTTTTCCTTGATGTGGTCGCCATTCCAGAACAAGTCTGCTCCATCGCCGATCAACCCTCCTGCAGACATGCCCGACCCACTGCCACTTAAGCTTACTGATTTTGCGGGCTAAGTCGCACACTTTAGTTCTCTGATGTATGACCTCGTTAGGGATTCGGTCCATTAGAGAAACCCCAAGCAAAGCTCGCTCCATCGTACGCTGAGCGACCTTAAATTTGTGGACGAGGCCTGTTGTTAATGTTCACGTCTCGGCTGCGTAGGACATAACTGGTAGAACGCACTGGTATAAATGCCTTAGTTTTTAGGCTTTGTGGGGTTGACGACCTGAAGATGTGACTAAGCTTCCTAAATGCCGCCCAGCCCAATCGAATTACAATACATTACAAGTATATATAATTAATATTTATTTGTATGTATGTTTGCGTACGACATTGCCTTCAAATTACATTTGCAGTTGTCATCCCGTAAAAAGTCATAATAACTACACAATTACAAAATCTTGTTTCACTTTGCATATGACTATTCCTCCACAGTGGACGGTCGCAAGCGGCGCGGCGGCGGCGCCGGCAACGTCTCACGGCGGTACGGCGGCGGCTCAACGCGCGCTGTTCGAGAACTATACACTCACGCGCATGAATGTGTTACATTACTCGCCGAGTTGCTAGCCGCTCATCACTTAACAGATACCACCGTGCTCCATGCCTCGACGGTTGGAGTGTCCCCTTTCTTTGTAGAAAACGTCAGCGAGCTACAGTTGTCTGCGTTGAAGCTTGTTACAACAGTTTGTATACAATATTTTCAAATTAACACTGATTCGATAATATTACTATTCTAAGTATAAATGGTTACTTTGTATAGAGTTGCATGCTTATGAAAGTTCTACCGTGTCAAACCAAAACTCTAATATCATAAACAGTATTTTAAGAAAAAGCTGCAAAAAGGATTTATCTGTTTTTTGTAATTTTAACTTTATATATTAGATACGGAAGAATTCTATGTAGTCATTATAATTTTACTTAACAAAATAAGGTATTTCTATTTAAAACTGCGTAAATTTCTTTCCCTTGATAACAGTTGAAAGAGCCGAAAGTCTTTTTACGTTTCACATGATAGAGTTGTATGTATCTTACGAATCTTAACATTTACATTAATGGACGACACGATAGTTGTTCTTGATTGTTGCATTCTCATTACCATTCAACCCTTAAAATGCAGGGCGGTACCTATACCTCTTAGATGCTAGGTCTAATTAATAACATTATTTACAGATATTCACAAAATACGAGCAACACCGGCGTCTCCTGCTAGAAGACATTCTAGCCTCCATAGCGCGCATTCCAAGCTCGAAACACAATCTGCGATCGTTCCAACTCAACTCGGACCAGCACATCCAGATGTTGACAGCACTAGTGTTGCAACTCGTGCAGTGTGTTGTCACCCTGCCTGAGACACTTTGCAAGACTCAGGATAAGGCTAAAGATAAGGAACAAGGAGAAAGTGACAATAAAAAAGTAAGTTGTAATAATAGTTATAAAACATTCTAATTATGATTATATATTATTTACTAATAGTAGAGCTCCCTGTGAAAGAGTTCGTCCAGGGAATTACTGCCACCTTACCTATTTCTGCCGCCAAGCAGTAATGTCTGCATTATTGTGTTCCGGTTTTGATGGGTGCGGGTGCTGGTGAAATTACAGGCACATGGGACTTGTCAACTTATGCCTCAGGGTGACGAGCGCAGTGGCAGTGCCCCTCAGATTTTTGCGATTTAACTTTTATGGACAGGCATGTAGCTTACCATCATCTTATTATAAATATAAATATAGATGTAATGTCAAGATAGAAATCATAACTATATAGTAGTAGAAAAATAAAGAAACAACCAATTGGCTAATTTTTGGTTTTATAGAGCGTCATCTCTGTCAATCATACTTGTGTCACAGTATTACAGTATCTTCGTTGTTAAAGTTCGGCGAGACCGCCGCCTGTGTACGTACGTACTTGCGCTGTCGTACGCAGATATTCAATGGTTGTCACAAAACGGAAAAATAAAAAATGTGATTATTATTATAACGGAATCATTTATTAACAATCATTATTATTTATCAATACACAACACAATACTTATTAAATATTTACAAGTGTTGTACTTCCAAATATTACATGACACTTTACTTTTAGGTGTTTTTAATTTTCTATCATTATATTTTCACATTTGGATGAACAATTTAATCATAAAAGTCAAATAATTATTTTAAAACATTGTTGTAGATAGCCTCAAAAATATTTGAAAATAGTTGTTTGTTGCGTATATATTCCGTTATTATTCATCTGATTACGATAAAACTTTCGAAGTTCAGAATGCGGTCAGAACTCTGAGTGCTTAATAATTCCGGGTTGTATTCTTGGTAAAACCAATGTATAATCTGTTGTATAACCATTGTACAAGAAAGTATAAAACCGGTTAGGTTAAAATTCCAAAGCAATCACTTAATAAATGGAATAAGTAACTCTTTCACGCACATAATTTTAAAAATTTCCACTTGATATCTCACCACTTTTTTCAACAATATTCATTTAATAACGTCTTTAAATCGTATTTGAAAAATTTTAGTCAAAAGAGTGAGGTTGTTTTTAAATATAGCCAATAATATGTCCAGTAATATGACCAGTCTGTGGTTGCTCAGTGCTGTTTGGGAAAAATCATTTGGTTCATTCAATGCAAATTTTTGTAGACGAATAGTAATTCGTAAATTTTAGTCACAATCAGAGATGGACAAGCGCCCGGGTTTTTACTTGGCGCTTTGTTCACGCCGCCGGGTTTCAATACGGTTAAACAACTAAATATTTGTTATGGTTATTAATACAAAGATCAAACATTCAGAAAAAATTCCTTCGATCCGGCCGGATTCAAACCGACGTCTTCTAGCATATCGTGCCAGACGCTATACCAACTAAAACTAGAAAAAAGCCACGGAACGAACCAGCGGACCTCACGAATTTTTCTATGTGTTGGTTGTCGTGTCTTTGTATTTTGTTTTTCAACGACTTTTTAGTCGTAACGCCATTTATGAGAAATCTATGAAAGTTTTATCACCCAGTTAGATACCTTAAAATAGCTACCGGCCCTGGTGAGAGATGTCGCTATTCACTGTATTTTAAATTTTTATTGAATTGATATTCAATTATTTTTTGTGAAATTACTCTACTAGTTTGTTATGATTATTAATACAATAATGTTATTTCACATAAAATAATTGAATATCAATTCAATAAAAATTTAAATAACTAAATATTTGTTGTAAAACGAGTTTTGTTTGAATTATATGATATAAAATATTTATTTTTGATTCGATCTGATGAATCGATTCGCTAGAATATAGCGTTGAAATAAATCGATACAAAAAATCGTTAGATCATGTGCACTAGAGTCGATCTTCATAAAAATCGAATCGTGCAAATATACATCCTTAGTGGACAAAATCCACAGAATTGCAAGATGGGTATTGTGGAGAGTTGCTTTCTCGTCTAAAAAAGATTTTTTACATCGACATTTATGGATGAAATATAAGTATGGAATATAATACAAGTACCGTATTCGTCGACTCCGTCGACAATTTTGGGCCGAAATGAATTAAAACCAGGCACTACGGGTAAAAACCCCATTAGAACCCGGGTAAACCTGAGCCCACCGCTGAACACAGTTGAAGGAGTATTTAAGTGTAAAGTATTAAAGGAGGTTTAGAATCAAACTCCAACAGCAATGTTTCAATTGAAATAACGAATGTTTTACTCAACTCGATCCCTCGCCCAATCAAACACTTATCAGCCATTGCGGCAAGAGACACCACAAACACACTATTTGCAAGTCAATTGATTATTTCTTATTTGGAATCGACAACAACCGCGATTTAAGAATTTGATAAATTAAACTTTCGCACATATTTTGGAGTTTTTAAAACAAAGCTAACTATTGTATATAATCTTTACTTGTAGTAATTCTTTCATTTTAAAATGGGGAGTCCCGACCGACGCTAAGTCCACCATTTTGTTTATTCGTTTACCAGCCATTCATCACTGATTCTTGCATGTGTTTGGTTGCTCTGCTTCTTTCTATGCTTTTGTTCCAGAATTCTTCCCCTTACAATAATATTTTTCTAATTCTATGTATGAAATATCATCACTCAGTATCGAATCACATATTTTTTGATAGTGATCAGCAGCGAAATCGTAAAACGAACTGTTATTCCAACTGATTCAATTAAACAAATCGATTCATTCAATTAATTCATCGATTTGTAGTTGGCAGTACAATTTGGCCATCACTAAACCGTCTATGGCCGGACCAGCGATCTGTTTATTTACTTTTCTTCTAAAATAGATTGGAACGAAGTATAGGAAAAATATTTCTTCTGAATTGTTTCTTGTCCAGACAAGACGTGTTCTGGGTAGTGCCCCTGAAATTCATATCGTTACCCTGGCACTCGTAGTGCAGGGAACTTAGTATTAAGTCACAAGGAATTGGTGTGATGGTCTGGTGACGTTATTTTAATGTAAACAATTTGTTTCCAACCTCCCGCCATATAAAATTAATAAAATAAACAACACATGCGCGACTACAGTGACAAACTCCACCACCAAAAATATACCCGACACGTGTTTCGCCTCTACGAAGCTTCCTCAGGAGTTGTCGATTGTTCGACTCTCAGCTCAAGAATAAATTTCTTTTGGTGGGAAAATTAACTCCATGAAAAAAATATTCAAATATACGCAAGCCCAGCCTTTTAACCCGATTTGACTAGGTTGGCGGAGTAGCAAAATAATTTACTTCCATTTTTAACCGACTTCAAAAACAAGTGGAGGTTCTCAATTCTACTGTGTTTTTTTTTATATGTCACGCGATACTTATATGAGAACCGATTTTCATTATTCCTTTTTTTGTTGGAAAGAGGGTACCTCATTAGTGGTACCATTTAAGTTTGAAGGAAATATTCCACCTCCAATGTAGGAAACTAAAGGATGAATGCGGTTTCGCGCACTTCCCGGTAACCGGTTTCCATAAAACTTGGTAAACAGATGTAAGTCCATGAATTTTTGAGGTTGGTTTTTTTAGTATTTTGTAGTGAGATCATTATTAAACTTGATTTCAGCAAAGTAACGCCGTATCTATTTTTTTTTTACAGCACATGGACAAAGATCTCATGATAATATCAAAATACGAGGCAGCGATCAGCGTGGGTGGAACATTCCTCACGTCGTTCCTGAACAAGTGTCGCAGTCGCAACGAAGAGGTTGACTTCCGGCCCCTGTTCGAGAACTTCGTGCATGATCTTCTGACCACTGTCAATAAGCCCGAGTGGCCTGCCACCGAACTGCTGTTGAGCTTACTTGGGACTATGCTAGTAAGTGGCTTATCGTTACTTTGAACTCAAATGACAAACCCCATCTATAAATACACTGTTGTTGCTGTGCCTGTAGGTCAAGACATTATGTGAACTACTACAACTACTAAAAACAAGAATTCGCACTTATCACGACGTTAGGATGGTTAGAATGTTAGACACATCCAGCAGCTTTCATCGCTTATTGACACACCTGTTTATGTACTATAATAAAGGTTTTTGTCCCTACCAGGTGAAGTACATGTCCGACAAATCAATGGAGATGTCAGTACGGGTGGCGTCGTTGGAATATTTGGGTCTGGTTGCAGCGAGGCTGCGGCGGGACAGTGTCCACTCGCGTGCAAAGTTGTCCACCATGGACGCCGTCGTACGGGACATCCGCGCCGAAGAGGAGAAAGATGGAAACCAAGCACAAGGCCTTACCTCCGGTCTTGATGAGGACGAAGAAAGAACTGAATTCCTACAACGAGTACTCTTAGACTACCTGGCTATAAACGGTCAAAAAGACCAGGCGTGGAACTGTTCGCGGCATTTCTACATTACACAGTGGTACAGAGACATGGTAGTTCAACCAAAGAGCTCATCGCCGACTAAAAAGAAAAATAAATCCAAGAAACGGCATAAAGATGACACCAGCGAAGAAGAGTCTGACGCTGATGACGACAGCGATAGCGGCATCAAAGAATCCAAATCTGATAAAAAGCATGCCACGAGCGCTATTGTCTCAGCCGAGAAGTTCAAGATCATTCAACGGCGGAAACATTTCCTTTTAGACAAAATTCGACCGTTTAGGTATCAGGGTGGGACCCAAGTACAAGTTATGCAATCTTATATAGACTACAGTGGAGCAGAGTTGATCTCGCAATATTTGGCCTCTAAGAGGTCGTTCTCGCAGAGTTTCGATAAATATCTGCGGAAAATATTGGTGATATTATGTGAAAATACGATAGCGATTCGCACTAAGGCGATGAAGTGTCTCGCTATGATCGTGGAGGCGGATCCTTCAGTGTTGGCGAGACCTGATATGCAGATTGGTGTGAATCGATCGTTTCTAGACCAGTCGACCGCAGTGCGGGAGGCTGCCGTCGATTTGGTCGGGAAGTTCGTGCTCAGTCGGCCCGAACTCATCGACAAGTATTACGGAATGCTCTCGAATAGAATATTGGTGTGTTCTCCTTTACATTCATTTGAATACCTCCAAGCAAATAGTAAATTATTCACATAAATGTTTTACATCATTTCTTTCACAGGACACTGGTGTATCGGTGAGAAAGCGTGTGATAAAAATCCTCAAAGACATTTGTATAGAATGCCCCGAGTTCCCCAAAATCCCTGAGATTTGTGTGAAGATGATTCGGCGGGTGAATGATGAGGAGGGTATTAGAAAACTGGTGATGGAAGTATTCCAAAACATGTGGTTCAGTCCTTGTCCAAACTCGACACGGCCAGGCATGCTTGACATGACCGCAGCCGCCGCAGACCCGCTCACGAGGAAGGTCCTCAACATCACAGACGTCGTCATATCGTCCAGAGATATAGGGCTGGAATGGTTCCAGCAGCTACTTATGAGCGTGAGTGTTTACTATTCTTTCTTGTATTTAATGGTTCACATAATAGAAAAAAGACGTAAATTTTACATTTTCTTTTAGTTATTTAAACCAAAGGAGGACAAGGACGACTCTACAAAAATTATATATCAGCCGCCTAAATCGCTTTTAGTAGCGTGCCAGCAAATAGTGGATTGCCTTATTGAAAATTTGCTGCAGTTGGAAGAAAGCAGTGCTGAAGGTAAAATATCCTAATGTATATTAATTGTTATAAGACAAAGACGAGGTAACGACTGGGTGTAGAAGCGAGATAAGGGCGGCATAACTGCACCTCGCTTTGTCAGCACTGCATAATGTTACTATAGCATAGCTGGAGCAGAAAATATTTATGTGAGTTTTTTTCCAGGTTCTGGATCGTCACAACGCATTTTAGCGTGTCTGTCCACGCTGCATTTATTTGCGAAAATCAGGCCGCAGCTGCTCGTTAACCACGCGTTAACGTTGCAACCATACCTCAGTTTGAAATGCCAGGTGAGTGATAAACTTGTCATGTTTATTTGTGTATCTTCGTTTCCTTTAAACGTAAACGAATCTGTATTACGGGTATGAGGCGGATAATCTCCGCCAAGTCAAAAGTTAATCTGACTTTAATAGAGGATTGTTATCATTAGTCGTACGAGCTAAAAAAAAAATTTTTTTAAATGCTTACATTTTATATCAGTGTTTACTCTTACGACAACCTCGGTAGCCCGACAATTTATACTGTAGGCGCTGGATGAGTCTCGAATTCGATTCCCGGTAGGACCAATTTGGGAAACTTTTCTGAAATTGGTTCTGGCCAGGGTATTCTATGCTTCCTGGCTGCATTTTTTGGCCATAGATTCGATGTACCTGCCAAAATTAAAATTGGACGACAGGTCCATTCCAAGTAACTGGAGACGGTCAGCTATCGGTATGGATATATCATGAAAAGTCGGAGTCACCTCAATGGGACTCCGTTTTGTAGATAATACACACGCCTGCGTTTTGGCAGCATTAAATTTGACAAGATTGGCATCGCCCAAATCTGAGACTGCCTTGAGTGTCAAATTCAAACAGCTAACCATAGACTCTCGACAAGACTGAATTTCCTCTCCACTGACCCTTGCATTGGTCAAGTACCTAGCTACAACTGTGCTATCATCAGCATACGCATAGGTACTTGGAATTAACATATCATTGATATACAGCCGAAAGAGTTTTGCAGACAGTAAGGAACCTTGAGGAACTCTCTCTTTAGTATCTGTCGGCTGATGTTCGGAAAAGTAGCCTTCTAGAATAGAATAACAGTATCTCGCGTTTTATGTCGCTCTCTCGCAAGTCGCGCTCTGTCGTGCTAGCGCTACTGGGATCAGCGAGACAAGGTCCGCAACCTCTAAATTGGTTTTTTTAAATCTAATATAGTGTCAGTTTTATTATATTGAATTTTTCAGGTGACAATAAAACTTTAGGTGCCAATATCTTGAAAGTTACCTACCAAAATGCAAATGCTTAACTTATGAGAACAGTGTGATAGTCTGGCACATTTTAACTAGTTAATTTATTTCCAGAACCAGTATGAACAACAAATAATGTCAACGGTGGCGGCCACACTTGAGTTAGTTGTACCCCTTATGGAGCACCCTAGTGAAGTGTTTCTAGCTCAACTTGAAGAGGATGCAGTGAAATTGATATTACAACGGGGACAACTAGTAATCGCTTCGTGCATCGCCTGCCTTGCCGCCATTGTGAACACTCTTACGCACAACTACAAACTTATCAGGGATGTGTTTAACAAGTATCATGGTAAGTAAACTAGGTAGATTGTTACTAGAAAACCGCCTACTATACGTTGTCTTTTTTGTCGAATTTTGTTATTTGAGTGAGTGCAGTGAGTTCAGTTTTCATTTTAATTATGTTTTAAAATAGAATTCAAAGCATGACATACATATTTTAAAACAGTTGCGAAAACCTGGAACACTTTTCTACGAAACACCGACGGATATAATGTGTGTCATAGCTATTTTTTCATTGTGCCGTCGTCGTTTCATTGTTCTTATTCATCTGTGGGAAATTTGGATAAAAAAGGCAGTTCAAGAAGAGCGTACCTTATCGTACTTTTAGTACCTTTTGCTTGACTTCTATTTGTGAGGGGTTTACGTGAGGAAGTCTGTTCTTTGTTTAGCAACCGATTTTTACCATTTCCCATATGACGTGTTAAAAAGACGGTAGAAATTTTCGAAACGTCCAGTGGTCGTTGTATGGAGTGTAATCTGTAAGAATAAATTCCTACTCGCTAGGCGTCCTACTCCAATGGAAGCACAGTTGGCAACGCAACCCGGATGTGACGCGGACGGCGCACACGCGGCCGCATTTCCGGCGCGCGCTATTTATTGTAGGACTATTGCTGCGCTACTTCGACTTCACTGACCCTCAAGTCATAGAAGGGTTGCCGGTGAGTTATCATAACTAGATAGTTAAGTGTTCTAAGTTACCTGGGCTACAATAATGTCCACTTGCACTAAACTTAAGTATGTCTTAAACCAATGCTTGCAATGCAAAAGAAGCTCTTAATACACTCTTAGGGTCGTATTCTAGAACTCTACTCGATGCTCAAGTCAGGATTTGAGCAGACTTGAGTATGATTTCAAGCACTGGAAATACGACCCTAATGGCAAAAGGACTTGAGTATGATTTTCAGTGCTTACTGCAATACTCAAATCCTGACTTTAGTATTGAGTAGAGTTCTGGAATACGACCCTGAAACTGCCTTCGTGGCCGAACGGTTACCATGCTGGACTATCACGCAGAGGTCCCGGATTCGTATTATTATAGTGTTCGTATAATATTTGTATGGCCTACATTTATTTCTCCCGTAGGTTTGGGTGTAATTTGTGGTTTTGTTTTGTTGTGTCCATGGCACCCGCGATCCAGGGTTTCCCTAGTGCGGGGCTAAGAGTGTGTGCGTAAACAAAAACTTTGTGTTAAGAGATCAAATTAAGCATCGGTTTAAGACGTACTTAGGTTTAGTGCACGTTGACATTGGTATCTTTTAGCATGTCAATAGCGGTAATTCACCCCTTCCTACCACTGTGCGCTTTATTTGTGAAAACGATACTCTAAAGTGTTATCGTTAGCGTATAGTGGTAGAAATCACCTTGTATATCCGACCTCGGGGGTTGTAAACTTTTAATACTTTGTGGTAATGAAACATATTATGAATTACATACTTTACCTTTATTTTTTCGAAACATAATAAAAAACGTAATAATATAAATATTAAGCAGAACAGTCACTTTCAGAAACCGATTCCAGTCTCCAAACCTAAATTTGTATTTTGTATTGTCTTTTGTTATAATGTAATTTGTTATATCTAGCAAAAAAATTACAAATTAAATTAATAAAAAGAATTAACAAAACAACATCAAAATTGAAACCTGAATTTTTTCGAATCTCGATCGAACGCAAGCGTACTCCGACAGAAAGTGTAATAGATGTAAATAAAAAGGCGGAAAGGTGGATACGCTTCTGTTGTGAAAATAGTTAAAATGAAAGAAGGATAAGTTAAAATTTGCCTTTTTTAGAATGTAAAAAGGCAAATGTTTTTTATTATACATTTTAGGGGATAAAAGGAAAAAGCTGCTATTGAAATGTTTATAGGTACAAACTATAGATAAGTAACAGTAATGTACGCTTGAAATACACATGCATAGATTCTGTCCAATACCTACGCGATTGGTATAAAAAAATTAAATTCGTATTTTTTGTGAATTGGAACAGCATCACTTAAGTCAACGCTAAAGACGTTATAAAACAAAATTATCATTGAAATTCACGAAATTATGTTTTTGAGACTATGGTTTTTTATATAAACTTGGCATATTTTACGGACATCATTAAAACTTATAAACAATCTTACAGAGTGACATAAAGGAACAAGTGTACAACTCCCTTATGTTCTTCGTTGGCCTGGAAGACGAAGACTTTGTGTCCAACACACTTAAAGCTCTCGGCTCTGTATGCGTGCGGCATTACGAGTTCATGCTACGGCCAGAGTTAAAAGAGTTCTACCACCAACTACTGACGTCAGAACTGGCACCTGTTGAGATGAAAGTAGATGTTTTGCGGAACATTGAAATGTACTTGCAAGAAGAGGAACAAAGAATGATTAGACAGGATAAGGAATGTGAGTACCAAATGAATATTAAATATTTTTATAGTTTATTTTTTATATATATTTACAGTTCATTTCGCAAAAGTGTCAAATAATGCAATTCATTTACACTTACACCAGCGCACGACTTGTTCATCCCCATTAGTTGGTACCATAAAAATAAATTAAAACAATCTTATAAACTTCAGGGTCAAAACGATCGAAGCATGAGAACTTGAAGGAAATGGGTGACGTATCTTCCGGAATGGCGTCAACTGTGATTCAGTTATATCTGAAGGAGATCTTAGGGGCATCACTACACTCCAGCACTCTGGTCCGCTCCAGCGCTATGAAGGTCGTACAACTTGTACTGGCTCAGGGTCTTGTCCATCCTGTACAGGTAAGTCTTTCTCTATTAGTATTTTTTTTCATCTGGATTTTATTGACCATTAGTTGACAAGTTAACTGTTAACTTGTTATCGTTCAAAATTCCATCTTTTACCATGTCATAAATTCATAATGTTTTTAAATTTATTTATTTAAAATTTTTTGCACACAAGATAGCCATAATGGCCATTCTCCAGCAGTCAACTAGAGAGCTGGGTACAGAGTTATTAAGAGGGATGCATAACATGACCAATTAAAAATAGATAAGATAAATAATTATGATAGAAAGAAATATAAATATTAGACAACATCACATACTTTGCTCTAATCCCCAAGTAAGTAACTGTATTATGGCACACATTCAGTTTCCGATTGCCATAACACTTGTGTTACAAACACAAACCCAGACAGTGTGCAAGCCACGAGTGTCGTCAAAATGTCAATATACTGGTTGATTCATGTTGAGTGGCCCATACACACAATCCATATATAAAGTAAAATACATTTTTTTTGTCTACTCCAAATAATATGTGTAATTCCAGATCGTTCCGTACTTAATAGCAATGAGCACGGATTTAGAAGTGACAGTATCGCACGTCGCCGACAAAAACCTACAAGAGATCGATAAAAAGTACCCAGGCTTCATTCACATGAAGGCTCAACTCGGGATCAAGCTCTCCTACCAACTGCAGAAGATTCTGCAGACTGGGTCCAAGAACAAAGTTATACGTGGATTTAGGTATGTTATTTTTTAGCATAATTCTCTTCTTCCCGCAAAGTTGTATATCATGATATCGTACGTCTATGGGATTATGGATAAAATAGAGATTAATAATAAAAATCAAGTGTTTATAATTGCGTATACTCTTCTAAACGAAGTTAAAAAAGTTATATAGAGTAAAAGCACTTTGATACATAGAAAGAGACGAGTTGAAGTACAGTTGAGAACTATCCTTATATCGATTCTAATGTTGTTTCTTATAACAGGAAAAAGGAGCAAGATGATTTACCAAGCGCGCTCAACGGTTTCTTGTATTCGCTTCTACGGAACACGAGACCGCAGCGGCGGGCGCTCATCTTATCCTTACTTAAACAGTTCGACGATGTCTCCGTGAGTATATACCCTTCTAAAGCCTGGCAACTTTGTTTTGGACTCTCTTTCTAAAAAATTTTAAAAAATACTGACAAGCGAGTACTAGTGCCAACATTTCAGAGATCAAAAGTAATTTGTCAGCCTTTCATGCAGTTATAGAGACGTACGTCTTGGTAGGTTAATGCGTACGTCAGACTATTTCCTGTCTTGTATCAGGTTCTCTTGAATTCAGAATTCCACAACAACTTAATGTATGAAATGAAATTTAATGACCGTAAATTTTACTTCATCATCAACCCATTTATAAATATCATTGCTGGGTGCGGGTCTCCTCTCAGGCGAGGCCTGGTGAAATTACAGGCACATGGGACTTGTCAACTTAAGTCTCAAGATGACGGGCGCAGTGACAGTGCCACTAAGATCTGTGCGATTCAAAGGTCTGAGTGACACTGCAACTTTTATGGATAGGCGTGTTGCTTACCACCAGGGGCACGACTTGTTAGCCAACGTGTTGTTGTTGGTATTATAAAAAAAGTCTGATTTGTTTGATAGCACGATTGGATGTAAGATATAATGATGAGTGAATGTAAGAAAATGTTTGAACAAATGATGCCCGTTAGTACAATTCTGTAAATTTTATGTTAATGTTTTTGTTGTTGTTTCTGTGTTAGTAGCGACTTGTACTTTATGTTACAAATGTTTAATAACTCACACACTCAACGCAATGCAATAAATGCGGGTTGAGAACTCTGTTTTCCGAGGGTTGTGAACCTTCTTCGTGCGGGTTTGATCACGATGTTTTCCTTGGTCGAAAAGCTCATGGTAAATTTCGCACATAAATTACGAAAACTCACAAGTGCGAACCCGGATTCGGACCCACGGCCTCTGCTTTGGAAGCGGTAGGTCAAACCATTAGGCTACCACGGCAATTAATAATTTTGCATCATCAATTTCATAAACACTTATAAGAACAATAGAGGTGTCGCTCTACCAGCGAGAGCTATAAATCGAAAGTAAAATACCTACTTCACTATTGTCTGGTTTGGAACACAATAACAGCCGTATATCATTTCTTCTTTCTTACATAGATAGAGACACGGCGTTTAGCTATCAGGAGCATATTTACCGTGGCCATCGAGTATATAACCAGAAATAGAGACGAAATAAGGGCCATACATTCCTGGTAACTCATCAGTGATACATCACTTATAAATATCAACTCTCGTTTGCACTGAATTGTAGAAGCGCCAACAACTGACCTGTGATAATATCTCTAACAATGGCGTTCTGTTTCATTTGGTGGTGTGGGGAAAAACAGAAAAACATCTTATTACTGAACAAAAAAGAATCAAACTTCGTCGGTAATTAAATATGTCATTTTCGTCCATTATAGCAAATCTCAAGTTAACTGGACGATTTGAAGTGAAACAATCGACGACACCCATTGCCGACACCCGTCAATCGTTTCGAATTCGGGCTGGCCAATCAGAGCGCATTAGTCACAGTAATGATATGGCAGAATAGTTTTCAAACAAATTAGATGATATTTCGTCTCTATTTTTGGTTATATACTCGATGGCCGTTAGCGATGAAAGAGTCTTTTAAGACCTTTTAAATAACCTCGACTAATTTTCAACGCCTCACGACTAGTCTAGTCTTTCAAACCTCAAGTCTTGAGTCATAAGACTTAGGGTCGTATTCCAGAACTCTACTCAATACTCAAGTCAGAACTTGAGTATTGCAGCGAGCACTGAAAATCATACTCAAGTCCTTGCCATTAGGGTCATATTTCCAGTGCTTGAAATCATACTCAAGTCTGCTCAAATCCTGACTTGAGCATTGAGTAGAGTTCTGGAATACGACCCTAAAACTGAAAACGAATTCGAGTCGAAGTGTTTTAACCCTCCGAAGCTTTAAAGACTTATAGGACTAAAACGACTAAAACGACTGGCGCCTTATAACCTCGGGAGTCGCGAGTCATGAGCCGTATGGCGTGATTTTATTTCTACCCACAAGTTATTGTATTGTATTTTACGATTTTTGTTATAAGTAAACGTGATTATTTAAAACATACTAATTACGCCATTTTTATTTGTAAACTTCGGGTGTAATAAGATATAAAATAGGTATAAGTCTCTTACAAACAACTCGAGTCGTTTAAGTCTTTGAAGTCGTTAAGTCTTTTGAGTCTTTTAGTATAACGACTGAGTCTTATTAATAAAAACTCAACCTCCAGTCTTAATTTTAGAGTCGAGTCCTGTAAAATGGAGTCGCGTCGTTATAAAACGCCTTAAAAGACAGTCTCTTTCATCACTAATGGTCATAGCCCTTCCGACTTTTCTACATATAAATAAACAGATTCGCTCTGGGCCTTTTGGAGGGAAAAGTGTCGTTTTTATTTTGACTTTCAATTATTTTGTGAAATCTAGTTTAAAGTGGAATACGATAGTGTTATCGTGCCTTAATCGAAGATTAAAACGCGAAATTATACGAATCTCGAACTAAAATCCCGTATCGGCCCGTTCTAAGGAATCCCGAGTCAATCCAAGCACGCAATAATAGCAATTGCCTATCCTCTTTGTGGCGGCCATATTTACAGAAACATAATTAAACGAAGACATGGCTCAAAGGACTTGTATCCTAGCCAAAATTATTAATAAAAAATAAATAAATAAACATGTATAATACATTGATATACAGGAACTCTACCGTCCACATTGTTTTTTTTTTCTTTTATAATCCCAAGTGATAGGACGAACAAGTCGTGTTCCTGGTGTTAGCAACACGCCTGCCATAGCATTTGAAGTTGCCACTCAAAGCTTTAAATCGCAAAGATCCGAGGGACACTGGCACTGCGCCCGACACCCTGAGACAAGTTAACAAGTCCCATGTGCCTGTAATTTCACTAACACCCTTAACCTCCTAAACCAAAACACATTAATGGATTATATCATTTTTACTTTGAACTAGTGATGTTTCTATTAACTGTAACCGTAACCTTTTCACGAGTTGCTTTATCTCAAACTAGGAAGTTTCATTGACTAATAGTTATAGAAGCATTGTATAAAAAAAAGCTTCATTCCTAAATTTAGATACCTCCTAGGAACATTACGGCAACTTAATTTTTGGACTTGTTCTGTTTTTATTTTGTTTTATGTTTCTTTATTATTATTGTTTTCACAAAATTCGGGGAGCATAATATTAGTAAATAAATAGGACTGTTTTCAAAATAAACAGTAAATGACTAAAAAATAAGTTTGGCGCAATGTTCATTGAAGGTATAGATTTGCCCTTCCAAGTCTAACCACGTTTCGGAAATGAGATGTAGACATTTTGTATTTTATAGCTTACTTACTTACTCTTTAATTAAACAAATAATTTTGTTTTGTTATTCCAGACCGCGCCCTTGGATCAAATGTTGTATCTAGCAGATAACTTAGGATATTTCCCGTTTCAAGTGCAAGACGAACCCCTGTTCATAATACACCACATCGACATTATCATTTCCACCTCAGGATCTAATTTGCTGCAGCATTTTCGTGAAGTAAGTATATTTTATTTATTCTACGTTTATAAATTGAGAATTGCATCCGGCTTGTGATTGTCCCGGTGCAATATCCCTTACCCTATCACACGCAAAATAGCCCAGCAGGAAGTCAGCCCGTGACATAATACCATGCCATTCCTTATCCTACTATAGCACTCCAGCATCTCCTATAATAGGCTTTGATGCACGCAACATGAAAGGTTTTTTGTATCGCAAACTATGCCAACGTATTCTAAATTTAGAAATATTTTCTGCGTTAAGTGTTTTTCGCGTTTCCTTGTAAAGTTAGATTTTTTTACTTGTACCTCTTTTCACAGAGCCACAGATTTAATCCATAGGTAAAATAAATTACACTTGAAAACATTGACTTACAATTATATGGACATCGGGTCCGCGCTAAAAAGTGTCCAAACTTATAGGGCGTTAAAATCGTATACAGAGCGTCATTCACGCTTTTGTCTTCGTTTGTTCGACTGACAGCGAAGCAAGCAAAATTAGACAGTACTGTGATGACATTACAATTTAAGTTCAACGTTTTAGCTTTTTCATATTCCTTTACATGTCATTACGTTTAAATAGGTTGACTTGGGACATTTCTTTCGTGGTTTTTGTATTAAACCCGTCGTCCATTTATTTGTAAGTCAATGCTTGAAAACGTCCTTTTTATAAGTTAATGTTCATTCCCTGTGCTGACTTCCCTGAGAAGAACGAGCAGTAAACTCTGGCTGAAGCTTTTGTATTATGGAACTCTGAAACAACGACGCTACCGCAAACACCCAGACCCGAGACAAAATAGAAAAGTTAGTTTTCTACACTGGCCGGGATGTGCAAGCCTGGCGACCACCGAGGCCGTCAATTTCATTTCCATTGTATAACAATCGCAAAAACCTAAGAACTTATGATGAATGATTGATTTGTTAATATAAATCTGCCACAGGGACTGAACAAACCTCAAGCAGAAGAGCGCGAGCCGTTAGACGAAGAAGAGGACGACGAAGTGGCGGAGACGTTGCTGGCTCAGCTGCCGGCCGACACGCGGCCCCTGCGCGACGCCATGCGACAAGCGCGCGGCTGTCTGCTGCTGCTCGTGCTGAAGCAGCATCTCAAGCAGTTGTATGGATTCACCGACGCGTAAGTGTTACTTACATTCACTATCACTATTATTTGGTGCCCTTATGTACAACGTCCACATGGAACGAATTGAGTCTGTTCGACGTCGATTCTTGAGATGTAAGTGCAAAATTCGGACTACGACGTAAGCTGCCTAATTAGTGTTGATCGCTTACGCAAATTCAACATGATCAGTCTCGAGGATCGTAGACAAGTGTCAGACCTATCTACTTTGCATAAAATTGTTAATTCTACCCTGGATTCTCAGCTGATCGAATTGTTTAGTTTACTTCACAAAATGGACCATTATGCAGAATGTGTCGATTGTATAACAGCATATGTTCCCACCATTACATTTTTTTCTGTGGTATTAAATGCTTCAAAACAACACTGTACTCCAGTATAAGCAAAAAATGCCGTCCTTATTTTGTTTAACGTTTCCTTTTATATTATGTATTGTCTTAATGTGAATGTTGTGTACAATAATAATTGGATATCAGATTTATAATGATACATATGTAGCACGTCTAAGTATTATTGGTAGTCTGTTATCTGTTGTTGTACCATATAAAATAAAAAACACAGAGCAAAACACCCATTCATCTACAAACACACAACTCCTTGCTCACACGCATACACGTAGCACTTTTTTCTTTTCTTTCCAATTACCGCTTCCACCTTTTATTATTATTAAGTTATTATTGATACAAAATTCGAATATACACAAAGAAAAACTCCTTCGATCCTGCTGGACACGAACCAGCGACTGTTTGCCAGACCGGGGCTACATCCATCATCATGCTTATCCAGCCGGATCGAAGGATTTTTTCTTTGTGTTTGTCCGATATTTATATCAATAATAGCTAGAGATGGGAAAACTTTAGAATCGACGGCTTAGTGGTGGCAACCGCTAGTTGTGCAACGCGCAACGGGAAGTGAGCGTGTCTACAGCTCCGGTACCTATCTGGAAAATTGGGTGGGTACTGTACGTGCACCCGGGGTGGCTCACCCGAGGCACTAGGCTCTCGAGAACCGAATGAAGTCAAGTGACAGAGGTCTGTGACAAACTGTACACTGGCTGATCTGGGGTCAGAACCTGAACTTATAAGGTTATTGTGCGCGAACAGGTTATAGTGCCTTTCTCGTATGCTCAGGGTAGGTAGAGAGGGTCACTATAATCAAAACTAATGTAGAAAGATATGGGCCTGTACCTGTCATAAGTTGTTTGTAATGTACTGTGATTCAGTACATAAACAAGTTATCTATCTTAAACATCTAAGGCTGGTTTCACAGCAATGCAGATCGTCCGCGTGGAGCACCTGCTACCTGTGTGGCGTTAGAACATCATTTTACAGCGACGCAGATTGCTCCGTACTGAACACGCTCCGTGTGAACTCCGCAAAAGCCATCCGTGCGTTCATTATAGGCGACTGTCTTATCTCCGTGGATATCCGCACTAAATTAAAAGCTCGATTCAGAGCAGTGCGGATTCTACTGCGAATGGCCCGCATGCGGACAGTCCGTACGGACCATACACACAGCTGTGAAACCAGCCTTAAACTCTCTATAGCCACATTGGCTCATGACGAGCCACTTGGAAACATTGCAGCGACAACTATTGATTTTGATTCATAGAAGATTTAAATTTAAACTACTTTAAGTTGCTCTATTCACGATAGTGACCATTTTTACGTAAGGATTGAACTATTTTTTTTGTTCCCTTATAAAGCGGACGTTGGGACCGCGCCCGCGCTCGGTGTGATGTTGTCCCGTATAAATTCACGGAATTAGACCCGCCGCGGTCCCGACACGACCCGCACCCGCTGTCTTTGTGTTTCACGCTTTAGCACACAAACAGCGATCCGACAATCTGTATGGAAATTTTAAACATGTTGTTGCGAATTGCTTACGCATGCTTTTGGGAAAAATTTTCATTATCGTGTTATCTTGAAATTTGAAACTGTTTTTTTAACTTGTAATTGACTTATGGTTCTATGATATTCATCTGCTTTAAATCCTACTTGTCTTTCAGAAAAATCAATCAATATTCTCCGTCGGAGGCGGCAAAGGTGTACGAGAAAGCGATATCGCGGCGGCATGCGCCCGTGTTCGAGCCAAAGGCCACGATCGCACAGCTCAAGGAGTCCAACGAGGACGACGAGTTCGACGAGCTCGACGAACGCGGCCGCCGGCGGCTCGTCGACGACTACCTCGAGGTACGAAAGCAACACACTGTTTCTACAACAAACAGTCGAACATGTACATGTACTAGAACTGCGCGGCTCTCGGTTTGTGGAGTTCATTAGAATCAAAGAGATGTATCGTGTTGAATGAAAGAAGATTCCGGAGCATATATAAGATTATCTTATCCTAAGTTTAAAACTTACAATAAAGTATTTTAATTCAAAACTCATATATTACAAAATTAAAGAGTATGTGTTGGATAAGGATGTATGGAAAGACACCATGAGTCTAGATTCCACACAATTATGGTTTATGGTTTTTGAACCATAATTGTGTGCAATCTAGATTAGTGTATTCCACAGCATTTAAGTTTATTTGAAAAGAATTTGTTACTCGTTACTTCTCAGGGAGGTCAGCGTAGTGAACGAGCAGTAGCTTAAAAAAATGACGTTTTCAAGTGTAAACAATTATATACACGAACGGTTACCGTGGCCGAACGGTTACGATGCCGGACTGCCACGTAGAGGTCCCAGGTTTGATTCCCGGGCCGGGAGAAATATTTGTATGGCCTACATTTATTTCTCTCGTGAGTTTGGGTGTAATTTGTGTTTGTCTATGTGTGTGTCCATGGCACCCGCGACACAGGGTTTCCCTAGTGCGGGGCTATGTTGAGTGTGTGCGTTATTAATTTTGCCTATGGAATAAACGATTCTTTGACTTTGTATGGTTGCAGTATTTTGACACCTCGTTTTATTGCAGTTGAAGCAGCTTATGCTAAAGTTCGACCCCGAGGAGGAGGAGGACGAGGAGGCCCAGGCCGGCGGGGCCACTGCCACCGCTACCGCCAACGCCAGCGCCGGCACGAGCTTGGGCGCGGGAGCCGCAGGGGGCGCGAAGGGCGGGGGCGCCGACCCCGCGCCGCCCCCGCCCGCCACCTAGCCGACGCCCCGCGGCACCGCCCGATAGACTCAATACTTATACAGTGTATTATAGTGCTTGCCGGCGTTGCTCCGATGAGAGCTAGGTGTCGCCCGGCTTCTTTCGTTGAGAAGACTCGATTTATGTTCTGGATTATTTATTTCCGTCGGGGCCCCGCACAGGCGGAGGCGCCGCGGCAGGCGACCGCTAAGACCGTTGTTGTACATTATACCGGCGGCCCGCCGGCCGCGCCCGCCTCCCGCGGCGATCTTAAATACTTTATATTAGTTATATTTGAGAAACTCGATTTGTTTTTATATTAAAGTCTTGTGTGTAGATAATTTTTATGAAGAATATAAAGTATATGTAACAACAGTGATGTCTGTCTTTCGCATTCGATTATTCCAGTTTGTGTTGTTTGAATGTCGTATAGTTGCTGAATCTATTTTGTCATTCGATTGGTGTAAGAGATTTTTTCGGTGGTTATACCGGTATCCGGTTGGATGAAAAGAACGTGTGTGAGTGTTGGGCGAAGTGCGAATGATTTGCCCCTGCTGACACAGAATTAGAACAAATTCTGCATAATTTATGCACATTATAATTTTGTGTACCGGAAATTAATTTATATGTGTTAAAAATGTAGATTTTGCAATTATCTGCATTTCTTATGAATAAGAGGAAACATTAAAGTTGCAAAGATAGATTTTTTACAAATATTATTTTTCTATTTATAACCCTATAATGAGTATTTTAGATATCACGAGTACAAAGTATATAATACAAGTTTACATTTCTAAAAATGATGGGTTCGTACAACTCTAAACTTATATTCAAGTGCGTGTCACAAGTAATACATTTCTTTCAATGTCTATTTGTATGATCCCACCATTTTACCTTGTACAAAATAATTTAAACCTAAAGTACTGTTTTGAAATGCGACTGTAAAACGTTACGATAAATAACCTAAACAATGTGTTGCAAGTTGATAGAAACCAAGCATTAAATGTAATGAATCCAGTTACTATCGCATGTCAAAACTGCACTCTATAAATAAATCAATTTATAACACAGTACCAAGGTTTTTATGCGTTGTCCTAAAATGAAGTCAATACTGTTAACCAAGGACAAAAACGAAACTGATTACAAAGACCTAATTCGTTTCCCTGCCTCGTACCCCCAGATATAATAAACCCTTTTCTACCTAAGCACCACGCTTTTGTAAAGACAAAAACTGCCCGTCATCAAGGTCTCATATTTACATGATTTTTGCTTTAGCAATGCAACTGGCCGTTTGAAACTGAGCAGAATATTTTTTTTGTGAAACGCATCCTAAACATTAGGAATGTAGCATAAATTTGTCAACCTGCTACTGTAAACCAGTTTATAAACTTTGTATGGGCTTGTTATATATATAGTATAACCCGCCAGCGTTTATAATAAATAATAAGAAATATTAGCAAGAGACTTTTTTCTCCCGTTCGTCGGAGACGGCGAACTTGTTGCAAAGGAAGAAAATGAGCATCTCTGAGTCCGGCTTCACTTTGCCCTGCTCAATCAGACGCCGAAGATTGCGTATGCGCTGCTTATGGGGGTATTCGCGCTGCTGAGTTGTTTGTCTCTGAAAAAAAAAAGTACGTTTCTGGTCATCTTCAAGATGATATTACAGCGTGAGAGTCAGAACGGCGGATCCTGACAAATTTGATATGAAAAAAATGTACCAAAATTGTACTATTTAGAACTTATTCTTAAAAAATTTGTACCTCTATCATAACCATACATTTAGTATATAGGTACAAAATCTATGATCATAACGAAATTATAGCGAAATCAAAATTGTAAACATTTTTGTAATTTTTTCAAATAAATTTCCGCCATTTATTTGGGTACCTAGGCAAAGGTTATATACCATACAGCCTCTTTATATGTCAGTATCTTTCCTTGTTTTGAGGGAAAAGGTGACAAGCGTCTTATATAGTTTATTTCATGCAAGCAATGGTCGGAAAGATACTGACAAATGAAGAGGCTGAATGGTGGAATCTTTGCCTAGGTAACCAAATAAATGGCGGATTTTTGTTTAAAAAAAATTGCGAAAATATTTACAATTTTGATTTCGCTATAACTTCGTTATGATAGAGGTACAATTTTTTTAAGAATAAGTACTAGATAGTACAATTTTGGTACTTTTTTTGGTACCAAATATGTCAGGATTCGCTAAGATGCACACGGCACTCTGAAATCTCAACATATTTTGTCTTATATCTCAGAAACTAACCAGCAGATCGAGCTGGGTTTCCTTTACTTCAGAGTACTATTGAGGTACAAATTTTTGGAATAAGAAGTTTTTATAGTTATTAAATAAATACTAGTCATTCGAGGTGCCATATTGACAGTCAATACGGCGGCTGTACCTTTGATATTGCTATAACTTCGTTCTGATTGAGGTACAAATTTTTTAAACAGAAGTACCTACTAAATAGTTCAAATTAGGTACATTTTATGATTATCACTAGTATCAGGTTTCTTACCACGGTATGACTTCTTATTATTTTCCCGATATTTCGGAACGGTTGCACGCTCCATGATCACGGGTTGACTGATTCAGTCAGACATTTTTTTGATACCAAATTTGTCAGGATCCATTAAGGTACACCCGCCATTCTGACTCTCACTATTATAGGGTGTTATTATGACGAGCTATTGCTCATTCCATGGCATCTATTCTGCCCACCTTGTCATAACTAACATAATCGAAATTTTCAGCAGTTATGGGTAATTTTCAGCTTAGTTTTCTCTACCCAATTTTTATTATTTAAGTATTCGAGTTGCTACACTTGAACATTAAATAATACTTCATGATAATATTCGAGAATACTTAAACACCACTGTAATTAGGTACAAAAGACTAACCTGAAACTTACCCTTATAAACTTTTCTGGGATCAGTGAAACGAGATCTACAACCAACCCCCTCTAATCAGTTTTTTAATATCTTATTAAATTTAATTTCAATTCAATTTCTATTGAATTGATATTCAATTATTCTTTGTGAAATTACTCCACTAGATTGTAATATATTATCAATACAAAGATCGAACACTTAGAAAAAATTCCTTCGATCCGGCCGGATTCGAACTGACGTCTCCTAGCAAACCGTGCCAGACGCTATGCCAACTAAGCAACGGAACGAACCTTATTACCTATTAATAATTAGTTTCAATTATTAATACAAAGATCGAACACAAGGAAAAATTCCTTCGACCTGACAGGACTTGAACCTGCGACTACGCTATACCGTAGCGTCGTTCTACCAACTAAGACACAGTCGACAAAATTCTTCTATGTGTCGGTTATGGCTCTTTGTATAGGGTTTTTTCAGTTTTCAACGCCGTAAGGTTCAAGTCCGGTCAGATTCAGTCAGGAGTCAGGAGTTTTTTTTGTGTTCGATCTTTATTATTACAAAATTAGTGGAGCAATTTCACAAAAAAATATATGAATATCACGGTGGTAAAACATCGTCAAATTAAATAAAAAATCAATTAATTATTTAGATTCAATTTTATTGGTAAGCATAATCAGCGTAATAGACATTTGATAAGGTGACAATAAAACTAGTGTCAGTATCTCGTAAGTTACCGAAATGCAAATACAAGTTCTGACAAGGAGGGCAGTATTGACCATTACTAAGGGTCTTATTCTAGAACTCTACTTAATGCCCAAGTCAGGATTGCACTGGAAATACGACCCTAATGGCAGGGACTTGAGTATGATTTCGAGTGCTTTAAACCATACTCAAATCCTGACTAGAGCACTAAGTAGAGGAGTCGTATTCTAGAACTCTACTCAATGCTTAAGTCAGGATTGCACTGGAAACACAAGCACTGGAAATACGACCCTAATGTCAGGGACTTGAGTATGATTTCGAGTGCTTTAAACCATACTCAAATACTGACTTGAGCATTGAGTAGAGTTCTAGAATACGACCCTTAGTGTCGTATTCCAGAACTCTACTCAAGTCAGGACTTGAGTATTGCAGTGAGCACTGAAAATCATACTCAAGTCCTTGCCATTAGGGTCGTATTTCCAGTGCTTCAAATCACACTCAAGTCTGCTCAAATCCTGACTTGAGCATTGAGTAGAGGTCTGGAATACGACACTCAGACTTGTTAGCGGACATTTTGAAAACTACTTCAATAACAAAATAATGAATGAAACGTGGAATGCTATTAAATCTAATAATAAAGTTGCTTTTGTCATTGGCGTCGTATTTCTAGATTGTCGTAATACTTGGCTCAAACGTTGTTTTGATATTCAAAAAGCACATGTAACGAATAACTTAAATGAGGCGTATCGTCAACGGGACGAACTATCGATTTGTATGAAATGCTATTTTGGCGTATTGCCAGATGTAGACAAAATCTGTTCGAGTTGAATAACTATCTGTCAATGTTTGCTTTATATGAAGTCACGGACACCTAATTAAGAATTTGGCACGTTGAGTTTCAGAAGGAAAGAATTTAAGTCTAAAGTCTTCTACTACATCAAATGGCTTTGGTTAATTCCGCATAACAGTGAAAGCGTTGAATCAATAACTTTGGAAAAAATATATAGTAAAATTAATATACGCTGATTACTATACGTTGTGATAATACGACTCCTAAAAATTTTCACGATGGAAAAAATAACACAAACTTCTACATTTTACAAGAAAACCGCTGTATTCAATGCATACATATACCAAGGTTTTTTTTATATCAAAATTAAATTGAACACGTATACTATACGATATAAATTGTTCAAATGGCTTTTCGTTTGTAAAAAAAAATCTGAAATAAAGCCAAAGAAAATGAACCGATTAGTATGGGACAAATTGGAATTCGAGCTGAGGCATTATAGACTCTTTAAGAAACCTTTATAATGCAGAACGTTAGCAACACTGAATAAGAACGAAAATAAGTCGCTAGCTGTTAACAGAGCACTATGTAAATAACTTTCTAAGAAGAATCTGTAATCGCCATGCTTACTGTGAGAGTTAGCGACATTAAGTAAGGACGCAGTCACATACAGGGTGACCACTGCTATTGAGGATCTTTTAGCCCGTTTTCTAGAACACTCTGTAGCATGTGGTTTGTACATACAAATTTACCTTTTTCTCCTGGTCAGTGAGCTCCTGGTCAGGCGTAGGCAATCCGATGATGGAGTTGTCCCACATGACGGGGTGCCACGGGCGGCGTGAAGCACGCTCGGGCTGCAGCTGCGGCTGTGGCGGTTTCAGCGGCAGTGACCGGACATCTACGTACTCTTCCTCTTCAAATTCTGTCTGTTCCTTGCTCATTTTTTGCTAGAAAGAAATGAAATAAAGGCTCTTAGGCTCTTACGATATTAATGCTCGCGCATTCGCGAGAATTCCGCAAAAGGTTTTGGCTCGTATCTAGTTTATACGTTACACAATTGACCATAAAGTTCATTATGTTGTACAATGTCGTTACAAAAATTCGCTGCAATTCCGTACCGCCGCAATATAAATTAAGCCTTAAGTTCGATGGTAAGTGCGTATCGACTGAGATGCCACTCAGATGGTGCATCTCCAACTCGAAATGTACGAATGTGTATGTAAACACTTTATTATATGTTGCAACAAAACAAATTACACATTTTAACATAGAATTTAAGACGTTCAAAGGCGAGCTTATCCCATAAAGCGATTTATTCCAGCTAATCTTTTCGTGTATTACAAATAAATAAACATTAGACAACATCACATGCGTTGCTCAGATCTAAAGTAAGTAGGTAAGCAAAGCACTTGTGTTATGGAAATAGGGAAACTACGACGGTACGACAAACAGCCAGACCCGAGACAATATAAAAAAGTTTTGACCCGGCCGGTGATTGAACCTGGGACCTCAGAGGTGGCACCACCATGAAAACCGACGTGCAAGCCACTGGACAACGAAAGTCGTCAAAATTTATAATCCTTTACCATCGTGGATCATACCAACTCAAATGATCAAGACTCTTTTAATACTTAGTAGCGATCTTAAATCATTACAAGACGACGTTTATGAATAAGCTGAAATTTTGTAAATTCAAATTATCGAATTGATCAGTGATGAACCTATCCATTGATGTGACCAATGGCGGTTTTGCAGTCTTGGCCGCCCTAGGCCCCAGGCCTTGAACTCAGTACCAGCCGCCCCTTCCTCAGCACTTATCATGTACTGGTAGAAATCGATTCAGAACTTTAGTTAACTATAATAGCTGCTAGTTTTAATTATTTTCGGAGGTTTCAAATTTAAATAAAACATTTAAAACGGTTTTAGATTTAATTTATTTAAGTATGGGTTCATTCTCATACAAAATTAGATATAATAAGTGTTTTACAATGTGTTACAAAACTCGTCTGCACTTAGCTCAGCCAAATCATTAATTAAATCCTCACAAGCAAATTTTTTTAAATTTTCTTTAAAAATTAGCTTCTGTGTTAAGCAAAGCAAGATCGTTTAATCTTTGCTCCGTCATTGTTTTGTAGTTTTTGAGTTTACCGCGCTCAGACAGATACGGTAGTGAGAATATGTAGTGATGTGGTGGTTGTACATTAAGGTAATCTTACAACCACCACATCTTCAAAGATTTGTTACATAGATATGTAACAAATCTTTATTTTATACATAAAATATACGAAAGTGATTTAGGAAGAATTATTGTTATACGATGCGGTGCAGTGCGGCCCGCCATAATGTGCGTGAGCCTTTAGATTATTTAGGTACTTTGAGTTATTTCTTGATATCATCAGTGAATTCTTTTTAATACTCAATGAGTGTTAAAAACAAACAAAAAACGGTAGAAAACAACGTTACATCCATGGTATGTTATGTTACGTCCAATTAGATAGATGGCGATTTGACAAATTAGTTCTAGTAGTAAACGGCCCGTCTCCCTTAACCTAGTAAGTTGTCCCGGAAATGATAAGTCAGTATCTGGCAAGCTTTGGCCCAGTAGTTTGGTCGAATATTCCGCTGTTCGGCCACCCTCCGGGCCGAATTATAGGTAGGCCTATTTGTAGCAAAACTAGTCTCTATAAATAAATAAATAAACATTTCATACAAAACACTATTTACAAATACCACTGTAGGTAAGCAACATTGGTACAATAATGTTCGCATCAAAATAAATTTATCTAATATGGTAATTAGGTAGTTAATTACGAAATACCGTGAATGAGAAGCGTGTAAAATCTAAGAGCTCTAATGAAACTAAAGAAATTTGATCGAAGGTCAAGGTTCGCCAAATTATATTCTAGCTTTTTGATTCTTCATTACATTTGCAAGTTGTATACTTAGTAAATGGGTATTTCTTTCAATTTAGCTCCTAAACGGCGGCAACGTATCCAAAATGCTGGAAGTATATCTTTTTAACTCTTTAAATTAAATACAAAAAGCGACTGCATCACCATCCTAAATTGCTGGCAGGGCAACTGACGATCTCAGATTCAATGAGACGTCTTAAGAGGCACATAATCTTAAACTGGATCAACTAATTTGAAAATCCAGCTACAATCCAATCGGGCTGCTGCTGGAGAGTTAACTCTACATGAATCACGCAACCCATAAGCTCACAGTCATTTGACTGATCGCATGATTACACGATGAACAAAAACCCTTTATATGAGAATGCAAATAAACTGGACAAGGTAGCTACCAGCACCTGGGACTCTCAGGGTCGTATTCTAGAACTCTACTCAATGCTCAAGTCAGGACTTGAGCAGACTTGAGTATGATTTCAAACACTGGAAATACGACCCTAATGGCAAGGACTTGAGTATGATTTTCAGTGCTTTAAATCATACTCAAGTCCTGACTTCAGCATTGAGTAGAGTTCTGGAATAAGACCCTCAGTCGGTCCTTTAATTTTTTAGATATCATTTTATAGCAAGAAAGTGCATTAACTTTGACTTATAGGGAATTACCAAGTAGAAAGCTGAGGTCCTGGTGCTTTTCACTGTTTAATCTTTAGAATCTTGGGAAAGATTGTGATGACCCAGCCTGTTTACGTTTCTGCTAACGGATAACAGTGTTCAATAGCAGTAAAGCTCCTTGTGAAAGGGTTAGTCCAGGGAAGTACTGGCAACTTACCTATTTCTGCCGTCAAGCAGTAATGCAAGGATTACTGCGTTCCGGTTTAGAAGAGCAAGAGTGCTGGTGAAATTACAGGCATATGAGACTTGTCAACTTATGTCTCAGGGTGACAGGCGCAGAGACCTTTGAAACTCTGAATGGCACTGCAACTGTTATAGATAGGCATGTGTGTCCTTTACTATCATGCACCTGACTTATTCGTCCCATCACTTGATATATTATTTTAAAAAATGTTGAAGATAGAGTTCCGGTATATTTTATGTATATGTAGAAAAGCCGGAAGGGTTAAGGCAAAATATACTCTTGATAGCTACACCGACGCGTCTCTATGTAGGTAAGGTAGAAGAATTGAATACGACTTATTATGTTCCAAACCAGACTTAGTAAAGTAGGTATTTTACCTTCGATTTGTTTTTTTAATTAATTGCAATAATTTGCAAAACGCACCACGCACAACCACAACAGTAGTTATGGTTGCGGTGTAATGGACCGCACGTGCACGAAATTGTACAATTGTTTTCATTTAATTTGAGTAGGTACGTAAGTATTAATTCTTTTAGACTTGTTGTTTTGAAACCTTGTGTTTAACTAGGTTCATTAATTTTGAAATACGTAATAGTATATTATATTTGCCTCGTGGTTTCTGATTATATTTGTACTGTTACTAATTTTCTATTTCATAAAATCTTTTATTAATAACCTTCGTTTTCACTATTTCGTACTATATTTTTGCGAAATGACTAGTGTATCTAATGAAAGTAACATGGTTGTACAAATATCTACACTCCCGGCTTTTTATAGCTTGTTTTGGAACGAAAATAAAAATCAGATGGACTGTACAAAATCGCTACGCAATAATAGTTTTTATTGAATCGGTTACTTGGCAAAGGCACAAAAAGCAATTTTTTCTACGCCGTTTTATTTATACTGTTTTAATATACATAATACATTCTAGATCGCTAATATTCTAATAAAAATTGCTTCCTGTAAACAGTCTGGAGGTCAAAAAGGAAAAGATATATGTGTTCATTTGAATGTGTTCCTTGTTTTTAGGAACTTTGGCTTCAAAAGCTTAGTCTGATATTTGTATATGACCTACTTTAAAAATATCATTGACATAAATAGATAGGTACTCGCTCTTGGTATTCGATCTTATTGACAGGATTGAAGTTTGGATGAGAAATTATAATACATATGATTTGCACTTACTGATATCGAAGTCTCTCCGATAAACAAAAAAGATCGTAGTAATCTCACTTTTAAATAAAACAATGTGCCGGTTTCGCACAAAACAACAGTCTGTTTCTGGCGCGTTTACAACAGTTGCGCGGTTTATCTATCGGCTTTATTACTGGCGCTTACGAAATTATTTATAATTCGCTCTATGTGAACAGATGCATGAGCAGTATACGACTGAATTCATTACTTTCTCTCCCGACTGCGGGAGCATGTGATTACCCATACTGTTCCTGGTGACGTACGAGTTTTGGACAATTACCAGCCGAAATAAGAACATCAGACACCGTATTGACATCTAGGACACTGACCGAAATCCATGCCAACAATTGAGCCACGTTAAACGGCTTTCTTAATTAAATCAATTTTAAATACATGTATTGTGCGTTTTTTATAATGTATGATGCGTAAGTAATAAGTAGGTAAAACAACAGAAAACATCAATAACAAAATAATATCAAATTTATTAACTTCAACAATTATAACTAGATAACAAAGAAAGGAACAGTCCTCGTTCAGAATCTGTATCAATTAAATCCATTTTTGGCAAGAGCTGAATAATTCTAAAAACTTCAACAGACAACTTTTTGTTAAATCGTTCAAGGCAGATTTCTATTGTTTTTTACTATTGACTTGTTTAGAAACTTTTAGAGTCTGATTTATAGCGCGACAAACTGTGAAATCTCATTTTGTTACGCAACGGATACTTTTTTACAAACCGTTAACTTTTGATCAGGCTTTTATCTAAACGGTGTTGTACAACGGACACGCTCTACTAACACTGTTTGTGTTGGCTAATATCACCAGCTACAACTATCTTACGCGCCCGCCACCATCTCGTCGAAGGAAGCTTCGTGTTCCGACCTCGCTAGCATGAATTCAGGTAGAGTTACGCCCAAAGCTGCGCTATAACGCGGCCTAGTCTCGGCCCAAAAAGCACCGTTAGAATTAGATCCTGCAAATTCTTCAGGAGGTGCTACATTGGTTTCGTCTACAATGTCTGCTTGAGATTCAGCCTCAGAGTCAACGCTTCTCTTGATTTTTGATTTCACTGGCGATTGAGTAGCCGGTACTGCCGTCGACACAGTGCTAGTGGCTGCTGTGACTTGCTTTTTTGGCTGACGAGCTTTCTTGCGTTTCAGTTTTTTGCCGTAGCCGGGGTTAGACACAACCAATGCGGCAGGCTTGAATGCAGGTGGTGCGCTCGTGCTTACAGTTCGACTCTCGGCTCCTTCGTGTCCTGCGTCTATGCTCGGTGGTTTGGACGTGAATTCTTTAACTTCTTGATAAGCTAAGTGGCTGCGTTTCGGGGCTGATTCAGACACAAACATACACTCTTCATTTTTCAAACCGTTGTTATCAATGCACTGGAAGCAGGTCATGCCGTTCTTTTGCACTTTTTTACAAGCGGATCTATCCTTTTTTTTAAATTCTGCTAAAACATGCTCTACATCTTTTTTAGGTTCAGTGTTACTGTAGAACCCAGGCAAAGCCTGTTTGTAGTTGTAAGGTTTGGTAAGCGAATCTGACTTTTCTTCAGAACTGTCGCTTTCTGACGACTCGCTTCGCAAAGCTTCGCTTGGTGCTGATTTAGGTGCATAATAGGTTTTATATTTATCATCAGATTCTACGTCTCCTTTTTTATAGTCACTATGAGTTTTATCTGACTCTGAAGGAGAGGAGTACTCACCGGCATCGTCTTTAGCTTCGTGGTATTTTTCGGATTTTTTCGGTTGCTCGCCTTGTTGTTCAGGTTCATCGGGTTCATCATTGCTGTCAAATTTCTTTTCTTTGGAGTACGCATATTTATTGTTCTTAGGCTCGGCTACATAAGAACAAGATTCATAATTACCGCCTGTTTTAGGGTCCTTGCAGGTCATGCAGGTCATTCCATCTCTCAGCACTTCTTTGCAATTTCCTGGATTTTGTTTGATTTCAGCGGCCTGCTTTTCTGAAAGAGATTTTATCCTTTCATACTCCTTGTGGTCGTAACCGGAATCGTATCCGCTACCAAATGGATATTCATAATCTTTGTTGGGATCTTTACGTTCCTTATAACTGGCGCTGTAGAAGTCGCTATCAAAAGCCTTGGGCCTGAAACGGTAGTCTTTGTAGTCATAAGAGTCATCATCGTCCTCACTACTTTTGCTTAATCTCTCGCTTCGTCCTCTTGCATATCGACGAATACGAGCTGGTCCTGTAACGTAAGCATTAGGCTTGTAATTGTATTGATCAATTTCACTATTTTCATCCAATTCTTCTCTACGATATTTCAATGGGTGAGCCACCTCTAAATTCGTTACGGCGGGTTTAAAATACGAAGACACACTAGGGTTTTGTTTCAAGGCAGAAAGTATATCTTCCCCTTGTTCGTTTTCTTCTTCAGGCTTGTACACTTTATAGTCAGCATCGTGTATTTGCCTGATATCATATCGTAAGGGACTGGAAATTTGCTGGCGGATCGGCAAGTGAGTGTACGATTGGTGTTGCTGGTGCTGTTGCGGTGGTGGTTGGACAAGCCTGGCTGCTTGCCCGGGAGGATGAAAGCCTTGACTTGGTATCGGATTAAACCCGAAGTGTTCAGAGGAGAAAATATTTTCTTTAGGTGCTATACTTCTTTGCAATGAATCTATAGAACTACTGACAATAGTGTCAAATAATTGTGGGTATTGACTCTTATCTACTTTAAGCATTGCTGCGGCAATTGGACTTGAAGCCAACGCGGCTACTCCTGAAAAAACCATATCACCATTAGGTATATAAATATTATAATTATATATAATAAGATGTTAAAAATTTAAAAGTGCATGCAAAAAGCCTTGTGTTAAGTGACAATAGTGAGTGTCCTTATTAAATACTAACCAAACTCTCCATCTCCGAAAATGGGACCGAAATCCAAAGGTTGGACAAATCCGTTATGTTTCTCTTCTTTAGCAAACACTCCCTCACATATCGCCCATATTAACAACTGCAACAGGAATTATGTTTTTAAATGTATGATTAGCGTCAAAATATAACTTGAGCAAATTGTATAAGTTCATCACTTCGTACCAAATAACAGAGTCTAGACATTTTTGTTATATGGGTATACACCCAAGTAAATAGGTAAACGTCCACTACTTCTCACTGTATGGAGTTGTATTTCTCGTTTGCGTCGGGATGAAAGTAACGTCATATTATTGCAATGACAAGGTTTTATAGGCGTCAATATTGCGCAGGTGAAAGATCGGTGCAACAGAGCGCGCGCACCACTCAAGCGTGTCTGGCCGGACAATGTCCGCTTACCCCATCCGGTCAGCGACTGCAAGTTTCTGTATATGCCAGCCGTCGGCAACGACATTGTGGACGTCGAAGACTGGAACAGCTTTTTCTCCCGCGAACAAATCATGTTTGTAGCCACACTACTTATAGTAGTTTTTTTTTAGCGAATGTTAGAAAACTTTAAAAATCTTTCAGTCGATGTAATGAAATCCCTAGTTTCTATTGAGCCAACGCGATGTTACTGTCATTTTAGACACCCAAACCAAACAGTAGGACATCAAATGACAGCCTACGTGACCGAACGGTTACCATGCTGCTCTGCCACGCAAAGGTCCCGGGTTTTACTCCTGGGCCGGAAGAAATATTTCTATGGCCTACAGTTATTTGTCTCGTGAGCTTGGATGTAATTTGTGGTTGTCGATACATGTCCATGGCACCCGCGATACAGGGTTTCCCTAGTGCGAGGGTATGTGTTTTTTTTTACTTTTTGTACTTTACTTATTACTAATTATAGTAGGTATTTGCGAGTTCACATTGCCGCATTTTTTACAGAGTTCGTATGCAAGTCTGGTAACTTTATTGGTGAAGTTGTAAAAAAAATCCATTTCCACTTCCTTTAGTTATAACTACGGAAGTTATTTTGCAGTTTAATGAAACTGATCAACCAGTTGCATAGCCGTCATTTGCGGTTGCTGCTTTATTTTAGAAGCCAGTGCGGAACCATTGAGTAAGCTCATAGTAGTACAGATAAGATACAAATTAAATTTATAAAATTCCACAAAGATTTGTTTTATTAGACAAAAATTGAAAAGCAGTTGTGACTATTTGTATTGAGTAATGGAGAATCATTACAATTCCTTTGTACGTACATTCCTTAAAGGCTCAATACTCAACTTTATTGATCTCCGTGAGCAAAAAAGACGTTACAATCATTTTAAGTGCTTTGTGGGCTTATTAGGGCATGATGATAGTTGAGAGTTAGTTATTACTCGCACATGAGGATATAAAAATGGGATAAGTGGAGTTACATGTTTATTGCTCCGTTAGATACAAAAAATTATAATCCACATCCTCTCCAATTCTTGTAACTCTATCTACAATATTAAGCACTAGAGTTACAAGATTTGGAGAGGATGTGGGTTATATTTTTCTGTATCTAATGGAGCAATACACGTTAACATATACACTTATGCCATTCTTCCATGATGGGTGCGACATAATCACATAAAATATCTGTATATCTGTGTATCGGTAACAAATGCCACAATATTCATTTATTTTTTTAGAAATTACTACACTAATTTCTTATGATTATTAACGCAAATATCGAACACAACAACTGAGCTACTAGATCGAGACAGCACACCCTACTTTCTTACTACCTTCTGTATTATACCTAGGCAAGCCGTAGGCAGCTATTCTGGTGATGCAAATGTCCATGGGCAACGATTACCGAGTAGGAATAATTTGTTAAACCAAAACACTGCAAGTCCCAGTACGGTGTTTTGTAATTTCCTTACAACAAGAATCTACCGGCGGTTATTAATGAAAAACTAATTTATTCATTTACAATAGCAAAATTGGGTGGTGTATGTCGTTCCTTCGTCGAACGAAGCAAAGATACTGTACAAAGTACATTTAAGTAGTCTGAATCTACGTTAGAATATGTAAATTAAGCATCATTGCAAAGCGATATTTCAATTTTGTTATACGGTAAAGCTCCTTAAAATTAGATTAAAAAAAAAGAAATTACTTTTTTCAAAAGTACAATTTATAATGGCTAGATATAATTATTTAACACTCTCAGCGTCATAGAACAAACGATTTTTCTGAAGCAGCAGCCCTAGTGGGCGGCGCGCGAGACGCACTTTTTTTCACTGCACGCCATGCCTGGGTCCTGATTTCGAGACTACCAAATCGGATTCGATCCGGTCGGGTAGTCTCGAAATCAGATGGGTTTCTGAGCGAGAAGACCAACCTTATTCCTACTATATCTTTCTAATTTGTGAGTTAAATCAACTGTGGTTCCGATTTCGAAATATCAAAAGGTTCGCAATTATGCGCCTCGACTCGGAAAAGACGCAGTTTCCGATCGGAAGAGGCAATCAACACCAAGTTGCTGATGTTAAGGAATTTTTCTAGCAGGCCATGTGGGCTGCCGGCGTGACACGCGTTTTTTTTCACAGCACGCCAGGCCTGATCTCGAGTAACTTTTGTAGCGGACCATGTGCGACACATCTTCAAACTTTACTAGCAGGCCGCGAATTACAATCCCACCAAAAACAGACGAATGTCACCACTAGAGACGGGATCGATACTTGATTACGATCTGGATCAGTTGTAAGAGAATAGCCAACCAACTGGCTGTGTTCGCCGAACACACAACTTTACAACTTAACTGTACAAAATAAGGTAACGTGTCTTTTTATACCATTAACATGAAAATAAAAAAATGGCGTTTTTGTAGTTAGTTTTTTCAAAAATTAGTTTTTTTGTTAATTATTATTACGTTTTGAGTTTCTTAATTATTTGTTACTTGTTTAAGCTGATGGCTCTATAGCAAATGCTCTACAAATAAATAATAATAAAAGTTAACATGAAAAATTACAAAATATAAAAAAAAATTTGCAACCTTTTCTGAAAATGCTGTGTTTGATATTACAGAGTATATATATGAATAAATGAAATACTATTTATTGCACATTAGAATTACAATGACAACACAGAACAGTAATGTAAGTATCACAGAGTAAGCTAATGCACAACGGGTGACCTTATTGATAAGTACCAATTTCTGCCAATCTTAGGATTTGCAACTGTAGGATAGAAATTTAAGAGTTGGAAAGGTTTGACACGGTTGATAGACATGCTGTTCGTTGGCCTCCTACCTTATATTTCAAAAAAATTTCGTGCGAACGAAAAAGAAACTTTTATAATTAGGATAAATTTCACGTTTAATTTGCATGACGACAATTTTATATCAAGCATAAAAAAACAATTTTCTACAGATTCATAGTGATTGTATGCCCAAAATAAAACAACGAATTTTAAAAAGGATTATAATCTTATAAATCATACTAAACTTAATACAGTAGTAAATAATCTTACTCTATGAATTATAACATGCAACAAATTCTACACATTCGAGGGCGAAATAACGAAATTGCATTAAAATCGCACCGCGATTGCTTAGAGCTCGTTTTACAAATGTTACACTTAACTATTTGCCTTATGGAATGCAGTTCAATTAGTTCTAACATTGTCCGTTAGTTTCTGGTACAGTTGTTGACTAACCGGCTTACTGTCCTTTTCTAAAGCTAACAATATCGCCTTCTGAAATAAATTAAAAGACATGATAATATCGACAGTGGAAATTTAAAATATCGTAAGGAACATTTTGTCGTAATGGAAAATGTCCCTACTACAAAATATCGCTTACAACATTTCAAAATTCGATACATCGACGAAATTATTATCCTTATATCGACGGTGGAAATTTGAAATGTCGTAAGGAATATTTTGACGTAATGGAAAATGTCTCCTACTACAAAATGTCTCTTACAACATTTCAAAATTCGATACATCGACGAAATTATAATCCTTATATCGACGGTGGAAATTTGAAACGTCCTAAGCCTTTTAAAGTAAGGTCATTTTCCCTTACGACATTTCAAATTTCCACCATCGATTGTAAAGTAAAAAAAAGCCGGTTTCGAAGACAAATGGCTTAGGTTAAAGTAAATGTTCAATTAGTTAGTAAGTCATAAACTTCTCAGGTCGAAACCACGTAAAACGCGGAAATGAGAAAATATTTTTTTGAGATATCATAAAAACCGTAACCCAGTTTTAATTTTGAAATTGTTTAACGGTATTTCATCTACGCATCGTTAGAGTAACTTCCGAAAGTCGAACATGTTAACTAATTTTAACAGTTTTCAAAAGATAATTTTGTGCTGTATCGTTGCTGTCTAAAACGGATATTTGACCATTTGTCACTTAGCCGCTTTTTAGTTTTTAGTGGACGGCAGAGATATCTAGAAAACATTCGAAGCGTACAGTTCGACTGCGACGCAACTTCGTTTTATTCGCTGTGGTAGAGACAATCCTGTATCCTTTCGTAACTTGGTTGCGTTACGAAAGGATGAGTCGTCAACCTTATCCAGTACAAAATTGTTTATGAAATAATAATATACGATAGGCTATAATAGTCCCTAATAATTTAACAGTCCACTGCTCGGCACAGACCTGCGCTCACAATGGCTGACCTTGAGCTGTAGTTCCCATGCGGGCGATTTAGGAACTTCACACAGATAATTAAATGTTTTCCCTCACCGCAACACTCTTGTAAATATCAAATTAAATGTCGCAGATAAATTCCGAAAATCTCAGAGGTGCAAGTCCGTATTCGAACCCACGTCCCTCTGCTTGTAAGGTGATAAGTCAAACCTCTAGTGGGTTTGCACACTACGTCGTATTCGTTATCAGTTTAAAACAGACATTTTAAATCATGTACTTACTGAAATTTTATTATTAGAATCCTGCAATTTCTGTGACAACATCCACAAATTGGCAGCTAAGTTCATCATCGTGCCTTTCTCCAAATTACCACGTCTTATAACCCTCCAAAACAGTTCCATGGCCAAGTTGTATTGTTTCCTGGTCTCCTTAGCATTTCCAAGTTGCTTTAACACGATTAATAGTTCTTGGCATATATTTGTAGCATACTTTTCCAATGTCTCTATGAATTCCGCTTCCGATCCGTATAGTTTGTCATTTGACAGTACTGTAAATAGAAATCGTAATTAAATGTCGGATATTCAGTTACTTTTTAACCGACTTTAAAAAAGAGAATGTTCTTAATTCGACTGTATATTTTTTACGTATGTTACGCGATAACTCCGTTAATTTGTGAACCGATTTGATTTTTTTTTGTTGGAAAGAACGTACCTCTGTATTGGTCCCGTTTAAATTTGAAGAAAATATTCGAATTCTAAGTGTGGCAAACTAGGGGATGAATCCGGTTTCACGGACTTTCCGGTAATCGATTGCAATAAAACTTGGCAAATATATGTAATTACACTTACTTTTCAGGTCGGTTTTTTTAAGTTACAATTATTTAGAAATAAATTTACTTTTTCATAGAATCTCGAAATATAGATTTTAAGACTATAGTGGTTATTCACTCAATGATTATCACTAGTATCAGGTTTCTTACCACGGTATGACTTCTTTTTATTTTCCCGATATTTCGCAACGATTATTTCGGAATGACGAACGTCCTTAACCAAAATAGGAAAAATGTTACGTTCACCAAAAGACCACCTTCCTTTACAAAGACCGGGTGTCTATAAAGTGAACTGCAGTTGTGGGAGCTCGTATATCAGTCAGACTAAACGAACAATTGGCGATCGTATGAAGGAACACATCCGAGCAGTAAAAAACAATGATGCACAGGAGTCGGCTATAGCACATCTCACACAGACTGACACTAACCACTGGATCGAGTTGCATAGCCCCCAGGTACTCTCGACAGAACGTCACTACATACCACGTTTGGTACGAGAAGCCATCGAGATCACGAAGTACAAAACATTTAACCGTGATGATGGTTTTAAACTGTCCAGTGCATGGAATCCGGTCCTTAGTGCGTGCAGTAATAAAAACAAAAACACCTCGAGTTCAGTTTCGCGTGTGGATACAGTGAGTGTGGTTTGTGTGAAAAAAGTGAGTGACAATGGTAACGCCACAACAAATCGCGATGAAGGTAGTCGTCGACAGCGCAAGAGGGTAGACAGATATGTCTGCTCATAAAGCTGTCATCTGCCGCCGTCCAGTCAACCCGTGACCATGGAACATGCAACCGTTCCGAAATATCGGGAAAATAAAAAGAAGTCATACCGTGGTAAGAAACCTGATACTAGTGATAATCATTTAGAATCTCGAAATGTTTGGCCAGCCCGAATTCGAAACAATTGACGAAAACAATTGACAGGTGTCGTCAATTGTTTCACTTCAAATTGACCAGTTAACTTGAGCTTTGCTATAATGGACTAAAATTGCAAAATTACATATTTAATTACCGATGAAATTTGATTCCGTTTGTTTTGTAATTAGATGTTTTGTTTTGTTGTTTTTTCCCCACAACACTTTTCGCTACTTTGTAGTCAGAGCATTAATATTATGGTAACGTAGACCTATTTTGTGATGATAGGAATGGCAGACAGATGAAAAGGATTCCTCAATAGTGTACAACAGCTACCTTGTTTGGGCTAACATATGAGCCAAATTTTTGGGCTCATATGTTCGTTTTTACTAGGGCTTCTGTTTTCGTTTGCGTTTCAGTCATCATAGATATGGCCGTTAATGAGCACAGCGAAAACGGATAAGCATCATTTCACAAACAGGTCGGTTTATTTAAATAAAAAAAAGTTATAATTATTCCGGAACGAACCTAGGTTTCTTTGAAAAAAAAATTGGTTTTTTTTTTATCTTTTAATTAGATCCGAACAAATAGTTTAACTTAAGAGTAACAATCGCGAAAACGTAAGAACTCAATATCCAACATATTTATCTATACTCCCGTGTATTTTCTTTTTAATTTGTGGCAACAATCAGTCATACATGAAATAATACTTGTTTTCACAGGCTGGCCTGGATGTGATAATCAAAACGAAATCTGAATGTAAGGTTGAGTATTTCCGGTCGATTTGTCTACTACATTGTGGTTCGGAAAAGTATGGTTTAAAATAATAACTCAACCTTTTGAACTACTTTGAACTTATTTCTAATAATAACATCATATTCGTTATTAGAGATTTAGAGAAATTCTACTTTAGGTGTTTTTTTTTTTTTGTAATAATTATAATAGCTTTTTTTTTAAGAAACAGCACTATACATAATTATATATGTCAAGTAAACTAATCACTATTGATATATGTTTAAAAACATAAGGTATTTCAAATTTAAAGACACACTTCCCTAAATATATATTCCCGATAATAATAATAATAATAATAATAATAATAACGCACACACTCAACATAGCCCCGCACTAGGGAAACCCTGTGTCGCGGGTGCCATGGACACACACATAGACAACCACAAATTACATCCAAACTCACGAGAGAAATAATTGTAGGCCATACAACTATTTCTCCCGGCCCGGGAATCGAACCTGGGACCTCTGCGTGGCAGTCCGGCATGGTAACCATTAGGCCACGGAGGCAGTTTAGAGGAGGAGTAGGACGCGAGTTGAGTACAACGAATCATGTAGACTTTTATTCAAGCAGCTCAATATCTACTCACCCTACTGATCTGCGAGGTTCGTATGTTTGTCAAAAGAAATCTAACCATGTTCGAATAAAAACAGTACTCAAGCATTTGCCTCAAAGGGAATTTAAAAATTATGTATATAAAGTACTATTAGATAATTGTTTTTACAGTTTAGATGAATATCTCATTTTAAAATTTATTCCAATTATTATGATCAGAATACATTAAACATTGTAAATTAAATTGTAATTGACATAGAGACGATAAAACAATATTGTAAGTATTTATTATAACGACTGATATGATTATATTGTTAAAAAAAATTGTATGTCAGAAATGGCGCGACACGCTTGTACGCCAGCATATCAAGCTACACATTGACGTATCTTGTCCCGTTGCAATGGAGGCGATTTTCGAAAAAAAAATGTAGTCTAATGTGCCGTTGTCCGTACATACTTATGAGACCAAGTATTATTCACTTTTACCATCACCAATACCGTGTTTGCTTGCAAATAAACTACTTTCATTTCATTTCTTTAAAATGTCGATCCATACCGTCCATCCATACCATCACCCTATGTTAGTTATGATGCCTGACATGCTGAGAGGACATTTCAAAAAAAGTTTCCAAATCGAAATCATAGTCTCTTATTTTTCTCTTCTACAATCATATCAATATAATTTTCCAATAAAAGTAAAGAACAAACTCTTCTACTTTGCAACGTCGTAAGTTTTTTCTTGCTACGGAGATCTATCTTTAAGCAATCACGTCTGAAGTCAGTACGTGATCAAGCTCCCCGCCGCTAGTCGGTAGTAATTTTAATAGGATGAATTGCGTAGCAATAACGTTTAAATGAAGTTTCGAAAGGGACTGTAGAACGGATAGATACAAACTATTGATTCTTTTTTATTCATGACTCTAAAAGGGTGATGTCCTGGTGAACTTGGATTACCTAGTCTCAAAAATTATCTGAACACTCAGTATTTTTTTATTTATATATAGATACCTCCAATGAGCACTACGCCAGCTTAATTTTTGAACCCATTCTGTTATTTTGTTTTTAACCGACTTCAAAAAAGGAGGAGGTTCTCAATTCGTCTGTTTTTTGTGTGTATGTCACGCGATAACTCATTTGTGAACCGATTTTGATGATTGTTTTTTTGTTGTAAAGAGAGTAACATAACATTCTACCTACGTAAACTCGCTGTTAAATCACACCGTCGTCGTCGCTTTATGATTAAAACTTTCTATATATACGTTTTAAAATTTTACAGTCCAAAAATTATGTTTTCTAACCGACTTTAAAAAGAAAGGAGGTTCTCAATTAGACTGTTTTTTTTAATGTATGTTACGCGATAACTCTTGTAAACTGATTTTGATGATCCGAGTGGTCCCATTTAAATATTCCACCTCTAAGGGTGGCAAACTAGGGGATGAGTCCAGTTTCGCTCACTTTCCGGTATTCCACGAACTTTTGACTTTTGAGGTTGGTTTTTTAGTATTCTGTGCCGAGATTATTGTTTCTTTTTTATAACAAAATTCGATTTTAAATTTTTATTCAATAGATATTCAATTATTTTTTGTGAAATTACTCCACTAGTTTGTTATAATTATTAATACAAAGATCGAACACTCAGAAAAAAGTCCTATGATCCGGCCGGATTCGAACCGACGACGCCTTCTAGCTTACCGTGCCAGACGCTATACCAACTAAGCCACGGAACGAACCAGCGGACCTCACGAATTTTTCTATGTGCTTGTGTCGTGTCTTTGTATTTGGTTTTTCAACTACTTTTTAGTATGAGAAATCTATGAAAGATTTATCACCCAGTTAGTACCTTTACAGCTACCAGTCCCTGCGAGAGATGTCGCTATTCGCTGTATTTTACATTTTTATTGAATTGATATTCAATTATTTATACTTATATTTATTATACCTCCAATACCGATTTTTAACCTAAAGTGTCATACTGCTAGGCAAAAGTTTCAATATCCAGTGACCATAGGGCAAATCGGTACCGAGGACTGATAAAAGTATGAAATAAAATTCTTACCTGCGTCTATATGATACGCGTAGCTCTCCTGTGTCATATGGCAAAGCAAGTCGAGAGTTCGAAGTAACGTAGCATAGTACAAAGGTTCAGTCTTCTTCCAGTGTATTCTCTCCATGGTCTTTATGAAGCCGCTTAATATGTACGCTTTGCAATTACTGTCTACATTGTCCTAAAATTGATTGTTGTTGTAAATTTATTCATAATAAAATTACCGAATATACTGTACTTTACACACGCACATCTTCCTATAGTAACCAAAGTACAGTATTACTTATTTATTTCTTTATTTATTTAAAGATACACCATTCACTTAACACAAAACAATATTAAAAAAAAAATACACACAGGTTCACTATACAAGGTGCCAAGTCACTACAGGTGTATACATCACTAAACTAAACTTTGGTTACTATAGGAAGAGTTGCGTGTGGCGGCTGAAAATATTAGATATAATATATATTAGACAACATCACATACGCTGCTCTGCTCCCAAAGCAAGCAGCTAAAGCACTTGTGTTATGGAAATTGGAAATACGACGGTACCACAAACGCCCAGACCCGAGACAATACAGAAAAAATAGTTTTGCGCACCGACCCGTCCGGGGATCGAACCCGGGTCTTCAGAGATGGCGACACCATAAAAACCGGTGTGCAAGCCACTCGACCACGGAGGCCGTGAAAAGTAATCTACCAAAGTATATGAAGCAAAAGACGACCATGGCTACTTTTTCAGTATGAAATGTACATAGAAATAGGAAATGCGTTTATTTTTGCGTTAAGAAAGAGACATTAATCTGTCAAAAAAAGTAGTTGCTCATTTGTAAATATTTTGCTTTTTTCTTCCGCCATTTTGCCCATTCAAAGTTACACGTAATAAACAAACGAGTGTCACAAATTTTGAAAAAAAAAAATAACGAATGCCTGACGATGGTGGCCAGTATTATTTTTTAATTGAAAATAGTCAAAGGAGATTACTTTTCAGCCTCCCTTCGTGTGTCAAGTCACATTTAAACATTTAAAATACGTTATGCATTGTTATAAATAGAAGTTAAAACAAATACAAAAAATAACAGTTTAGGTTTGAAGACATCATTCGTTTTATTAAGATTTCAAGTGACGGGACGAACAGGCCATGGACCTGGTGGTAACAGACACGCCTATCCATAACCGTTACGGCACCACTCAAAGCTTAAATCGCAAAGATCTGAATGAGACTGCCACTGCGCCCGTCACCTTGAGATATAAAGTTATCTAGTCCCATGTGCCTGTAGTGTCACCAGCAACGTCACCCTTCAAAACCGGAACGCAATAATGCCCACATTACTGCTTGGCGGCAGAAATAAGTAAGGTGGCAGTTGGCACAGCTTTTTATATAAAAAAAATGCTTTGCAAAATTAATAGTGTAAACACGTATACATAAAGCACAACTTGACCGAGGTGAAAAGTTGTTCTCAACAATTTGTGAAGTAATTTAATTCTGAAATTAATTTTCATACCAGCTTTTTTATTCAAGTTTACTAAGCTATATTTGAATGTAATTAAGACCTACCGGTAATACCAATAGTGTAGACAAAAAATTACTGAGCAAGCCTTCAACTTTGATGTGTGTCGGTTTCTTTTGCTCGTTTTCTATTAAGAATTCGGGTATGTCCGGAATTAAACTTACGAACGCCTTAAAGTTTGCTTCAGCTGAAAAAAATCATGTAATATTTATTTAGGTATATGATCTGAACATTATAATATGTATGTTGTTTTTAGTTTCATTGTACCTATATGTGTATAATTGTATCAGTTTGCCCGGTTATCCTCATGTTTTATTTAAAGTATATTTAGGGGACTATAGGTTTAGATATTGTTAATTTTAAATGTGTATTTTTTCTCATGTGTAACTGTTTGTCCCTCACGATATACGACACTACGTCTTTAGTAGGACTTTGACTTGCATCAACAATCGACAAGCCTTTACGATGTGAGCGATTTCATACAAACTAATGCTGTGATAAATTTGTAATATCGTGTGTCGATGGCCTATGAAAAATTTTATGATATATAATACATGCTGCCTAATTTCACTAAGTAATTATAAATTTATTAAACAAAATACTTGGAAACTGTCAACAACACGGAAAAATCAATGGAAGGGCCTTGAGCGTCGATTACTATTAGCCTCAATTTATATTGCGGCGGAAAGGAGTGGAAGCTCGCATTATCGAGCAAGCATTCCGCGGAAGATTTGGGTCGTATCTAGTTTGTACGTTACACAATTGACCACAAAGTTCCAATTACTATGTACAATATCGTTACAAAAATTCGCTTCCATTCCGTTCCGCCGCAATATAAATTAAGCCTTAAGACCACTGTCACAAAAACTCACGTTTTTGACATGTTCTTGCATGATATACTGAAGGTAATTATGCCTTTTGTTGTTATACCACTTATTGATTATATTCTATGAGTGACTATATCCTTGGGAATTATATAAATTTTCGTTGACGTTTCGGAGACGATCCATTGAATTAGAAATATATATTAGAAAGGTATCCTTGGCAACCATTGAATGCAGAACACGGTGTCTAGGAAATCGATCGCCAAATCCTTTATCTTACCAAGTGACGGGATGAACAAGTCGTGCGCCTGCTGGAAAGCGATACGCCTGTCCATAACTGTTGCCGAGCCGATCGAGTACCCTTGCCCTTCGAAACCGGAACGCAGTAATGCTCACATTACTGATTGGTGACAGAAATAATTAAGGCGGCAGCACTTCCCAGGACAAACTCTTTCACAAGAAGCTCTACTGCTACTAGGACAAATAAATGTTATACCAAGTGAAAATAGATGAACCCTACCTCCATTGAAATCAAACGACCTCCTTATAAAAAAAAAACTGAGTTATCAACAGTATGTAAAACTCACCCTGTCCAACACAGTTGTTCATCAAGGCCACTTGACCACATACAAGGTACAGTTGCGCTTTAGTAAGTGCACATCTCAACGACGGCACTGTGACAAAGCTGTAAGCCGCGCATGCGCGCTGCAGCCATTTCCCTTGCGCTGCGTCGGGTTTTGTTGCAAGTGTGTTCACTGCCTGTTGACAGAAAAATTAAATTTTACCATAAAGATCATCCTTGAAGGTTTACCAAATTTCGATTAAAAGGGTGACGAATAGACGCACAAGGATTTGATATTGTCTTCCCAGTTCAGTGCTGCCGTTTAAAATATTCAAACTCAAACAATATTTATTTCATAGGTAACTAAACTACACTTAATAATAATATCGCGCGCACACTCAATACGCCGCACTAGGGAAACCCTGTATCCCGTGTGCAATGGACACAATCACAAATTACACCCAAACTCACGAGAGAAATAAATGTAGTCCATACAAATATTTCTCCCGACACGGGTATCGAAGCCGGGAACCTCTGCGTATTAATCCGTCATGGTAACCGTTCGGCCACAGAGGTAGTTTGAAATAGTCACATTGATCTACTATTCATTCGTAAGGCAGATTCCCTGAAAATAATTAGTAACAAGCTCCAGCGGTTGTCCTTTGTAAATAAACTAACTGCCTCCGCGGCCGAAAGAAAATCTTCACCATACTACATATATTGTAAATGATAAATGTATATATTTTTTATAGCCCCTGATACACACATAGACAAACCACAAATTACACCCAGACTCACGAGAGAAATAAATGTAGACCATACAAATATTTCTCCTGGCCTGGAAAATCGAGCCCGAGACCTCTGCGTGACAGGCCAGCATGGTAACTGTTTGGCCACTGAGGCAGTTAATCTTGAATTAATCTAATGTTTTCGCGCGTCTAAAAGAAATTAAATTATCTGATATCAAATCAACTTACATGCACAAGTGCAATGAGCACAACGTCAAGCTTAATGAAGGCCGAACGACATTCAACGTAGAAGTTCAGCTGTTGCTCCAAGTCGTCATGGTAATTGACCGCCTGCACGAATTTCGTGATCAGTTCGGCGCAAAGCTTGACTTCGTCATCCACTGTCACCGCGCTTAATAACAAATTATATAAGTAGGTCATATTGTTGAAAAGTTTCAAATATTATAATACTTTTTTTAAATGAAAATTTTCAAAAAGTATATATTATTAACCGACTTCAAAAAAAGGAGGAGGTTGTCAAATTACGCGATTATGGCATTTCGTCGCCTTACTTTCTCAAACTCGTATGTTAAAGCACAAAGTAACTGAAATGCTTTGTTTTCATTTCATTTCACATCACATTTCCTTCATATTCACAAACAGGCTTTTACCTATTCTCAAAGTAATGCATGCAAATCAATCAACACCTTTGACAAGAAATTTAAAATAAATAGACATTTTTATTTTTTATATTATTATTTTTATAATACTTGTTTGAGAAAGTAAGGAGTCGATATGACAATCTTAACACTAGATAGTAAAAATAATAAAATTAACGAAACAGTTTAATTACAGCTATGAATCACTAAATGGCATAGTAAAAATTATAGCTATATCAATTAATGGCAAAATCAAAATTATCTTTATTCCGTAGGTAATCATATTACACTTGAAATCGTCACATTTACACAATTTTTAAAACCATATTTTTATGATACTTGTTTGAGAAAGTAAGGAGTCGATATGACAATCTTAACACTAGATAGTAAAAATAACAAAATTAATGAAACAGTTTAATTACAGCTATGAATCACTAAATGGCATAGTAAAAATTATAGCTATATCAATTAATGGCAAAATCAAAATCAAAATTATCTTTATTCCGTAGGTAAGCATATTACACTTGAAATCGTCACATTTACACAATTTTTAAAACCATACTGTCTTGTCGTTTATATAATCCCTAGCAGAATAATATCCTCTCTTTAGTAGAGTTGCCTTTACATGATTTTTGAACTTATCAAAGGATAAGTCCAAAACAGCTTTTGGAATCTTATTATAATACTGAATTCCTTGCCCCACAAAAGAACCGAGAACCCTCTGAAATCTTAACTTCGGTAAAACGAGCTCCCATTTATGTCCATGTATGAATGTGTACGTGTAAAATTATGTACGTCACTCCGTTTATTATACAATTCATTATTCAAACGCACAAAAAGTATAAAATTGAAAATAAACTATGATGCAGTGCTCAATATGCCAAATTCCTTAAAAATCTCCCTAAATGAGGTACGTGAGCTTAATAGGCTCAACTCGAGTTGCCAGCGTGAAAAAATGTAGTCGGAGGTGAAATCTAGAGAATTAAAGAAAACTTACTTGATAGAGTCATGCAATATACAACATAGCCTCATGAGACTGGAGATGACGATGTGGTCCTCGATCTGAACTCCGTTGTACCTCTCGAAGAACAGAGAGAGAACCGTCTTGGCCATCATCGTTCGCGCGCTTATAGTTTGCACTAGCTCCAACAGCGGCATAAATGCATCCTGGAGGGAAGAATCATGCTTGCGAGACAAAACTTAAACAATTTTCGGCAATATAATTTCCTACTAAACGCGAATTACGATTAGTACAATAACACAGAACAATAGATACAGTAGAAGTGCTTAGTGAAGTAAACCTTACACGGCTGCAATATGATCGCTTCTTTTTTGGAGAACTTAGTAGATATTTAGAATTTTTATATGAATTTAGTAACAGTAGAGCTCTTTGTGAAAGTGTCCAGGGAAGTACTGCCACCTTACCTATGCAAGCAGGAATGTCAGCATTACTGCGTCCGGTTTTGAAAGGTAAGGGAGCTAGTGAAATTACAGACACATAGGACTTGTCAACTTATGTCTCTAGGTGACGGGCGCAAGGGGAGTGCCCCTCAGATTTGCGGTTTAAAGCTCTGAGTGGCACTGCAACTGTTATGGACAGGCATGTCGCTTTCTCTTCTCTGTTCGTCCCGTCACTTCGTATCATAAAAAAATCATCGTCGTTCAACTATTAACCTGCGGTAAAGCGGTATACAATAAGCAAATATACATTAATAAATTTAATTCTCACTCATCCTGTCTGCCAGTTGGTACTAGCACTAAAATCAATTCAGAAGAATTCATTTCTTTGGAAAGGCTTTATTATATTATACTTTTGTGAGGTCATCATAGTTATACAAACTATTTTAAGAAGCTACTATTTGAAATTGAGTATGTATCTGTGGACGACACGGCGATGAAAATAAATACCCAATGACTTACCATTAAAAACAATTCCTCAACATCAGGAATAGATTTGAGCATCCGCTTCAGTACAAACTGAAAGTTTCCAGAGAAATCGTCCGCAGGTTTACCGCACTTGATCATGTAGCGGATCGTGCCACGCAGGATTATATTTACGTGTTGCGTCTGTGATAAGAAATGTAACATTTTCATTGTGCCAAGTTAATACCTGAATGTAAAATTTTCATTGTGCCAAGTTGAGACCTGCCGACTCCGGTACAAAATGCTAAACCGATATGTATTTTCAAAAAAATGCATAAACAATGGCTCCTGTCTGTGCAGAAAGCGAGTAGCAATCGGTTGATGGTTAGTTCCCCTAACAACACTAAATAAATAAATAAAATTTTAGAATATTTTTAAGTACAATTTTTCAATTTTTATACATTTTACAATACAGTGCAACACAAACAGCCTCTATTAATTGGCTGGTGTTTAGTATACATTCCGCTTGCCGGCTTGATGCAGCAAGCTATTAGCCTTAAGTGAAGCCTGAAAATCAGAAATGCTAATGTCCACTTGCACTAAACTTAAGTATGTCTTAAACCAATGCTTAAATTGATAAGACACTCTTAAACCAATGTATTAAGAGTCTCTTTGGCATTGCAATTATTGGTTTAAGACGTACCTAGGTTTAGTGCAAGTGGACATCAGTCTTCATCCTTTTTGTCCACACTACTGTTCTTTGGTTTTAATTGTTCAATTTCGACGGCCTCCGTGGTCGAGTGGCTTGCACACCGGTTTTCATGGTGTCGCCATCTCGGAGGTCCCGGATTCGATCCCCGGCCGGGTCAGAGTAGAAACTAACTTGTCTATATTGTCTCGGGTCTGGGTGTTCATGGTACCGTCGTTGTTTCCGATTTCCATAATACAAGTGCTTTAGCTACTTACATTGGTGTTCAGAAGAACGTATGTGATGTTGTCTAATATTTATTTATTATTTATTTGATTGTTCCCTTATGTTTCGAGGATAAATAAATGTCATTTTATTTATTATTATTTATTCGTAATGTTGTATTTTTAACTCATTACAGGTACTATTTAAATGAAGGAACGAATGAAATATTCTTTATTACACATACGTAGAATGTACGGTGGCAACACAGAACAGTATCTTACGTATAAAAATAATAGGTTAAGGTGCGACAGGCGGCCTTTTTATAAGTATTAAAAAATATATATTCTTTTTATGTTTATTTAAATTTATTATACTTTTAATTGCGGAATCGTAATAGAGTCATATTTGTACTATTTAAATTTGAAGATATATATATAACACAAGAAAGCAACAAATACTTTGGATTTATTGCTATGTAGCAAATATTTGTGTATGTATTTACTGTCACAAAACCATCTATCTATTCACATAGTATTTTAAATCAATACACTTGTATGCGTTTTGTGAATTTCCATCTTCAGTTTTATGTACACAGGTTGATTTATTCAGACGTGAAATGGACTAACTAAAAGAAATCAAATAAAAATCAACTTACTGATAAATGTGTGCAAGCATACTGCAACCACGGTTCCAAAACTTGTAAGAAATGATACGTCGATTTGATATTACTGGCGATCTTCCACCAGGTCTGTATAAGTGTTTCGGAAGACTGCTGTCTGTAGTTGTCAGCTGAGCAAAGGTGTTCTCCAAGTGACGTTAGGATTTCATTTAGAAGTACTGGAATTTAGGATCTTTATGTAAGTTTCTATTTTAAAACGCATAAGTTAACCATTTAAGGTAATGAGACCTACATTACGACATAGGACAGCATCAACACATTATTAACAATCATTGACCTAGGTCAATGTTGACAGTTTAAGGAATTATGCAAGATGGCAAAGGGATGATAGTTTAGATAGCAAAAATGATGACATCAGTGGTCCATTGATTTGAACCGTGGGTGTTGTATAAGAAGGTCCCGATTTCGATTCCCGGTAAGACTAATTTGGTAAATGAACTTTCTAAGCGGTTTCTGGTCTGGGTGTTCTGGGTACTAACATTAGTATTAAGCGGTTTACAAATTAATAAAAAAAAAAAATATGAATGTTACTTGAAATAAATAAATAATTATTATATAAAACGTTTATAAATCGGTTGCGTATCACTCGTCTTGGAAACTTTATGGTTTGGTATTTACGTCTTTTCTTCCCCGAAGTATCGATATATTAGTATAGGTATAGATATAGTTACCCATTTTCTCGGCAGAATTCTGCACCATATCCAAAATGATTGACGTCTTTTTGTTAACGTACATAGAATCGAAGGCCGATACAACACAAGACAGCAACAATTCACTGAAAAAATATCATGGGCATTCAACACGGTAAAATTATTAGTTTGACGCTACATTAAGGGTCGCTACTACCTGAAAAATTCAAATTTCGAATTGTCGAATTCAAATTTTTCCGCTACTAATACGGTTCATTTTGATTAGGTCCAGCGGCAGGGACACTGCCTTTATTTCAGAATTTATTTTTTACAAACGAAATTAAAGCCATTTGAAAAATGTATACCGTATAGTATACGTGTTATATTTAGTTCAGTTGATATTGAAAAGAGATGAGAGATATATTGATTTGTAAGCATACACAGTAAATACAGTTCAAAAGTTTAAGATTACACTTATAGTTGAACGTGTTGCGCCAGTAACTGGCATACACAGATTCTCACATACAGACAGATTCAGATTATTAATCAAATATTATACATTGTTCGCATTTATGACACATAGTCATATTACTTATATAATTAAAATCATATCGTATTCCATTATAAAATTAATTTTTTTATTTAAATAATTTAATTAAAGAAAAATTATGATTTAATAAAAAAGAGGAACTCATGTCAAAGCAATAAATAAGTATAGGGTCGCAGGCTTCAAAATTTAAATGTGAAAAACTCATTTACATTATAAAAACAATTTGTCACAAGCAATTCAAATAGTATTTTCTTAAATCTAGACGTAGGTAATATTTTTATATCGTCAGGTAATAATTATATAATTTATTAATAATAATTATAAAATCATTGGTATTATATAATTTATTAATAATAATTATAAAATCATTGGTATATGTAAAATACCTATTGAATACAGAATACATTTACCCATCAGGGTAGGCAGAGACCACAGCCTTCCACTTGCTACGATCCTGACACATATCACAGTACATTTCTCCAAAATATTTTTACAACACAGAAAAACTGGGATCATAAAGGAAGATTGTAAATACTTGCTTGTTTTCTATTTGTTCACATTCATTCAATAATTCTTCGAGTAGACTTAGTTTGCATCTATTGGAGTTTAATGTGCCGAATAATAGCCAATCCACAGCCGGCACGAACAAGCTCAAATATTTATCCAGTGTTAGTAACTGACCTTCGTATTTTTTGCGCATTATAGGGTGGAATATCTGAAATCAAAGTAATCTCTTTGTAAAAATTGTCGCCTCAAATTAGCGCAGAAGCTAATTGTACATTGCATGGCCTGTGGTAGCGATGCGCGATTGTGAATGATTTCATTATTCGGCTTGTGACGGTGCGACCTCCTTACACCGTCATCTCACCTCTTTGTATCGCCTCTCTCCTCTTGTATCTTATCATTTTTTTTATTTTACTTGTATTTAAATTTTAAATTTGAATTGTTCCATCTTCCTTCACTTTCTCATTTTGTTTTCGTACCACAGTCACTCCCAGCTCGACCGCCACGACAGTCAGAGCTGTTAATAAGCTAATCACGTGTAATAATTTATAAGTCTACAGCCTTTATGTATCTATTTCTGTAATTCAGTTTCTCGGCCCATTTAGGGGTAAGTGCCTTAATAATAAAGTGTAGGGAGTGTTTTATACAGTTATACCTGTTTTTTTTTACATTTACCTTTATATTGTTACAGCCTTTCTTTAAACTTTACTTCTTTAATAAATTTACTAGCCGTGAACTGAACCTGTTCACGGCTAGTTAGGGTTACAACCCTTTCAGACTCGCTAGTAATTAAATTACTAATCCTAAGCTGAATGACAAATTGGTAATCTACTAATTTTCGTATTCGAATGATCTGAATGATTATTCATTACTAATTAGTTTTTTTTTTATAATATTAAGTGACGGGACGAACAAGCCGGGCGTCTGACTGTAAGCTATACGCCCGTAACAGTTGCAGTGCCACTCAGAGCTTTAAATCGGAACGATCAGAGGGGCACTGCTACTGCGGCCGTCACCCTGAGACATAAGTTGACAAGTCCCATGTGCCTGTAATTTCACCAGCACCCTTACTCTAGTGCCGGGACGAACAAGTCGTGCGCCTAGTGGTAAGCGACTCGCCTGTCCATAATAGTGCCACTCAGAGCATTAAAACACAAAGATCTGAGAAGCACGGCTACTGCGCCCGACATCCTGAGACAAGTTGACAAGTCCTATGTGCCTGTAATTTTACCAGCATCCTTACCTTTCAAAACCGGAACACTGTAATGCTGACATTACGGCTTGGCGGCAGAAATAGATAAGGTGGCAGTACTTCTCTGGACGAACTCTTTCACAAGGAACTAACATAAGGGACATATTGCATAGAAAGTAAAAAATTCAACATTTTACAGGCCCAAAAACTGTAAACAAAATACCTGTTGATATTCTCCAAGAAACTCTTTAAGATTATCATAGAAATATTCTTCACTATTCCTATCCAACAACTTGGAAGCGACTCGACATAGGTAAAGTCTTAAATAAATCGCGACCAGCGGGTTACCGATGCCTCTGATCATTTTCGTCAACCGCGCTATTGCTGGCCTTATTTCATCTTTGTTTATGAAAACGTAGCACTTGAGTAAAGTCATTTCCATGTACAGACGAGGGAGTAGTTCTCTGATAGAGGCCATTTTGAACATCCAATTTTGACAGGTTTCTTTTGCTGTTTCAGGCACTGATGAGGAATTTATTTCGAAAATGTTTTTAATATCAACTTTGCTGTAAAGAAATAATAGACATATTTTGTAAAAATTACAAAAAACCAATGCCATCTTCTTAAGTCAATATCAATTTATTGGCAACAAGCACGGCTATCGCCAACATCAGAAACTATGTCTATAAACTTAAAATACATTGCCAGATTTTGCCTAACCACTAATATCGTACATATTGTACAAAATTCCTAGAAACTTCTAGAAGGTTTTTCACGTCGCAGATAAAAATGTCGTACATTTTTTTGCAACAGTAAACAATACCTGCATATGTATCTGAGTTCATTCGAATAGTTTAAAAGTTGTTTATTATAGCTTGTTTTAAACGTCTTTGTACCTTTCATACAATCATTAATCAATGCTTTCATACCTTGTCTGCTTTTAAAAACCGATGTAAGCATTGGCTCCTATCTGTACAAAAATCTAGCAACAACTGATCCCCAATTAAAACTCCTAAGCAGCACAAAATTTTAAATTTTAGGTTAAATGTATAAAAAAAATATATAAGGAGTTCTTAGGTTTTCGCGATTGTTACACAGCAAATGAAATTATTTTTCCGGATTTAAAACGCGTATATTTGTTTTTTCAAACAAACCGACGTTTCGGGCCTTGTACATGTCCCATAGTCAACCGTGACCTGTAAAGGGCCCGAAACGTCGGTATGTTTGAAAAAACAAATATACGAGATTTAAATCCAGAAAAATAGTTTCATTTCCTAAAAATATATAAATTTACACGGACAGATATTAAACTTTTACTATTACTAAAGGTAGGTTATTACGCAGAAGACAATCAACGCCTTGCGCGTTCAGTACAACAACGCGTTCAGGGTTTTATTGGGTTCGCCACGGTACTGCAGCGCATCAGGCACGTTCGCCCACACGGACGGTTTCCATGCTATCCTTAGAAAGAGAGCTGCCTCATTAATAAGTCGTATCCGTTGCGGCACGAATGAGATTATGCGCGTTGTGGCTGGTAGAGTGGATTGCCCAATCATGCTACATTGCATGAAACTGCATTTAAAACCATGTCGATGATTTATTTGATATTTAATTTAATTTGTTTAATTATTCTATGTTTTTAAGTTGCCTTTTGTTTATTTTAATGTGTGTAAACCTATTGAATTATCTAAGCTAATATTATAACTGTAAAATATGGACTGTAGTTGTTTGAGAATAAATTATTTTTGATTTGATTTTTGATTACTTAGTGTACACTCCGCATATTAGCTTGGTGCAGCAAGCGAACAGTTAGCTAGGTGAAGACTGAAAATCTGCAATGCTGAGCTTTAAACTTTTTGTCCGCATCACTCAATTGTTCTTTTTTTCTATTCGTTTTTTAAGTATAGTGTTCCTTATGTTTTGTGCAGAAATAAATACTTTTTATTTTAATCTCTGACATTCCTGGCATTATATTTGTACAGCTATTAAATACGGTATGGTTTCTGATCAAAGCAAAAAGGTGAAGGAACCTACGAAGCAGCGCCAATCTAACACAATCAGAACGTAAGCATAGAGCCATCTTGCATTCAAAATAGACATCATCCTTACCCAAAGCTTTTCCCTTTGAGTCGGTCAAACACCAAATTACCAAAAGTATCAAGAATATCAGTAATCAATACAAATTTGCTTGGATAAAATTGCATTACATTAACATCTGATAATAATTTTGAACACTGTATTCCAATTTTAAATGCTCGCACCCTTTGTTCGGAGTTCCATGCCTGTAGAAATTTAAAAAGTTACAATATTGCAGAATATTGCTGAAAACACTGCACTACATATGGCAAAGTCCCACACGACGTCAATTTCAGATGGTAATTCCCCATAATCCTAGTTAGATCTTAATTCATCCCCAAATAATTGTAGCTGTATCTATATTTCAAATGTTAAGTAATAAGAAAATGGCGGGTTTTTCTAGTTAATAGTTTTAAACAAATTAATTTTTTGTTTACGTATATTACGTTTTCAGTTTCTTAATTATTTGTTACCTTTTTGAGCTGATAGCTCTATAGCCAATACGTTTAATAAATAATAATAATTAAGCAATGAAAAAATCGTTGTATATTTAAATTAATTAATTTAAATAATTTTGTATATATAAAATGAAGTGTTCACTTCAACAATTGTTTTAACATTTTATGGACTCACTATACCTTTTTTATTTCATCACCCAACATGTTAATTTTCGTCACGAATTCCTGCTGACTCAAACCCTGTGTTTTCCGAACAGAGCCTTCCTCAAAATCATCCAATTGTTCCAATCTGTGCTTTACTTTCTCATTTAAATTTGAAACCTGTCTGATTAGGGCTGAAAATGAACTAACTTAAAAAAACGAACCAAAAATAAACAAAAAAAAAATGGCAAATTAGTGCATGTTGATAAATAATTACGTCAATGAATAAAGACAGAGACCTCAATATACTGTGATAACAGTTAATTATTGTAATAATTTACGGTTCAGACATTACTTTGCAGAAAAAAAATGGAAGTAATTTATTTTGGGACTCCGCGAATACAGAGCAAAGTAGCTAAGCTTGTATTGAATATTTTTTCAAGCAGTTAAGTTACTCTACCTCCCTCTGCGTAAAATGAATAACACAAATGCGACTACTATCACAAACACAATCACTAAAATTATAGGGGAGGACTTAAAGGAGAACCTTCCAAATTGTTTTACATATGTGCTACATGCACATATGTAAAACAATTTGGAAGGTCCTAAATCATTATTTATTTATTTACTAATCAATTAGTTTTGTTTGCTGCATCCTCAGGAGACGTTCGATTGTTTGTCGCTCAGACAAAACGCACCCATTTTGCAAACCTCAACCTTCACTGGGTTAGCAAAGTAATTTACTTCAATTTTTTGAGAAAATGTAAATTTCATAAAATTCATTAATTATTGTAAAACGATTTCATTGGTATACTAACATATCGACACCAGCAATTCACATTTCGCTAACCCGACTTTTATAAATGTTGCGTTTTAATGCCATATTATTTAGCTAATTTAAATTAAATTCAAACTTAAGAAAATAATACAAAAATTGATAAATATATTTTATAATCTATGATGAATAACTTGTAGTAAAAAATTCTTGATATATGTTTGAAAATTAAAAACACATCGCAAGTTATCGCAAAAGGTGCAATTTTTAAATTAACCTAGTGTTAATTGCTGGTGTCGAAATAAAAATTAAAAAATAAACACTGATGCAATTGAAAAATTTTTAAATTTTTGATACAAAAATTTTTATATTATGATAATTCATACTTTTTTCACCACCCGGTAGAAAACTACTAACAATAGTCAGCTTTTCTCCAGTAGTGTATTTGTTAAGTATTGCAGTCTTTCTAGAGGACCAAGCTTTGGAGTAGTTCACTGACATATCTGTCACTGCAAGGGCACATATGTCCTGTAAATAAATTTTTTAGCATTTAACTTTCTCGCATGTCAATAAAATTGTACTAAATCATTTAATGGAAAATGAATCTATTTTTCGGTTCTAAATCGCGTATATTTGTTTTCTCTGAAAGTGCTATCACGGCTGACTGATGACGATTTGTTAGAAAAAAACAAATATACGCAATTTAGATCAGAAAAAATAGTTTAATTTCAATGTTTAGCAACTTCGAAAACCTAAGAAATCATATTATCTATCTTTTATAATAACAAAAATACAAAGAGAATTTCTCGAAATTTTTGAGAGCTTTTTCATAATCCTATGTAATTTAATATACTGGATTATTTGTAAAATACTAACCACCTCGTAGGACAGTATATTACTAACATCATAAACAATAACTTTTGTTCCATGACTTTTTACCAAAAATAAACTTTTAAGTTTCTGTTGTAGTATCTGACACTTTTTAGTTCAAACGACGACTCGCGCCCGCGCTCCTGTGGTTTGCATAGAGTTATCACCGTTTAATGAGATGTATTTCAATATTTACATTTTTATAAGAAAATAAAATGTAACGAATTGTTAAAAGTCATGGAACGGTTGTCCTTTATGATGGTAGTACTACAAATAACCCTGACTTGTAATTTTCATAAACTAAGTAGAAACTGTTTTTTAGCCTATAATGCTGATTAACAAGAATAGGTAAAAGCGAGTGTGTGAATATGAAGGTAATGTGATGTGAAGTCAGCCTGCAAAATATACAATCTACTTTTTGCATTTCAGTAACTTAGTGCTTTAAGATATGAGTTTGAAAAAGTATGACGACGATTTCTCTTTATATCTTGCTATTTGCCTCCATGCATTGCAAAATATTTAAAATCATCTTGACTTAGGCACCATTTAGTATCTTTTGTCCATTAATAATTTTTTTCTCTCATCATGTCGATACCATCAATGAACACTACACCAACTTTGTTTCTTTGTCCTTTTCTGTCATTTTTGTAACAGCCATATTTATTTACTAATATGAGCTCCCTGAATTTTGTGAAAAAAAAATAAAAAACAAAACACAAAGTAAAAACAGAACAGGTCCAAAAATTTACTTAGTGAAGTGTTATTTTTTTATAACATTAAGTGACGGGACCATCGAGTATATAACCAGAAATAGATACGAAATAAGGGCCATATATTCATGGTAACACATTAGCGATACAGCTCTTATAAATATCAACTCTCGTTTCCACTGAAATATAGACAGACCAACTAATGACCTGTGTGTACGTCTCCATATATTCCAAAAAATATTCTGTATTTATTGAAATAAAGATAATATCTCTAACAACACTGTGCTGTTCTATTTGGTGGTGTGGAAAAACAGCAAATCATCTAATTACAAAACAAACGGAATCACATTTCATCGGTAATTAAATATTAAATATGTAATTTTGCAATTTCGTCCATTATAGAAAAGCTCAAGTTAACTGGTCAATTTGAAGTGAAACAGTTGACGACACCCGTCAATTGTTTCGAACTCGGGCTAGTCAATCGGAGCGCTGTTGTCACAGTAACGATATGGCAGAATAGTTTTCAAACAAATTAAATGACATTTCATCTCTATTTCAATTTATATACTCGATGGACGGGACGAACAGGTCGTGCGCCTGACGGTAAGCTACACGCCTGTCCATGACAGTTCCAGTGCCACTCAGAGCTTTAAATTGCAAAGATCTGAGGGGTACTACCACTGCGCCCGTCACGCTGAGACATAAGTTGACAAGTCCCATGTGCCTGTAATTTCATCATGTTCATTGGAGGTATGGATGTGTCCTTTCCAACGCCATTTTTGTTGTTTTATCATTTCTGCGACTTTTTTAGTCTTTGACTTGCTTTTAATTATTAGCTAGTTATACTTTATCTTTCAATTTTATGTTGTATACAAACTTACCTCCTCTAAATTTATCTGTTCAAATCTTAACAATGGGTCGACCTCCTCGAATCCTGAGCTCCATTTGTTAAGACTTTCCATAAAAGTCTTGCTAGAGCTTTGTTTCTGCAAATTGCGTTGAGTTTTAGATCATTTCAGCTAGACAATCATGTCAACTACTAGAGTGGTCTCAAACAAGATATGGGCAGTTCTCATGAAATTTCGAAATTCGTGCTTTTGATTTTTATGAAAATTTTTAGGAAGAATTTGTATTTATTTTTTGTCAATTTCATAGTACTTGTGTAAATAGTTTTTAATGATATAGTGGTCCCCAAAATAAATTACTCTTAAGACATTGTCTTAGTGCAATCAGAACATTTGAGGGCGAATGGGAATGACGGTGAGGGAATAATGAAATCAAAATAAACCAAAAAAAAAGCGATATAAACTTACTTTTAGACTTAATATTTTGGGTAAACTTACTGCTACCAATAACTCCTGAATGAGTAATCTCTGAATGAATAATTAACAAACAAAATCAAATGCTTAACTTCTTTATATATGATGTGAAGATATGACTGTCAAAAAAAGGTCAAAAATGTAACTTTTAGAATTTTAAATTAAATCTTTTCGTAGTAGAAACTTTTTACACACACAAGTTGAATTTCGTCATTTTGAAATGTTTACAGCGCTGTTAACTTTCATGAACTTACAAAATGCATTTACCAAAGATTAAAACTGCATTACACAAATCGAATGAAGGTAAAAGTGTGAGGGAATGATTATTTTGGTTGGGACATGAATAATAATGCATTCCAAAAATTTATTTATTGTGTTTTTACCACTAGATAGCTTTAATTTTGCAAAAACATATTTTATTTCATTGAATGTTTAAAATTTAAAGGTTATTTTTGTTAAATGTGTTGATTTAAAGCACAGAACATGTTTGATTGTGGAACTTGGGACATGGTGAGGGAATGATTTTGGGGACATTTTTATATTATTATTTTTTTATTTAAATCGACTAATCAATATTTTATGTAGGCATTAGTAGCAATTGAATTATAATTTGATTTTAAATATTAATTTTATGGGAAGAATACTATTTTTTAAAAACCTAAAGGGCAAGAATTTCGAGATTTTGTAAGAATTAGCCATATATGATTGCACATTTGTATTAGCTTTATAAAGAACATCTAGTGTAAATTTTAATATGAAATTTTGAAAAAGATAACCACAGGCATCTAGTTAGATTCATATTATTCTAATAACAATTTAGTTATTTTTGACACGAGCGTTTGGCACGAACCAGAGGCGAGGGTCAAGACTCGAGACAAGTGAAAATGACAAATCCGCACGTGTATCAAATGACGTTTTTTAAAACATTTGTGAAAAAACTACATTGAAAGTAAAATAAAACAGTATATTTTAGGGGCATGTTGTGCAGCGGTCTCCCGTAATACTCACCTCCAGTCATTATTAATACTCAATCAGCCATGTTTATAGAAAATATTTTGGTATTTTTAAATGTAACCCGTTGCTTTATAAAACACCTATGCAATTTAAACAAATAAGATGTTTGTAAGTAAATATAACTTTTAATGACGAATGGCTTACATCACAAAGCACATAAATATTAAATAAATAAATAATCATACTCAAGTCTGCTCAGGATTTGAGCAGACTTGAGTATGATTTCAAGCACTGGAAATACGACCCTAATGACAAGAACTTGAGTATGATTTTCAGTGCTCACTGTCAACAACATACAAGTCCTGACTTGAGTATTGAGTAGAGTTCTGGAATACGACCCTAAGACTTGAAATAACAGTAAATTAAAAAAAAAAATGCAAAAGTAAAAATCACTAGTGCGAAAAATCCAACTTTCGGCATGATTTGATGTACGAAAAATACCACGTTTTGAGCAACTGTATTAAAAAATTCATTAGCAACTTACAATTGTAACAGTGTTGATTTTCAAGGGATGACAGTTTACTTCAAACTTTGGACATTCTTGAGCATCCCGTTTCTCTTTCTTCAATGACGACCTACCAAAGAAGATGGCCAAGTAAAAAGTGATAACTTTTAGCGATTAAAAAAATGTACGTAAATATATAAATTGGCATTAAATCAAATTTCTTATAGTTTGGAAATTTATTCAGAGCTTTATGTGAACCAAAACTACCCTCATAAAATTACATACTTCCAAATAGAAGTCAGCTGTTGCGTAGTTATAAGGCACCCAGACTAGCACAGAAAGAAACTCATTTCATCGACCTAAGTGGTATTTTAAACTATTATAGTATCATCACGAAGTTGAGCACCTCACTTTTGAACGCAACTAATGAACAATGTTCAAAATACTTCTAGAAATATCTAAACGGAGCGCGGAGTAACTAAGAAAATACAATACTAAAGAAATCCTCACCATTCGTAATAGGTCGGCATTATTGAAAGTATATACTTATTCGCTGTTAAAATGTTAACAAATTATCTTCTTTGCATTGCTGAATATTGTTATTACTCCTCATAATTCAGCGTATTTCTATAATACCACCCATAATTTGACTTCGTCCGTGTAATTTGCCCCACTGTCCTTTTGTTTTCGTGCACTCACTCTGTCACTCTCTCACTGTCACTATCACTTATGGATAGTGTTGAGTTGTGGAAAAATTTCCATTGTGCATTCCTCGCAAGAAGCTTTGGATTTAAGCTTCTTGATACCTCGCCATGTCCGGGTTTGGTGAGAGAGCTATTGCTAGTATTGGGTAATGGAAAAATTGCCGCTTTGAAAAATAAGTATTTTTACCGAATATTCATCCCTTAGAGGATGAATTTTCCTATAATTTCCACATTTGACGTCGGCACCTGTCAAAAGTTGAAGTTACTGAACGAAAACAGGGAGCAAAGTTTTTTTTTCGCTAAAGTAAATTTATTTCTGTAGCTATACAAGTAAATTTTATAATTCACGCTAAATAGAACTTCAAAACTTATTTTTAGACGAAGAACATATTAATTAAGAGCATTCGAAATTATATTTTTCCAAAATTTTTGGGAATTTTCAAAAAAAAAAATATCCACTATTGAAATTTTTCGAAAAATTAACCAACAGTATTCTTTCACGAAAACCGAAAACATTTCACTTTCAGAACGTAAACGGACTTTGTTTTACTCAGCTTCATCAATAGTGTTGCCATAATTAGATAGAACAATTTTGCTAACATTGTGTATAGTGAAGATATGCGCTTAAAGGCTACATATGTATAATGTCACGGATTATATATATTATGTGTGAATTTACAGTACGATTGATTCTTCATTGCTTACAGTAACTGCAATGTGCAACTTCAACTTCAATTTAACCAAAACAAAAGCGAAATGAAGCGTAGCAGTCTTTCTTATTTCACAGTTTTCAAGTGCGCGCAAAATTTTACAATTTGATATTTTTCCCATATACTTAACGTGGTGACTTTTTACCTCAATTATCTCAGGTCACTGGTCGAAATTCAAAAGTTGAGCTTATAGTTGTTGTTGAGTTGTATTTTTTTACATGCATATCGGTTGAGAAACGTCCTCACTAGCTGCGCTTCAATAACATAGACTTCAAAGTATTTGAATTTAAATATTACTTTAAATTCAAATACTCAGTCTACTTCAGGTGTGAATAATTAATAACTCAATAAATTTTTTGTTAAAATCTCATGCCGAAAAAGTCAAAAACTAACTTTTTAACAGTAATCTAAATGGAAATAAGAACATTTCATAAAATTTTCGTTTAATTTACCATTATATAATACAAAACCCGTACTACTTTAAACATAGGTTTTCTGACAAGTTACTAATATTAATTCAATAAATATTTTAATAATAGTCACTACTAGTATTTTACTATAGGGATTGTGATAAATTAACACAACATTAATGTTATGCAAATGGTACAATTTGTTAAATATATACTTACTAATAATTAATTTAAAACAATACTGTCGCAAATACTGAACAGAAAAACATCAACACACACTTCCGTTATATACATTTTATCAATGAGCTTTAACATCATTACATTTTATTAAAACTTCAGCATATTTTGTGGTGGGTACTTAATTTATCCCTTTAACAAAATACTGTTTTCATACAATTGTCTTTTATCAATCATGTTTTCCTTTTCTAAATCAAAGAGAGCATTTAGAAACAATACTCAAATAATAAAAATAAGTACTGAGATAGGTAGATAGATAAATAATAGATACTAATACGCAAAATAGGCGCTTTGTCGTCGAGTTGCGGATACCAGCCCGTTGCACCAAGTACCAAGTACTGAGATTGTTTGATTGTCAACATTACAATCTACAATACTTTTTTACTTTTTATATCTTTGATCATGTCATGATAAATATTTATGTTCAAAAATAGGTAGATATCTACCTTAGTTCACAAATAAATTACAACATGGTGAGATATCACAGTGTATCCTATAACATAACAACTATTTTATAGTAATAATAAATAGGAAAAATAAACAAGATGTAAAAACTATGACCAACGTAAAATATTCGAAAATGTAAACTGCATTTCTTACATAAATATCACAAGTGTTTCAGATGGAATCAAGATAGCCGATATATTTAATACAGTCTGTTAATATTGGCTTCGGTTTCGTTATAGTAGTATTTGTCATATATCATAACTTTCTGCAGTCGAAAGTTGAGGCAAAACTACAATATTCCTATTAACCAATCACCACTGACTCATTACTGACAGACTGATTGACTGACACATTAGGAAATTATGTTACTAAAAAATTGTAAAAAAAAAAATAGATTTTGCTAATAAAATTATTCAACAGATTGGCACCTTCATATATTCATTTTCATTAATTGCACAGGGCTTTGTCCTGCCTTAGCGGCAACTTTTTCCTTGTCCAAATGTTTCATATAAGCAAGAAAACAAGTCCACACTAAGCTGCATAGACTTATAAATGGAACCCTGTTTTTTGGACGTATGAGACAAAAATTTACCATAGCTACAGCTGGCCAAACAGACGCTCCAACCTGAAATGTATATATTAAAAAGTTAAAAATTATGAGAATATTGCTCAAATGGTCTTTAATACTATGAAAATGGAATTGAAACTGACTAATCATTAACATGTACGTAGTTACTGAGTATCTACCTTGTATGTGGGCCAAAACTTTGCTTGAACCTCAGCAGCAGCTTCATTAACTGGTTTCATTTCCAAAAGACTCATACCAAAATAGAAACTGCACATCGCAAATGGTGTGTATGTAACAGTTTCCACAAATGTCTGGGAACGAGAATTCACAATTAATCTTGAATATGAATTAAGTAATTTAAAAAAATCAAATTTATATAAGTTCAACAATGGTAAATAGAAGCAAATGTATACTTGTGTTGGGAATGTAAAAAAATGTAATTGTTTAAGCATTCAACTACAACATTAGCAAACTGATCACAAGTTGTGTTTCTTACCTTGATAATTCCAACCCGTATAGATGAGCCAGGCCACATTATATTAGCTATAGTTAACCAGCTATACAACGTCGGAGCTACATAACAAGACCCATATAGACCAAAACGGGCACACCGTAACCAATCATAGTTTTCTGGAATAGGTAATACATTCATAGCTGCAGTTTAACCCGTTTTTGGACAGTACTTAAATGGTACTTAACAGTACTTACTGTACACAAAAATGTCACTACTTTTCTTTGTGCTATAGTGGTTATATTGAATCATCATAAATGTTCAATGTAAGTCATTGAATTTTGTTAGCATGCTATATATACTTCTCTGTCGAGAAGTCTTGAAACAGCAGACGGTAATTGCACAAAAAGTGTTCGGAAATCGAACTGTAAAGCCTATAATTGGTTTTTCAGATCCATATATATAGCGAAACAGGGTACCACGTACTACCATGTTCTTATATTTAATTTTACGGTAAACGCCGTAACTGTCTACGAACAGATAATTTAATCCATATATATATGGTCCATAATTATCCATATTCATTAGTCCATGACTAAACAAAATAGAAAACTACTTATTTTTGTATGATTTAAGGCATATAAGTAATATCCTATTTAATAAAACTTAATTTTTTTTTAAAGAAAACATTATATGTAATTACCACTTACCTACATTTTTCCCTTCGAATGTTTGTTGAATTAAACTAGAAATTGGCCAAATAATACCATACGAAGCCATTCCTCTTAAAAGAGGATACTTTTTAAAAGCAACTCTAATTTTACTGAAAGCACCCATTTTATTGCTTATATAAATCGCTTAGAGTGTTAATTATTACTATTATATAAGAAGCTTATTTCCATATTAATGCACGAGCACGGTCTGACCTTACATTTTTATGTTATATACGTCAATTGAATTTTGGCGTTTTTCCAAAAGGAAGCAGACGCGCAGACTGCGCAATCTGCGCACGAGTTCCTATGAATTTTTTACCGATCAGTGGTTTATTAGCAATGACATTGACATTGCAGTAAGTCACTGTGTTGCCAAAACTTAAATAATTTTATTACTTTGGTTCGAATTTTCTGCAGAAATGTATGTACGATATTTTTTGACATTCGTTTAATGCTTAGAGGATGGAAAAAAATAAAAGAAGTTTCCATAGTCTAAGGTTTAATGCTAAGTCGACTTTTAATAGTCTGTGATGCAATTTGATGTCATGATTGTCATGTCAAATCCTAAAAAAGTCTAAAATCGAAATTGAATAAAAATTGCCACAAAACATTTCGTTAACGCTGTTTCCTGTTAATTCTATATAACAAAATAACTTGTAATTTGGGAAAAAAAAACGTTTTGCTCACGTTGCACTGTGGAGTGAGTGGTAGTTTTCATAATGAATAAACTTGAAGTGACAATAGGATAGTTTAGTTTCTGTCGGAAAATAGATTAAGTGCATTACGATGTCCAGTAATTCCTTGTTGTTTTCTATCAATAATGAAGGTAAAGTTTACGCATTATCAACGAGTGGATCATGTTGGAGAGAGTTCATGTACCTTGGTTTGGAATTTAAGACGTTATCAGCTGTTCCGCATTTTCTGTGGGCAGTCGGCGGCGACCGGCAAATATACCTTCACGTACACGGATTAGAAATACCTATACGCGTAAAAGAAGAATCTTATGAGAACGAGAGATGGTTGCCTTTGGAAGGCTTCAGTAGTAGACTTCTACCTACAGACAGGTACCATTTCTCATCTCAGGATGGCACAAAGGACAGGTGCATTGATCGAATCAGATTACCTTCTATGGCTTGGCAGTGGGAGGGAGATTGGCAGCTAGAACTAACCCTAGATGGCCAGCCATTAGATCATGATGGGTGGAGCTATGCAGTAGATTTTCCTGCACAATTTGGGCCTGTCAAAAAATGGAAGTCCTGTGTGAGGAGAAGGAAATGGATAAGATACAGAAAGTTCAGTGCAATGAACTCATGGTGTGCAATAGCTCCATTGCATAAAGATCCAACACAAGAGCCTTTCATAGATATTAGCATTGGAGGGAATCAAATACCTTATGCCTCACCAGGGACATTATCGGTATGGGCAATTACAGCTCATGGCCGTGTTATGTACAGATCTGGTGTCAGTACAACTTCACCTGAAGGTCTAAAATGGATGAATGTAAGTATTCCACCTAACTGTGACATCAAACAGATTTCTGTAGGCCCTACTGGCTTGGTTTGGGCGTTGCTGTGGACAGGAAGGGCTATTGTAAGGAAAGGTATCACAAAAGATTGTCTTACAGGAGAAGCATGGTTAGAAGTTAAGTCACCAAGTGAAGCTAAACTTACAGTAATATCAGTTGGATTTAATGCTGTATGGGCTATAAGCTCTGATACACGGGTTTGGTTCCGAAAAGGTGTGGATGGAAATTCAGCAGGCTCCTCTGAAGTATCAGCCATGGGAATTGGTTGGTTAGAGATCACCGGAAATATGATCCACATATCAGTGGGAATCAATGACCAAGTTTTTGCTATTGGAGAGATAGATAAATGCATCTACTGGAGAAGTGGAATCACACCAGCAGAACAGACCGGCAAGAGATGGAGAATGGTGCAAGCCAACATGCAATTAAGCCGCACTTCTAGTACAGTTAGTGTGATCTCCTCTGCCTCTAACAGTAATAAACATCACAGCCTCAACACCCTAAATGAAGCTGCACCAGAGCTGAAGTCAAATATTAATTTGAGGAATTCTTGGGAGGAATCTCACTCTGCACCTATTGAACATACACTTCCAATAAAACCTCCAAGAGAATCCCGACCAAAAGGACAAACAAATGTTGAAAATATAGATTTAACTGGTAAGAGCTATGAGACCACTTTGAAGAATCCTAGAGCATGGAGTCCAGTAAGGAGTGTAGGGTCAGTTGTTGGCATGGAAGCACAGCCTGATAGTGATAGCAGTGTGTTTGATGTTGATTCAGGAATGTACTTTGATGATGATGTAGGACAAACGGCTTGGGGCACCTGTGACACAACATGGGCATTTGTTGATGCTGGAGCTTGCTCAGTAGATGTTATGCAAGTACCACATTGGTTTACAGATTCTCATAATGTTAGCAATACAGATCTTTCTGCTAAATGGAGACTACAAATATTAGACCTGTTAAAGAACAGAAATAATACCCATGACTTAGACATGTCACAATATGGAGTAGCTATTGAAGAGAAGGGATGGACTAGAAGTTGTGAAGCCAGATTAGTTAGTGCTATTCATTCATATGAGGATTGCATTCTATCCTTATATTGGCATGAACTAGAAAACACTGGAACTTTGTCTGTTTTCCAACCAGATGGCACAATCAAATTTATTTTAAATTTGAGAGAAGTGACCTGCATAACGTCGACATCAGAGCCAGGAAGTCCCAGAATTACCCTTTCTATTCCACATCAGAATAAAGACTCCATTACAATACAATTTATCTCTGAAATGGAACAGGAAGAATGGCTTTGTGTTCTTGTGGGTATTACATCACAAATTAACGGACTTTCAGGCAGACCATCAGCTAATTCTGTGTGGGCAGTTTCGGGTTCTGGAGACATACTCAATTGGGATCCAAAATCAAAGCAAAATCCAGAAAATGATTCACATATTAAAGAATTTCAAGTGCTTGGAAAAGACATTGTGTCTGGTTTTTCAACTGACTTGCACAATAATTTTCCTCCTGGCAGCTCTCTTAAACTCACAGGCAGCTTATTTGATGAAATACACAGATTACATGTCAACTTACAAGGTCCAGAAGTTAAGAAACAAAGACATAAAATAGAGACTGAAGTTACTGAGATACCATTCCATTTTAATATTAGATTTGATCAGAATACTGTTGTTTGTAACACAAAGATTTTTGGCAGCTGGGGTACAGAAGAGCGTCACCCATTGCCTTTAACCCGTGGTCAAGAATTTTCTATAAAGATAATATGTGATGTTCAAGGTTTTAGAGTACTTCTAAATGATAAGAGTTTCTGCTTTTATGAGCACAGACTCAGTCCAGAAAGAATAACAACTGTATCAGTGCTTGGAGCTGTGAAACTATATACTATGGAATATTGCACAACTAATCCAATCATAGGACCAGAAGATATGTATTGGCGATTGATGGGAGGTTATTTAAAGAAGGTGGAATGTTGCCAAAACGGAGTAGTTTGGGGCATATCTCATGATCATAGAGTTTGGGTTTACACTGGTGGATGGGGTGGTGGAGTTCTTAAGGGCCTTGGTGGAAATGACGGCATACATTCAATGACAGATACGCAAACCTACTGTGTGTATGAAAATCAACGCTGGAATCCTATTTCTGGTTATACATCAACTGGTTTGCCTACTGATCGTTACATGTGGAGTGATGTAACAGGGAAACTTAAACGCACCCGGGAACATACAAAATTGCTTAATCGCAATTGGCACTGGGTAAGATTTCATGAAAGCGTGTGTTGTAAATGTACTTATCAAATACACCTACTATAAAATTTATCAAATTTTTAGATATCAGAGTGGATGGTGGATTACAACACTCCAGGTGGAGTAGACAGTGATGGATGGCAATATGCAACAGATTTCCCTGCTCCATATCATGGCAAAAAAATTTTTACCGATTGCGTGCGCCGGCGACGGTGGTACAGAAAGGCACAAGTCGTCACGGAAGGCCCTTGGTCACGAGCAGGCAGCACTGCTTTATTGGATATTACTTTATGGGTAACGCCAACTAATATAGAACAAAACATCTCTCACGTCCAGTAGTGGTATCGCTTTCATTACTGCAGGATAAAACGAAATTGTCTTAAGCATTTATGCTAAAACATGAGCACTGAACACGAAATGCTGAATTAAATTTTTTTTTTCAGTAGTTTCAAATTGATTCTGCATTTCAGAGTGAAAATGACGAAGTCGCAATCTGGGCTATCACGTTAGGTGGTGAAGCTATTTTTCGAACTGGGGTAACCACTGCCACACCTGCCGTAAGTATTTCCATCCATATTCTGTTAAAGCGTGATTGATAAAGCAAGCACCTTACTATAAAAAGCTTAGTAACTGACGTATGAATTTCCTTGTATGAATTTTAGGGTGTACACTGGGAACATGTAAACAGCCCGCAAGCTCTAGTTGCAATCAGTATATGCAACAACATTATATGGTCGATTGGTCGAAAAGGAGAACTATACTATCGAGATGGCGTATCCAAGGATAATCCAGGCGGCACTGTCTGGAAGCTTATAGAGGCACCAAATTGCAATATTCCATATGTACATAAAACAAGTGGAGGCGTTAAATCTGTTTCGCTGACAAATTGCGCCGCCTGGGTCGTACTTTCCAATGGTGCTGTTGCTGTAAGAACTGACATAACAAAGCAGCAGCAAGACGGCAAGCAGTGGAAGTGTTTGTCAGGTAATAATGTACTGATGCTGCTGAAGACCCTTGCTTTACAAGGTCAGTTAAAAGGGTCAAAGGGTGTGAACAAGCGGAAGGATAGTCATTCCCAAAGATATGATAGAGGTACAGTACTTGCATGAAATGTAGTTTAGGTGTCATAGGCATATATGCTATTCAAGAGCGTGGTTAAGCAATATGATACGTTGTTATTGACTGGATGGATAACTGGTATTAAAACAAAATATAAGTTTCGAATGAAACTAATAGACTATTGTGAAGTATGACAGCAATAGTGAAGTAGAATTCTAAAATAGTATTGCATGTTTATTTATAATAACTAATAAATGAGAAAGAAAATGAATGATTATCCTTTTGGCGCGCGTTAAAATATATTTGTAGTATATTTAAATTTCTTTGCTAATGTTTGTTTGTGTATGTACCCGACACCCTCGTGGAAATTGCTAAACGACCTTCTATTGACTTTATTATTACTAATAATAGCAGTTACATACCTATTATAATGTACATGTGTTTTTAGATTGCGAAATGACTTTCAAGCACGTGTCTTGTATGGATCACGAAGTGTGGGCGGTGAGTTCCGACGGGGCGATTCAAAGACGGCTCGGCGTCACCGCAGACAACCCCGTCGGCATTGCGTGGCAGCGTGTACTTTCCGGTTCATTTGTACACGTCACTTCAAGAGGTTATCCTCAATAACCAAAGACTTTCTAATACGTTTAGTGCTAACTTATCCTGAAGTACTCAAATAAGATATTTATGAGACGGCAGCTCTCAAGAATTGCGTGTATATTGCTGAAAGGCTAACAGCGACCACTTTGAAGGATTGTATTAGCTGTTGTAACTAAATTGCATAAATCATCCAATCGTGTCGACAGCGTTTCGGAGAAGTATCAGCAGATTCAAAATCTTTATTCTGTTCGAACCAGATTGTGGTATATGATATTCGACGATTAGGTACTACCGCAATTGTACATACAAAAGGATGAACATACCATCTTGCGCCTACAGCGCACCATTTGCTCAGTGCTCTATCTCACCTCCTTCGTACTCTAGTGCTCTGCTAACATCTTGTGGTCGCATAATCATATGTATCATGGGAAGGCGACGGAATTTATCGTTCGAATATAAAACTATGTTCATTTTCAGTATTGGATCATGTCTTAATAATACTCTGTATAAATGTGAAGGCTGGTTTGTGTAATTATAATTTTACGTACAAAAATAATTATCACACAAACTTATGATCTGCTTATGTTGATGAATCTTCCGAATAAAGTATTTTTCGAGGCATTTTTAAAAATTACGTGTGATATTAAGTTACATAAACATTCGATTTAAAACATTCCTTTTTTCAATTAAGTTTTAAGGACAAGTTAATCGTAATATTAAGAATTAGCGTTAAGAGTTTAATTTTCTAGTCAATCTTATGTTTCATTATAAAAACTTTTACTAGAATAAATTTAAGTGAAAATGTAGCAGTCATATACCAAGATTATAAAGCTTGTGCTTGGGGAAATAAATGATATTATATAATATTGATATACTTTATTTATAATGTATTTTATTGGAATAGCTCAACACACCAGTCGTAAAATCAATTCATCAAAAACAATTTTAAGGAAAAATGGACAGCAAATTTGGAACTATACATTTCGGTATTGCTTCCACGTAATAGCAAGCCACAGTTTCCAATATTTAAGGCTTAACGAACGTATTATTACAGGACGTAACGAAAAACATTATTCTATCAATAAACTGAAGTATAATGAAAATCTAGTATTTACTACGGTGTGGTCAAATTGATCCACTAGAAAGCAAAGGTCTCCTCAAAATCACTCCCAAACTTTACGATACAAGTGTTCCCATTAGCAAACATGTGTGCTGTTAGTTACAACTGTTCACAAGGAATGTATAGATATGTCAACCGATATTTTTACAAAAAGTATTTGATGACGTAAATTACGTGCTAATATTGATATTGTAAAAGGAATGGAGAAGGCTCTTTTCCGTTAATAGAAATTCCCAAACTAAATTAACAATATAATAAGCCAATAACAGGAGTTCTTTCAAGATATACAAACCTGGCAAAGACAAAACGACAGAAATGAAACGAATCCGTCGTACCACGCTCTAATTTAATATTGATAGTACATAATAAAATTACAACATATAATCTAGCTCATATCTAACATAGTGGTTGTTAGGGTCGTTTTGTAACCGCGGGTAACCGGCCACGAGCGCGTCTTGCCCGCCAATGTAAAGGGTGTTGTAGATTTTCCAGTACACATCGCGAACTTTACGAGCTGGATGGAATAGACCCTGGAAATAATAAAATAGAAAATTAGCCGATTGAAGTTTGTTACGAATGATATACGAAATGAACTTTGTAATTTTATCTATACTTGTAAATTAGTTTAAATTTCAGCCTAAGATTACAGGAAAACACAAAAGTGGGCATGCAGAACTTCTGATTTTTCTCGGCCGTTGAGAAAATCTTTTTGTATTTTTATGTAAAGTAGGAAGCAAACGAGCAGAGGAACCACTTGATGGGAGGTGCTCATCGTCGCCCATGGACATCTGCAACATCAGAGTAACTGCCTACGCCTTGCCAACCTTGGAGAGGCCTGTTGACTCGCTCTTTGAAGAACCCCACGTCACGGTGCAAGAAAATACTTCAGTGGGGACACCATTCCACATCTTGCGGGTCTGAACGTGATGCCTGCGTGGTCTTAGAGCGCTTTCAAATTAGTGGCGCCACTACTCATTTTCATAAAATATTTAGAAGTGCAGTTGCAGCGCCAATGTCGACCTTGAAAGTTCGTGGAATTAAATCTATTTGCCAAGTTTTATTGAAAGCTGTCACCAGAAAGTGCGCGAAACCGGATTCATCTACTACTTTGCCACCCTTAGAAGTGGAATATTTTTAGGCAACGCAAGTAGGTAATTGTTTGTAATAAACTATAACCTATACATACATTATAATTATCTTTCACGGGAAACGAGTAATTCGTTTTTCGATTCTGAGACAATACACTTTTTGACTTAATGCACTATTGTATTAGCAGTGCGATAGTGTTCAAATTTAAATGGGACTAATGAGGTACCGTCTTTCCAACAAAAAAAGAACCATCAAAATCGGTTCACAAATGCGGGAGTTATCGCGTAACAGTACATACAAAAAAAAAGACGAATTAAGAACCTCCAGTTTTTTGAAGCCTGTTATAAATTATTGAAGCGCTGTAGACGTGCGGCTGAAGCGCCACAGTCGCGCCTCTGCAGCGCTTCTACGAGTGTCTAATTTGAAGGTGCTCTTAGAATGCCAGGCATCAAGGACGTGGGGATGGGCTCTACTGGTTTGCTTTGCGTATTCTAGCAATTTCCGGTAAATAAGACTGAAGGAGGTAACCTACCTGTAAAGCATACTGCAGTATCTTGATAGGACCGAGTGCGACTCGCATGCCTTCAACGGCGTCCATAAACGCTTGTACAAGATGCGGCGAAGTCTCAAATATATTGGGCCACACGTGGTTCAATAAGTGCACCAGCGCGTCTTCGCAACCGAACCCGAACACGCCGAGAGCCATGTGTTTTATCGCTGCGCACGCCGTTTGCCGGTGCACTAGATCTCTAAAAAATTTGTAATTAATGTAAATTAGTTTAGTGGTTACTCAAATATATTACCTACAATATACAAGTTGTACTAAAAATATGTAATTCTCAAAAAAAAGTTTTTTTACTTATAGACCCTTGTAAAACACACTACTTGTACACTTGTAAAATGCAAATGGATTTTCAGATAGGTTTATGAAGTTATATTTGTTTAATTAGTAGAGCCAGAATGGACACAAATGTTAATAAAAGCGTATCAGAAATAAGTAAAAATATACACACCTGTCCATAAGGGCATCTTCAAGCAACGGACATACAGCGTAAATATAGTCCTTGCCCATTTCGCCGATGTACTCGAACAAGAACGACAGTGATTTCAGTACACCATTTTGCACGTTTAATTCTGGTACTCTGTACTCGTTCATCAGAGCCGGAAGGACTGTGAACGGGGAACACGTTTCCGCTACTATGGCAATGGCGACTGTTGTACATACTCTGTGAAAGATAAATAAAAAATATTAATTTATAGCCAAAATTGCACTGATACATGTAAATAATTATTTACATTACATTATTTATGAGCCCAATTGGGCGCTTGGAATAACTGAAATCAGCATTAGGTTGATATTGGTGAATATTAATCATTAGTTCTACTGTGAATAAAAGATTAGAATAATTGCGGTCAACAATAGTCTACCTGTTTTGTCGTTCTTGTACTTTCAAGTTATTGAGTAAAGTTGCCAAAACATCGTGTGGGCCGATGGCTTTGGCGATGTAGCCGAAAGTATTGACAGTAGCTCGTCTGATGGCCTTTTTGTGCGCCTTGAGAAGCTCCAATAACTCGAAGCATATTCTCATCCACTCCCTGGCTGACACAAACTCAGGCCCTCGATCTGCGATGCGACCGACTAGGTCAATGCAATTCTCTTGTACTTTCTCGTGTCTGTGAAAGGTAAATGACACGTTAAAGTTGTATAGTCAATGTGGCTAAAAACATATTTAAAGTTTGATAAAGATTCCAGTTTGCATAAATATAGTATATAAAAGAAGTATTTATATAAATCAGTATTATTTACTTATTAATAGTAAAAAAATGGGATAGAGGTGCTTGGATTGAAATTTTTCGACAAAAGAAAATCACCTAAAAGTCGCTAAAGAAATAATCGGCGCCGTGATGAAATTACGCAAAAAAAGTAACTCACCTGTTCTTAAGAATCGGTGTAAGCCTGGGCAAAAGATCTTTAATAGGCGGTGTCATCTTAGTCATACCGATGACGTTGACAATTGCTTTGAGAGCGCCCAAGATCGATCCCAGAACTTCGGGATATTCTTCTCCGAGGTACTCGTATAGCACGACTCCGAGATGTCCCATGAGTTTTTCCTGTTAGAAAAGAGGTAGACTGTTTTAACCAATGTGTTTATTGTAAATCCATTATTATTAAAGATTTAAAGAAAGTAAAATAATAATAATAATATTTAGTAAAATAAATAATGCTGAAAAATCCTAAATCCAAAAAAGGTTATTAAATAAGTAGCTGCTTTTACAAATATTTTATTCGAGAAAAAACGATGAACCAAAAACAGGACCAATGATTTGTCAACATATGATTATACATACATATGATATGATTCACAGTTACGTCCTTACCTCCTGACAAGTTTTCATGACGACAGCAATCCGCGAAATCAAGTCCGCGGCCTGCTGGCGCACCTTAGCGGATTTGTTGTTCATCCGCCACAAAATAATACCGCAGATTTGCGGCAGGTACGGCTTCACGCGCTTGCCTAGCTGATTCACGATCGTGCCGAATCCGTTCAGCATAACTACGTCCTGCGAATTGAAATATATGCTACAATTATTTTACGTTGCAATCTTAATAAATTAAAAAATCAATATATAGCTATAGGACAACAACCAGAGTCATACCCAGCTAGATATTAATCTAACCTGCATCTAAATGACAAACAACATTGGAAATTGAGACCCAGGAATAAAGCATTAACGGCTAACCCTGCCGTTAGCCGTTAATGTGTTATTATTTATACACTACAACATACTAAACACTCACCTCCGTAGTCTGTTCTTGGAATGCATAAAGTATGCCGTCAATGAGCGCCTCCTCGAGCTTGGAATCGATGTCTGCTGCACCGAGGTTAGCGAGGATCTTCTCGATCGATTCCATCACCATCTTCCTGTACTGTTCATTATCGTCCTTCAAGTCGTCAACGATGCGGTTTATTATTTCTGATGCGCCCACCTGAATTACAAATAAAACTTTAGACTTCAAAAAAGGGACCTTCTCGGTTTTCCTCATGTGTACATGCGTATGTTTTTCTGCTACTCTCTATTATTTTAAAAGTAATAAAAATAACTTTTTTGGACGAGAATATAACGGGAGAAAACTGTCGATATGTACAAAATAGTTAGATCGAAACTACAACAGTGGCTTTTCCGACCATAATCACTTCTGTTTTAAATTTAAGTATAATGACGAAGAACAGCTATCCCTGGCGACTATAAGTCAAATTTTTTGGATCCAATCAAAAGTGATTTAAAAATAGATCACAACATTTGATTCTCTTGTTACATGCAATGGGTTTAGAGCTTAATAAGTTTAAAAAAAACTAACGTACTTTGTTTGCAATCTCAACCGTAGTATCAACAAGCTGGCGGTAGTTACGCCTGTCCAATGCCATTCGGTGGTTCCAGAAATGTTTGAAGAAGTGTGGTAGGATCTCGTCCATGATGTACTGGGGTTCCACGCCGTCGGTGCCACAGCACTGCTTCACTACCTGTGATTTATCAATAATCACATAATTCAGTTAATTATGAACTTTTCGACGCAGAAATCAGAACAACAAACAGTAGACAATGAAAGGAAATGTTTGTATTGTCGATAGAGGTTTAAAAATAGACATATACTTTAACTGTATTTAAAAATCTCAAATCTTAAACTAATAGTTAATAGCCTTTAACCACTTCCACGCAGGTACGGAGTCATGATAGAAATAAAACATATATTGACCGATATATTATGGTTATGACTGTGAGGTTTATTGGATTGGATGCGCTGTATTTTGTTGATAAATTATTCAGTAACTGTAGAGCTCCTTGTGAGAGAGTTCGTCCAGGCAAGTACTGCCACCTTACCTATTTCTGCCACCAAGCAGTAATGTTCACATTCCTGCGTTCCGGTTTTGAAAGGTAAGGGTGCTGGTAAAATTACAGGCACATGGGACTTGTCAACTTGTCTCAGGATGTCGGGGGCAGTGGCCGTGCTTCTCAGATCTTTGTGTTTTAATGCTCTGAGTGGCACTATTATGGACAGGCGAGTCGCTTACCACTAGGCGCACGACTTGTTCGTCCCGGCACTTAGTAGTATTATAAAAAAAGTTTCAGTTGATGGTTTCATTATTGGTCGATACCTATACAAAAAATTCAAATTAAACAAGTAAAATACCTTCAATACAATCTTCTTCATTTCCTCATCAGGGGACTGGAACTCTCTGATCAAAATAAGCATCACTTCTCTGGTATAGTAATTAGCGTACTCAGCGTCCATAAGTGGAATGAGGTATCCAATGGCCTTTAAGAAGGCGGCTAGACCTTTGCCGCGATGTGTACGGATACCTTTCCACAGAGGCTTTAGTACAGAGTCGAAGGATTCAATACCGTATGGCGTAGCCGCTTCAGCCAGAGCGGCGCTCGCTAGAGCTGTGATTGTACGAACTTTTTGTTGCTCATCTACTAGTCCTGTAAAAAGAATAAAATAGGTTTTTGTTTAGTGCATGACGAATGACGACAAATCATTGTCAAATTAAGTGTCACAACATGTGAAGGGATGTGAGGTCAAAATGTGTCGTCCTGAGTGATAATATACATTACAGCCTCCAAGTGGGTTCATCTGCTGGGATCCTGTTATACTTACTCATTACTTTTCTGACTAACCATAGAAAAGAATACTTACCGTGTTCAATAATTTCGACAAGCGACTTCAAATGTGGCAATATAGCGCATCCCATAAGAATGGCGATCTGTTGCACAATCTTGATGCCGGTATGACGTGCTTGCCATGACTTCTTCGAGCGACACACGGCTTTTAAAAACGGCAGGAGTGAGGGGATACCTACAAAAAAGTATAAGTAAATTATTAACATTTCAAATACATTGCGTTAAGTTAGTGCGCCTAGGAAAAGGAAAAGTGGTTTTTTTGGTCAATAAAATTGATTACTATATCATTATTTATTTATTTCTTATTTTTTTTAATATAATATCAAATGTCGGGGCGAACAAGTCATGCGCGTGATGGTAAGCTACACGCCTGTCCATAACAGTTGCAGTGCCACTCAGAGCTTTAAAGCGCCAAAATCTTGAGGGGCACTGCCACTCCGCCCGTCACCCTGAAGGCAAGGCAAAAAAGGCAGGGCCAAGGGAGCTGGTGAAATTACAGGCACATAGGTCTTTTCAATTAATGTCTCAGGGCGACTGGCGCAGTGGCGGTGCCTCTAAAATCTTTGAGATTTAAAGCTCTCGAGTGCCACTGCAACTGTCGCAGGCGTGTCGCTTACCATCAGGCGCACGACTCGTTTAGTATCATAAAAAACGTGACATGTAACGAAATATAAAAAACTAAAATATTTAATTTAAATTGTAACGTCATTGCAGTACTGCCAAATTTTACTTGCAACAATTTAAGGGCCCAAAAACACCCTATTCAGCGTCTACTAGAAATTTAACAAAATGTACCATATTTAGCTTCCACTGAAAATTACCTGAACACAAGAGTAATGGAGTAGCTTTTATCGTAAATATTAATTAATTTTTATATATATTATTATTGTCGAATTTTGTACACATTCACTTAAAGAAATAATAAAGAGTTGGGCAGATACATACATACAAATATTACAACCAATGTGAAAATAAGCGTGTACTATAAGAAATGTACCGATATTCCAACTAAACGTAGACTCAAATATCCGTAATTCCGAAAACAGATTTATAAAAGTTTTTTAACCGTTACGCTTTCGAGTAATTTTGATGCTTTTCACAAAGACAAAATTAGCTTTTCTTTTGTAATATTCCTAAAAAATACATTTGGCATTACGAAAATTCGAGCTAACGTCATTCGGGCAAACGTATTTTCTGACTTCTGATAGGTAATCCCAAGCCGTAAAACGGATACAACAATATTTTGTTACTTATTGCAAACGTTTAATAAAAAAATCATTTTAAAAATAAGATTAAAATCAAAGCGACTCTATAGTTTCTTTGTTCTAAATATTGCAATCGCTTGTGGTTCGAACAATTGAAAATGACCAAGAAGTTTATATAAGCTTCTTGAAATTGAGGTAATGGGTCTCTTTCCATCTTTTGCGCATGCAATGTGTAGAAAAAGGACAGTTAGCTATTTGATTATTTTGTGTGCTTTTGTAATTTATATTTACGATTAAAATATATGTAAATTAAATACCATACAACTGTACAAAATAACACTTTTAAATGAGAACTATCATAACACAATATATTTGTTTAGTGAAAATATGATACAAAAACCTGATTTTACACTTTATTTCAGTAGTTTTTACAAGTTATTATTATAAATGGTACTACATGATTGACAACCGCGCTGTCAGTCGAACAAACAAAGACTGTTGCGCGATTGACGCTCTGTATGTGATTTAAACGCCCTATAGGTGCGGACACTTTTTAGCGCGAACCAGACGTCCATTTATTGGTAGGTCAATGCCTACCTACCACACAGTGATTACGAGATCTCGGGCAATTCCAGCCTAGACGCAGCGATCGTAGTCAAATTACGTAAGTAGATACATAGATTTAAAAAAGCTCTTATAACACCAATATTTAAATCAGGGGATAAAAATCTCCCCACAAATCGGCCAATATCAATACTTCCAACTCTCTCAAAAGTTTTAGAAAAATCAGTGAATAAAAGAATATATCAATATGTAGAGAAAAATAATTTATTTGCAGACAGTCAATACGGTTTCCGTTCAAACCGCTATAGTGAAGATGCTGTATTAAAACTAACATCACTTGTTGCCACATACCTAGGTACAAAGGTGAAAAATGTATCGGTGTCTTTCTCGATCTGCAGAAAGCATTTGATACGATTTCTGTACCAATCCTGTTAACCCGGCTTGAAAACATTGGTATTAGAGGAAACCAGTGGCACTGGTTCAATGACTATCTACATAATCGATCGCAAAGTATACGCTTAGGCGCACACTTCAGTGACGAAATGACAAATTCATACGGAATTCCTCAAAGTAGCTCTCTTAGTGCATCGTTATTTATTATTTATATAAATGAGTTATGCGAGATGCAACTTGATAATGCAGAGATTATTATGTTTGCTGACGACACAGTTATAATCTTTCATGGTGACAATTGGCAGAGTACTCATTCTCGAGCTGAGATTGGCATGGCCAAAGTAACCTCTTGGTTCGAAGACAATCTACTGTCATTAAACACAACAAAAAATAAATATTTATGTTTCAGCAAAACTGCTGCTTTATCACCAGACAGTTCATTTACAGTTAAAATTCATACCTACCCATGTAATAGATCACTCATTGATACTAACACTGTGTGCTCATGCATAACTCTCGAAAGAACAACCACACTCAGATATTTAGGCGTACATCTTGAACAACACTTACGTTGGGACTCACATGTAACTCTGATTTCAGCACCGTATCAGGAGGCTAATATATATGTTCAAAAATTTAAAACAAGTGGCGGATCATAAATTACTAATACAAGTTTATAAAGCTCTCGGCGAGTCAATTGTAACATATTGCATATGTACTTGGGGCAGCGCTGCCAAGACACAATTAACAGAAGCGGAAAGAGCGCAAAGAGTCGTACTAAAAGTCTTGTTGAAACTTCCATATAGATGTCCGACCTCTCAATGGTATGAAAAATCTCAAGCACTAAGTATAAGAAAAATGTTTACGCCGTTACCATAAACAAATCATTCCCTCCTTACCTGTCACTAGTCAAAGACGCAATCTCTGCCCAGTCCCATTTACAAAGAGTAAAATTTGAACAAAGACAATACAGTTTCATAGCGCCTCGTATTTACAATGTGCTAAGTAAAAAGGTAAAAAATATCAAAAAGTCCAATAACCGTCAATTTAAGATACTCCTTAAGAAATTGTTAGAATCTCACGACTATGATGGTATAGAAAAATTATTACAGATTGTCACCTAACACATAAATTCGAAATTCACAGTATCACAAAAAAAAACATTAATAAAATTGCACTTCAACATGACACATCACACACACACACACACACACGCACGCACGCACGTACGCACGCACGCACGCACGCAGGCACGCACGCACGCACGCACGCACGCACGCACGCACGCACGCACGCACGCACGCACGCACGCACGCACGCACTTTCAACAAAACATACTAACAATAATTTTCCAATGTATTTAAAACTAATTTAACAACAGTTAATTTTCATTTTGCTTACTTTATAACTATTTAAGTGATCGAGTATATAACCAAAAATAGAGAAGAAATGTCTGTTAACGCGTAACGCCATCAAGCGGCAGCGCGATCCAACTCGAACCATGGCGGGGGGAGGCGAGCGGCGCGAGGGGAATCAAGGGTCATCATTCGACGACATATCTCATAACCATACGCATTGTACTTTGTTCTTTTTCATACATTTTAAAAATAAATACATCAGTCAAATTTAATTAAAAATAATTCATTGAAGACCATACAACCATCTACTATCATACCTTAAAATAAAATAAAGGAAGGAAACCTGCCTGGCTGCCTACGGACAAGCATCAACAATGTCTTTTAAATTTGTTTGAAAACTATTCTACCATATCATTACTGTGACAACTGCGCTCCGATTGGCCAGTCCGAGTTCGAAACAATTGACGAGTGTCGTCAACTGTTTCACTTCAAATCGACCAGTTAACTTGAGCTTTCCTATAATAGACGAAAATTGCAAAATTACATATTTAATATTTAATTACTGATGAAACGTGATTCCGTTTGTTTTGTAATTAGATGTTTTGCTGTTTTTCCTACACCACCGAACAGCACGGCATTGTTAGAGATATTATCTTTATTACAATAAATACAGAATATTTTTTGGAATATACGGAGACGTACACACAGGTCAGTAGTTGGCCTGTCTATATTTCAGTGCAAAGGAGAGTTGATATTTATAAGAGCTGTATCGCTAATGTGTTACCATGAATACATGGGCCTTATTTCGTCTCTATTTCTGGTTATATACTCCATTATTTAAGTACACACATCCTTTTGTAATTGTATAACTACATGTGTCTTCATATCTTATGCCTATCTTTCTTCGATCTGCTAAGAGGTGTAAGGGTGAGAGCCTGGTGCTCTATAACACAGGTTAATCCTAGCATAGACACCAGACTTTCACAAACGAAACAGGGTTCGGGAATATGTGAGGACCATAGGCATATAAGTTTCTTTTGTGAAGGTAATAAAGACATTTTCATACTATGTATTCTTATTCTATTTTTAAATGTAACCAACAGTGTACAAGCTGTAAACTTAAACTGTTATCATGTGAAAACAAAACTTTTTTTCACGTCTCGTGCTCTTAAAGTTCGTATTTATGCTGAGTGTGGGCTGCATAAAATAGGATTTTATGCTCTAGTGCATAAAATAGGATTTTAT